CTTGTAAGTTCAACCACAGTCGCATTGTTGCCAAGAAACTTAACTCTCACACTACCACTTTCCCCCAGGAAGGTAAATGATTACCACAGAATTGTTAAGGAAACTTGATAAAATCTTGAGGTTACCTATTCTGGAGCACTATTCCTTGGCAGAGAAGGAACTAGGTATTAGTTCTGTGAATAGCAAAAAAACTTTCTACAACATAGGCCATTTAGCTCAAAAGCCATACTTAATGTCTTTATTGCATGTATACAATTTAGATCACTACCTCTGCTTTTTTTTTGTTGGTGGAATTGCTTAATTTGTCATGCTTGTATATTGCTTCAATTTGCAGTTGCCTTTTGTGGCCTTGGCTTCATCTCACTTTATCTTGCGGGAAAGTTACACTGCTTTCAAGCTCAGGGAAGAGGACAAGGGTGGAAACTGTGCATTGCTCTAACCCCTTTGATAGCTGCCATGGCACTGGCACTTACCAGATATTCAGACTATCGCCATCACTGGCAAGGTATACTAGACAGTAGAAAGGTGACAATCTCAGGGTCCCCAGGCCTTGTGGATAACTATTTCATAATTCATACAGGGAAGTCCTGGAAGCCATAAAAAAAAGGCGTCGTGGCTCTCAAAAGTAAATCTACTGTTAATTTCAAATAAATATATATTTTTTTGCTGTTGTTGATTGGAACTCCTTGTTACAGTGAAGAGAGACATTTTCCAATGTCGTTTTAAAATCTGTTTTGTCATGTTTTTTTCCATATTCTTGTTTGTGCGAAATATATGTCTCAAATTTAGTATTTGAATGGAATATCATATAACAGATCAGTTCAGAGCTCTAAGATACTTGTGCCTTGAAATTTTCTTTTATGAGAAAGTTGAGCAGGAGAGAGAGAATGATTTACAATGAACGTATCTTCCTTCCGACGTGCAAGCAATCCAAACAATAGACTGATCTTGTACCGTTTGACGAGAAATGAGAAACGGGAAGCAAATAATTCGCTCATAGATGTTAAGCAGGAACATGATCGAAGAGCTTTGACATAAAAATTAAGTTTAATTGTTTTCTGATCACTATCATTTTTCCACAGACATAATGGTTGGTACCATGATAGGTGAGTTACATTGTTACCAGCCACTTAGCCGACTTGTCAACTCGTCGACAACCAATTCACCGACACCGTTAAAGTCAACTCGCCCACACCAGTCAACTCGCTGACTTCAATTTGCCAACAGCAACTTCTGTTACTCAACAGGTTACCAAAGACCAAAGGCGACTGTCGGCACGTCGATATAAGGTATCGGCGAGTTGACTAATGGTGTAGGCAAGTTGGTTGTCGGTGAGTTAACTTGTTGGCAAAGTGACTAGACATCGTATTGAAACACTACTTGTTTTAAAATGTAACTTTCCTTCGTTGAAGAACTAGGGATTCAGTTGTGATTGAAAAAAAAGTCTTTTAAAATGCAAGTGTTTGATCTCTTCTCATCTGTTTTGCGTTGAGTATTGGTTGAAGATTTCTTGATATCGCATTTCCTGAAATCGGGAACGGAACTGTTCATTTTTCACTAAGTTCGACAAAGAGTTTTGTATATGAAGAAGATAGGTATTATGTGTCGTTTTTTCCGCGTCATTCAAAGCACCCCCAACTTGAGGAATAACGTAGAGTTTTTAGCTTGCTGTGTTATAAATACACAAAAAATTAAGAATTACAGCAAAAAGGAACTATTGTGGTTACGAATGGATGAGAATCAAATGGATGAATTTGATAATATTAGACTTGAATTTTTAGGATGGACAAACCGTGACGGTTGATCTTTAGGAGTGTTGTGTCAGCGGGTTCCACCGCAGTGCACCTTGCAAACATGAGGTGGTATTCTTAAAAACTTTTCTTTGTTCCAGGTTTGTTCTTCGCCTATCTTTGTTACCGACAGTATTACCCAGCGCTTAACAGACCTCATTGTCACATGCCATACTGTGCCATCATGCCGGCTAAGTTTGTTGGTGATGAACATGATCACATGTTACCAGTGACAGTTAGAGAGATCAAGAATGTTCATCCTATTGTGACAAAATCTCTTTGACTACAGCTGAATCTTAGAATTAGATGTACGAGATGCAAGAAATATACGTATCGAGAATGGTTTCTACTTATATGGAATTTTACTAGATAACCTACAGAGATTTAAAGTTAACTTGCGCCCCCTCCCCCGTCGAATTGTTTAGGACGACTCTTATGCATTCGCAGTTTTCATTTAAAAATTACACCTTGTACAAAAGAACGTCACATCAAAACTCTTGTCCTCTGAAAATTCCTTTCCATAAGAGTTTTAGAAATTCAGATGGTTGTCGGCTTTAAAATATATATTTTCAGATTTAAATTGGGAGAAATTTGATTGGAAAATTGTCTTCAGAACTAGGGCTGGTTGACGTACGCTTTTCCTGAAATATAACAAGAAGAATTTTTGATGGGATATATTTATTTCACGAAATGTATTTTAAATACTAAGAAACCAAAGAAGACGTAATACCTGGCCAGTCAATAAAAGATACAAGTAAGAATGCGTGTCTATTCATCTGTTCAAGGAGGTAGCAGGGGTGGGGTCCCTGGGGTGTCCGTGGCCCCCCCCCTTTCCTAAGCCTTTTTTTGTTGTAAGGCGTGAAAAAATCCTGGCGACACCCTAGTTGTCTATGTCACATCGGGGGAGATTCCGCTTTTGGGGATGTTTCAGCTTCCTTCACAACTCGGTTAAGCTGGAATTATGTTGTCGGGCGCCTCAAGGCTTCTATATTTCCCCGGGCGTTTGCCCCACCAAATTTTAATGTCGAAGGCAAAATCTGAGACCGTGTCTCTCTACACATTGACCAAGCTTTGAAACCTAGACCTTGTAAACCTTTTCTTTTGAGCCATTCGCTCGCGAAAGTGTAAACTAGTATTATCAACTGAGTTGATAACTTCGCTCTGACGATGGGCTAACGCTCGATACGTCAGCTTTAAAACTCTACGATGGCCAATTTACGTTATCAACTCATTTGACAATACTATATTACCCTGTTGTACTCTCCCACCGACGTAGCACTACAGTTTCGTTAGAAACTTAACCCCTTTGCACCCAAAAGTGAACTGCTTACCTTTAAGACCTTCATACTTACAGATACAACACTTTAATTCTTCTAAAGAGTCTTGACACTTCCGGTTTAAATTTCCCACCCTGGCCAGGCTAGATTCCACGGTCCCATTTCCGTGGGTTGCCCGGGAAAGGGATGTTGAAGCTTCTAATTGACCGGCGCAAAATTTTTGTGCAAGATAGCACACTCTGCATCCAAGTAACGACCCACCCGCCATAATTTCAGCTGGTCGGCTCTTAGATCGGCGACTGCTCTGGGTGGGATATGAAAACATGTCTCTAGTTCCGTCAAAATCCTCTCAGCCTTTGCGCCGTTTAACGATACGATATGATAACTTTATTTATGCGCGGTATTTCCACCAGTCAAGGAGGATACCAGACTATCTACTTATCTAACTAACAACAATAAAAATAATAAAAATACTTCAAAAATAAAAACTGCTTTTCATGGAGGTCGTGTCTAAAAATTAATTTAAACTGAAAATACTACTCCCCTTAAAATTTTAGTCTCCTTTAACGAGCGTGGGGGGCGGGGGGGGTGGTCGCTCTCTTCCACATAACTACACTTTGGGGACTGTGTTCAAGACATTTAAATGTGGACTCTTAAAAAGGTATGGTTAGACTTTGAAAAGCTACGTAAAGATACAATTTAGTCAACGAACTGATCGTGATCGTGGTAAAATATAGAAGGTATTGTTCCGTTTACCATTGGCCATAGGAGTGCTGAATAAGCTAGGTATAAAACACATCTCTGAATGCATCCTAGCTACCAAAGTCTTTAGGCAGTTCCCGTCGACAAGCGGTCAGAATGAAGATAGTTTCTCTAGCAAAGAAAACGACGTGTTCGCGTGTGACACTCCAATAAGAAAATAAACAGCTTTAAAGAAGACCCGAACGAAGATAGCACTCTTCTTCTCCACTATCTCAATCCAAATGTCTTTAAAAGGAGCTAATAAAACTTCAAACGTTAAGTCACGAGAAAGTTCGAGGCTATTCTTCTAGCGCTCTAAGCACAAAGCCGCGGTGAATCGGGGACTATCGTAAACCGTTACGTCACCGAGTAAGACTCCCTAACCTCTTCCAGGCTTCGCACGGAGAACGAACTGAGAGGAAACATAATGTTCAGTGCACTATATCCTATGTGGTCAGCGTACAAAGCAGGGGAAGGGGGTGGGGAAGTAATGCGAGTGCGAAGCGTAATCGTTAAATCTACTCAGATCAAAAGATCCTGACGAACGCGCCCTACACTCGAACCTACCGCTTTTTCTGCAGCCAAGCAGGCTAACACTGCACCAGTCTGCTTGTCACGAGATCATGCTGATAGAAAACAAGGCCGTTACGAAAGAAAAAAACAAAGATGACGCAAACGTTTGTCTATTTACTATACTAACACGCAAAGCTAACAAAATGTAAACTGTAACTACACCAAGATTCAATCCTCGGTCAATTTACATTTAACAGTCTCTATAATAAAGAAAAAAAACTCGACCCTCTGCTCAGTAGTAGTGTCAGTATAGAGGAGAGCCAATCAGAATCGAGTATATTGCACACGTGACTTGAATTGACCAATCAGATTGCCGGATTTCCACATTCCATTCCATCCGCCATCTTTAAAACCGCGGAGGCGCCTGGAAATGATAGAATGGAATGTGAAAATCCGGTAATCTGATTGGTCAATTCAAGTCCCATGGGCTATATACTCGATTCTGATTGGCTCCCCTCTATACTGGCACCTATTACTACTCTGCTCTTACTACTAAGAATAAAGAAACGCAACGATTTATAACAGTAAAACATCAATTTCCATTTCGACAGGAATTTTTTTTAACGAACTGTGGTGAAGACTGTCCCTCATGTTATCGCAGTTATTCTGGCTCGAGACAACTTTTGAGGGACTGATGAACGAATATTTAAATTTAAAACTGTCTAAAAAAAAAAGTCTGAAAAAGAATAAACCTAGCAAACTGAACGATCATTGATTATGAAAGGACCTATATTCACTTCAACAATTACCGAAAGCACCGTAAGACGTATACCAACAAATTATAAGACAGGAAGTAAGGCGGAACGTAGCCTGCGAGCAGGGCTACACCTCGTGTGTTTCTTCGCTCGCGGGAAGTATGAAGCCTTAACCCCGAAAAAACTCGCCCCGACTCGTCTCAAATCTTCCCACCGGCGGAGAAACGCGCGTCCAACAGCTCGCAGGCTAGGCGGAACATTGTATTCTAAGTAAACTTTCGCCATTCGTCAACTAAAATTGTTCTTTATCTTCGTGATCATAACACAAGCCACATGATTCCGCTAGGCACTCTTCGCAAACTCTCTTAACAACGACTTCATTATCAGACCGATCGTACGAGGGTGACCATGGAAACTGAACCGGCAAGAATGCAGTTGGGTGCACAGCGGGTAACCATGACAACTGATAGGGAAAGGTAACGTTGACAGGAACAAAAGGCGCTGCAAATTGTGGAATACCGTTCATCATGGACACTCCTGGAAAGTCAGTCATGATACTATTCCACATAACTTGACTCTTTATATCAGCGATTTGAAATCTGTGGGTGACAAAAAGCTTTCCAGTGAGTCATCTCACGGCTTTTGTCTCAAAGTGAGAGTAAGTTGAAGGCTTGTAACAAGAAAATGACTTTTTCACTCGCTGCAAATGTTATTCATTTACAAAGTTATTTTGTGCACTAAGCCCCATTTTGAAATTGAGGGTATCTAGGACTCGGAAGATCTTTTTAATACTTTAGTTTATAACATCAGAATCGTATAGGACTTATGTGCGGAGGCTAACATCGACAAAGTCGTTTAGCCAGTTAGAGCAAGCAGGCAGATTTTTCAACTAATCAAGATTAACCTCAAACTTAGTCAAGAGTTGAATGAAGAGGGTAAGTTTCTTAGGAAACTGTGGTGCGGCGTCAGTGGGAGAGTATAACAAGGTAATTTGGTATTATCAACTGAGTCGATAGCGTAAATTGGCCACCGTTAAGAGTTTCAAAGCGGACGTTTCGAGTGCTAGCCCTTCGTCAGAGTGAATGGAGAATGTCCCCCTGCGCTCTAACAAGGACCCGCGCTCGAATATCAGCTTTAACACTCCTAACGGTAACCAATTTACGTTATCTACGACTCAGTTGATAGTACCAAATTACCTCGTAAGTCAAGAGTTGCCTCTTCAGCGCTGTTACGACTGTATGACATGTTTTCTTATCGCTTTTCCAGCTTGTTTTGTCTTCTTCCAAATTCACATTAAAAAAAACTGTTGGGTTATTCCCTGTTGCTAAACCTACGCCACATATTTCAATGTTAATTAGTTTATACTAAAACGGCAGATAGCGTTTAAGGCGCGCTCTGATTGGCTACTACGTATATCCTTTGATATTCGCCTCCAAGCAACTCTCACGGAATTTGCACCCGAAAATTTTGCAGGAATAGATGAGTTAAAATTATCCTTTTATGTTATATTATCTCACTTCTTTAGTATATACTGACGTAACGATTCACCTCAGTGTGACGGTGGCTAGGGGTGGATGTTTACCTCGCCGCTTTGTCAAAAACTAGCCACCTTCACTTCGGTGAATAGTTCTTAATTATTACATTTTCAGATGATATGTGCGATGTGTTTCATTGCACCAATACAACCGACTTTTTGGACAACAAAAGTTACAGCCAACATCGTTGTGATTGCTTGATACCTTTGAGGTTGTTTCTGCCCTTGAGCTGCGTTGAGAGATAAAGCAGATGCGCTTCTCTCTGATATGGCGACGTCTTTTCTCGTTTTCTGTAGTGTTTTTCTCTGCCAAAGATTCTTCTTCTTCTTTTTGGGACATTTTAATACGTGGCGGTTTCGGAGACGTCTTCGGGCGTTGGCAAACCAGGTCTTTAGCTTAAACGAAAATAACAGAAACGGTTCCAAAGTTTTCTTGATTCTTTCGATTATATTTGTTTTCACCGAAAGTGTTTCAAATCGCTTGTTTGGGTTTACGCAATTCGAGGATAGTTTCATTATGTCACCGAGGGAGAAAGGCCGATGTTGTATCAATTGGCGTGCCCAGGGATAGGTCACGGCTTGAACATCGAACAAATTTCAATTTAATTAATTTCTGAAAAAAAATTATTCAAGTTCATTGTTTGCCCCAAGCTTTAATCTTCTCCATCCTTAGCTATCCTTGTTTCTTCTTGTTTTTTATGTTAACTATTTTTTGTTTCTATCCACTGGGAGGGCTTGAAAACTAGCCTCAGGAGCGCGAGTTTTTTGGGGTGTCTGGGGCCATTCTCCCCCAGAAAATATTGTAATTGCGATCTCGGAGGATAATCTGTGGTGAATTGGGTTTTTTCGTATAGTTCTCTTTCATTCGTCATACGTACTTCATGCTAAACAAAAATTGATATTAAATCTGTACGGCTCCGCTGCCTTAATAGGGAAGTCACGTAACACATCCGTTGACATGCCTAATGGGAAGTAGACTAATAGTGACGTAGCCCTTTAAAGTTTTCTAGGGAAACCTAAACGCAGAGTCCTTTCTGATGTTATGGAATTTTCAATTCTCTGATTAATGCTTTTCTTTCTCTTTTTTATACGCTACCTGAGCTAAAGTAATTCCGTGCTGCTCAGCTAACATAATTTTCTCAGTTGAGTCAGGGTAGGGATTCCTGATGCGTTGCATGAGCCACGCCTGTAGTGCTTTACAGGTTTCTCTGGGAATTCCTTTCTTCTTGCGAAAACCTGAAGGGCAGATGCTCCGCGGAGGTGGGAACCTGTGGATAACAAGTAAATCAAGGATTTCTAAACCTCGACCTGTCCGTTAGCCGTAAGCTGGCGCGTGGTAAGGGTACATGCTGTAATTGTCCAGTTTGAGTGTGGGGTGGGGGCACTTACAAGCATTTCACTGTCAACTGAGTGGGAGGGGAGAGGAGGGGATGGAGGGGGGGAGGAAGTGAGAGAAGGCAGGCTGTTTTTATGGTATGAAAAGCGGGTAAAACGCATACCAGGACCTCCTTCAGTGTCCCCTTGTTTATTAAAACAGAATTCATGATACAGGCGAACCTCTCCTTAACTGCCACCTTGGAAATTGTGAGGGCGGCCGCTGCAGAGGACTGGCATTTGTAGGGTGGAAGAGGACGTAATGCAACAGTTTTTGTATCTATTATTGAATGGGTAGAACATCTCTATTCATATCTAATGGTTGTCCTCCCACTTAAATGGACGTTTCCGTTGTGAAGAGATAACCGTTCTAAGAGTACCCACCACCAGGAAAGAAAAAAAGTAATTACTGTGGCTTGCCGGCTTAGGTTCTGGCACTATAGCTTCATGGACAAGCTACATATGTTCTGCTTTTGCTTCTCTGTACATGATGCAAGTTTTTCACAGTATCATAGAACAGTCTATCTGCTATTCAATCCGTTAAGTTCATCAGATTCAAGTTAAGGGAAAACATCCCGTGTACCACACGAACAAAGGAAGTGCTTTACTGTAAGACTATGGCATGTTAATTATTATAATCCATCAAGTTCTTTGCCCGTCTACGATTGGTCTAAACTCACCACCTGATCGAAGGTGCTTCTGCTATACTCGTAACCCGCCGAGGTGGGGTCACCCGCCTGTCCATATAATTTCTTATTTTATTTTGATCACGTTTACATGATGGGTGGGGTGACCCGCCTTGGCGGGTCGCCTAGTCTGCCAGGTAGGGTAACCCTGTCAGCTGGGGTGACAATTTGCCATGTAAACGTTCAAGGTGGGGTAACCCGCCTAGACGGGGTCGCATTCATGGCAAAAAGCTCAAAAGCGAAACATGTATTTTTAAATCTTTGCACATTTCCTAGCCGTCTCCTGGCAGAAATCACCACAAACCGCAACGGAAACACAAGGAGTGTAAAATGTTCACATTTCAGAATATTTAGCGTTGTAAATCGACCATATTTGGTTTCCCAAACTATTCCGTATAACGTATTAAGTCAATAGTTCCTTGCGAAACCAGACACCGCGTAACACAACGCGTGACGCTTTCATGAATAAATACATATGTGTTCGAGAATTAATCTTTCGTGTTTCTCGAGATGTGAGCTTGGGAAGCCTCTGCTCAAACTCCTTAAATGCAAGCGCAACAACAACCTCAAGAAACCTCACCCCAGCACCCCGGGGTTGTAAGATTGCATGTAAACGCGTTTTATTTTTCGACCACAGCTAAGCGGGTTACCTCACCTACCTGGGGTCCCCCACCTCCATGTAAACAGGCCCAACTACGATAAAGAATTCGTTGAAAATTTAGTTCAAGATGAAACCTTGTTTAGCTATTGTTACTGTATAAATGATATGTTTGTTTGTTCATAAAGTCGTATCAGAGAACAATACAAAGTAAACAACCCACGCGCAAAAAAAAAAAAAAAAAAAAAGCAAATTAGTTGTAAAAATTTTACCTGCGCGTTGCAAAAATATAATGAGGTTAATAGACACAGTAGCTTCCATTTGGCGCGAAAATATGCACGGATATTTGTTCAAAGACATTATCTGTTCCGAGATGCAAACAATTTCCGAGAGCGAAGCTCGAGGGACACTGTGAGCTTCGAGCTATTGTCGACATATCGGCTGATATAAACGCAAATTACTCAGGTAAAATGATAAATCAAGATGATAATCCGAAAATTAGTTACAGCAAATAAAAATGATAAATCAAGTGTACAGTACTCTAACTTTTCTTCAATTCCTTGTCGAGAAGTATTACAGACGGTATAAAAATTGGACCTTTGGTTGATGAATACACCATTTATATTTTACTATGCTCGTCCTCATTTACGCTTCCGTTTTTTTAAGTAATTCGATTCCTCTAGGGTTAATCTATATCTCGATCAAAGCTGTGCGACATATCTTGGAGACGGAAAGATTCTGCGCCGATGTATATCATTTATCACTTCTAAACTGAAATTCACACACGACTATTTCCTTTTTTTCTTAAAGATATGATAGAAACGAAGTAAAATCCTAACGGCCTTATCAAAGTCTATATGTAAATAGAGAATATGAAGAAACTTATCAAATGTGAAAAACTCCCAATCAGTCACTTTCCAGAATCTTTTAGAGTATATATTAAATAAATCAAACTCTAGTATCATTATCACTTTTTCTTTTAAACTCGAAGATGTACCGCTAAGACCAATGAAACAAACCTTTGTCGCACGCGAAATCTTTGGACTGCAGTTCTCGCTTTTGCTTCATAAACATGAGCTTCGTCCCATATTTCAATAAGATCGTCGCCTTGAGAGAATGTCCCTTCCTGGATATGAACAAATTCCAAGCAGAAATTAGAACGCGAAACTAACAACTTACAACTGCTGCAAGATACAAAAAAAAAAAAAAAACGTACCACATCAAAGCGAAAACGTAAACAATTACGGTCCAACTACCTCTATGAGCTTATACACCGCTTGGATGTCTTTTCTATGCCAGGCTAGGGCAATTTTTGCCCGAATAATCTCTTCATTCTCCTGATATTCTGGACTGTTAGGTAGACGAAGCAGCAAATTTTCGACTTCAGCATATTTTTTACAATGAACAAGACGCTTAGCTCGCGTGCTCCAGTATGCTAAATTATCACGATTGGTTAATTCGAATAATGGCTTCATGGTTATTAAAGACTTAATCTGTAGGCAGGAGTTGCCAACCAATGGCACTGTTCAAGCAGACTGCTGTTCTAACAGTTTCAGCGTTGATTGTGGAAAAGTTCGACTCGTGGGAATAGCACCTTCCTATTGGTTGACAGTACGTAAAGGTGTCGATCAAACCAACCACATGCTCGGGAATGATACTACAAATGGTAGAATAATTATGGAAATTGGAAAGTGTGGGATAGAAAACGAGGAAACAATCAGCCCATGACGTGGATTTGGAAATCTCGTAAAAAGATTTTAAAATCTTTCGCTTCGTGCGTACCTACATAACAGAATTGACAGGATTTGATAATACTTTATTCACAACGATGCGGCATACAATCTCTGTTCGGTTGATAATTCAGGTGACGTTTGAGAGAAAACTTAAAAAAAAGGAAAAAACTGAGCCATATCCATGCTTGGTCACATGATATAGCATACAAGGCTCTTACTCCCGTGACCGACCATGACAGAATTTCTCTGAACGACATCAATACAGTAACAAGCAGGCGAATGATAAGAACAAAGATAAATATCAATTAGGGGATGATTAGTTGATCCGGTACCAAATTCTCCAAACTAACATCGTAAGAATTGTATGACAGACAGTAAGGAGAATTACTTAATGAGATCCTGAGTGAGAAAGGGTTAACTAACTGAAACCAGGTTTGCAATCCCAGAAGTGCTAACAAATACATAGAAAGTCTGATGAATCTACTGGAATTAAGACTGAGGTGGTTATTCCACATTTAACTCATCGCGATGAACGGAAAAATGCTAAATCAAACTTAACGTCAATACGTTGCAGAGTTGTTTCTTCATTTTTGCTATAGGACCTAGTTTAAAATGCGGATAATTTTCGATAGGTTTAGACTCCTATTGTTTAATGTGGCAAAGTAGATACCTGTCTTTATTTCAGAGTGTTAAGGATAAAACTTTCAAGAAGGCTGTGTAAACTTGAAAGAATTTGGTCCTTTGTATTTCAAGTATCCTCACAGACAAATTTTGGGTTTCCTACATGCATGTTCCTTTTGTTCCTTTAGTCATCAGTTACTATTTCAATATTTAACCTTACTCAGTTATATCTTAAAATTTCCTTAAGGTTTGAGCGAACTAGGTGTGGCCTATTGACGGTCAGAACACATTCAGCGACAATTCGCTACGTGTGACATGAGTTTTTTTTTCATGAAAAGCTGTATCCCCTGGACAGCATTCTGTCCTTAAAACAAGTCGCAACGACGCGTTTTTCAGGCAGTGCTAACGGTACGTAAGGGGCGATTTGGAGTGGGACCTGCTGCAGCACATTGTCGGCTCGTGTGTTCCGCCCTTTAGGCTATTTTCTTGCTCGTCCTGAATGCTAAGGACGCACCTGTGAAGAGCCTGGCCAGACCGAATATTGGAAGCAAGAATATAATAAAGGCCATCATGATAACAAAATGGCTGATACTTGTCCCAATGTCTAGCCAACTACCGCTATCCTGCACAAGGTAAAAGAAATGCAGTCCCATTAAATCCGTCATCACTAGCACTACCAACACTAGACTTTGAACTGGGATCGAGAGCACCACGTGTATTGCGTCGAATGCACATGCTACAATCACAAACGGAATAAGCACTTTACAGAGCAGTAAACTTCCCATAATGAAGGGCGAGAATACAGTCAGGAAGCAATAAACGGACGCGGGATCAAAGCTGTTTATACTAGCAATGTTTCCTGTTCCAAAGAAGGCCACTACGATAAAGAACACGAAGAAATAAGCGCAGCGAAGGTCCTCTAGAGTGAGTTTTCTCGTTACAGGGGTGTCCATGCCTCTTGTAAGCGCTTTCCAAGCTGGCTGATGAGTGCTCGTGGAGCTGTCGTTACTTAGTTGAGTTTCTAACAGCGCGTCAAGGGTTTTGCCAGAAAGTTTGTGCTCAGACAAAAGCCATGCACCCATTAGCAGCGAGAGGACTAACAAAAACAGGCCTTCATAGGCAGTACTCATCAATATATATAATGAGGAAAACGCTATAGCTATACTCGACAATCGGACCGTTAAATTACTCGAGTTGATCAGAGGTAACAGAAAAGACGATATAAGAATAGTCCAACTACCAAGTTGGTTTACTAATGGGAGTCCGAGTTTTTGTTTTAGACTCGCTGCTGTACTGTTCACGGTATAAATTGCTAATCCCGTGAGAAGTGCTTGAGGGAGCAGGATTTTACATGATTTTGTTAATTCTGTCCTAAGTGAGTAAGACACACTGGAAACGTAAAACAACAGAGACGAGAAAATGATCAAAGTTAAGAATCCTGCCGCAGTCACCAAGAAATAGTTGGCTTCACGTCCGACAACAGGAAGAACAGGAAACACGGAGAGAGCGAAGTTGAGGATCAGCCAACCTGCTACAGATGGCCTGCAAGTTCTGTACAATTGAGTGGTGAAAGGCCACAGAGCAAGACAGATGAGACCAACAGAGAGAATCTCTCGCCTGAAGAAGCTCATGACTAGAATCTCTAACGAGAAACAACCGAACATGAAGGTAAACAGAACTCTATGCTGCAACTGTTTTGCACGGATATAGCTCCAAGCCGCTTTGACCACGTGAAGTCTCTTGGCAATGCGGTTCCAAAACACCAAGGGCAATAAGCAGTAGCTGTAATACATCCAAGGCGCTTTTTGAATAAACAAAAGAATCAGCGCGAGAAAAGCGAGGACCAAAGTTGCGGTGTTTAAAGGCACCGTCTCCACCATTGGCTGGACGCTCCCTTTATCGAGTTTGGACGCCTCTTTGATGACTTCGCTATGATCTTCGACAATCTGTAGGATGATGCACGATATCCATCCCAAAAATCCAAGAGTAACCACTAAATTTAAGAAAACCCTGTCGTAGTTCTGGTAGTAATTGAGTCCTTCTAATGCAAGATTGATTAGACCTCTGCTTAGGCTCTCGGCTTCTTTATACTTCTTGGCTCGCATGAACTCTTTTATGTCACGAATCATTCCTGTTTTCTTTGCACCTATATGACAAAAACAACAAACGAAAAACATCTCAATTTCCAATCGGTATTTGTAGAAGAACCAGTATAGTAGTCTCACAGAGGGAGAGTAGGGAGGGAGGGGGAATGGGGCTAGGGGTTTGGGATTTCTGAGAGGGCCGATTGAGAGTGTGGGGTGTATCATCATATTATTTATTATGAAATGTTTCTTACTTTTTAAAATAAGTCCTCTAACATTGTTGCAGATCTGGTACAGACGAAGGGCTAACTCTTGAAAGGTCAGCCTAGAAACTCTTTGAGGTGGCTGCAAATTTACATTATCAACTCAGTGCTCAAAACTAAATTTTCTTGTTATACCCTCTACTGATGCAGCATCATAGTTTCTTTGGAAACTTACCCCCTTTTCGTTTTGTTGGGGCCTCCTTTCATGTTGGCACTAAGAAAATAACAACCCCCTACTGTATAAACTAAAAGGATTATACCTGCCAAGGAAGAGAAGGGCCGAAACCAGAGAGAAGTTTCCTTTCTGAACAATTCTTTCACATCATATTGAGCAAGAATCTGCTGTGAATTCATGAAGAGGTTTTCTGCAAGGTATTGCTCAGAGTTGTTGAGATAGTCCAATGGTAAAATTCCCACAGAGTTCAGAGGAAATGGAACACCTGATCAGAAAATAAACTGTGTTATCTGCTGCGGGATAATAGGCAAGTTATTGACAGAGACAAAAATAATGGTAAATGAAAGCTCAGCAGAGGAACAACCCCAATATACAGCCATCTTGACTGAAAAAAGGAGGTTGATGAAGGATTTATCCCGTGGCAAAATTAGGATAACTTGCAATGATCATACTGTGCAAAAAGCTTACTTCATGCTGTGTTTTTATTTACTTGTTGAGTCAATGGAAAACAAGAAAATGAAATTATTCTTTTATAAAAAAAGAGCTGTTTAAGCTGATGGATGTTGTTAAATACAAACCCACCAATCAGAGAAGTCATCAGTGGTGCAATATCAGCTTGATTGACATCTATTCTTTTCAGATGACCAAGATTCCACTTGATTGTCTCCTCGGCAATATCAACACCTTGTGCAGGAGCCATTGGTCCTTGCACACCAGCTCCCCAAGCTACTAAGGGCGTCAGTGTTTCGTGAGGATGTCCTGCCCCATGGGACCCCCAGTTAGTCATCCCATGATCAGCTGTCAACACAAATGCTGTTCGATGATCATGACCATAAAATTCTTCAAATAAATTTTCCATGTCTTTTATCCCTTTGTCCACAACAGCAATATTCCTAAGATACTCTTGGGAGGTTGGTCTGTGTGCATGGCCATTGGTGTCAATTCCTGAAAACAATCACAAAAGTCAAACAATACTTATACTGATAAAATGTAGGTAGACTTGATTTGATATAGCATTTTTCACAAAACTATGCTGCTCCTAAAGGTGGGTAAATTCATTAATTACCAAAAATATGAAATGGCAATGCCTAAGAACCCTCTGAATTATGAAGTGGTTATCATCTAGTGTTAAGTGTACAATTTTTAAAATCCAGTGACACTCCAAGCTGTCTTCATTAGTTTTTAAAAAAAATATTTCATGAAAGTTTAAGTGTTGGTACACATAAGGAAGAAAGAAAGATAAATGACTATTTGTGCAGTTTCCCAGTCATAATCCTAATGGATACTTCAAGACAGTTTATCTTGTTATACTCCCCACCAATGCAGAACCACAGTTTCTTTAGAAACTTGCCCCCTTTATTTCTATAAATACTACACTTGAGAAAGCACCATACCACTAATGGGTATTCAAAGGTCTTGAAAGAAACATTGTGGGAAACTACTTTACAACTACTTAATCACAAAAACAAAACAAAACAAAACAAAAACAAAAAACAAAAAAAAACAGATACTTTGTATCTTACAGGTAAGAAGTGCAGGAGTAGTGAACAATGCCACATCTTTAAGAAACCTAGTGGTATTTATGGAAAGCACTTACCTAGAAGGTGAAAGAAAAAAACAATTTTCTCTTCATGAAGCATCCTCTTCAAAGTTTCATTATTCATTGAAGCACTAAAGAACTTCCTTACTTCATTAAACACCCAAGTATCAAGCTTAGCAGCATCCTCATTTGCAAAGTCTTCTGCAACATCTTCATACATGGATGTAAAAACATGGTTTCCACTGGCTCCCTTGGCAAACATTGGCAGGATATCAGGGCTTCCCCAAGCCCATGTGTATCTGCTTTCATTAAAGGTAGAATCAAACTCCACTGGGTTCTCTTTCCAACCTAGAAAAAGGAAGCAACATATAGTGTGGTGAGTAATCCATAGCAGTAAAAAAAGAATTGTAATTTGGGAGAGGCCTTGACTCTTTGACTCCCTAAGAGTGACTAGCTTCTCATTCTCCTTGCAACATCACTTCCGAATAAAGGAAATTATCACCAAATAAAGAAGCTCTTGATTGTCAAACAAATCCTCCTTCTCTGTACCTTAGGAAACACTACAGACCTTTGGACGTAAAGGGTTAACTACTGTTTAAATCAATGGCATCATCTGGGATAATATTATCCCAACTGATGCCATGGACTTGTCAAAACTCAGATTTTTAATGTTTGATTCAAACAGTGTGGTTTTAGGCCTCCATCCAAATCTCTTTAATATGCTGAAAATAATTTTTTTTTAAATTTGAAGAGTTTTGATAGTGACATCCATCAAAATCAAAGTAACTCTAGCCAACCTCTAGCCTGCATGGCTGGTATATACATGTAAAGGGGAGAGAAGGGGTAAACTAGGTCTTCTACAACCACAATCTCAACATCAGTTCTCCCTACTGTCTGCTATACATTTCCAATAACTTTCCCTTTGAGAATTTGGTGTTCAATTGAACAAAATTCCCTTGTTTATTATGCTTTTCTTTCTTCTGATTACCTGTCTGCTTGACTAGGTTAAGATATTGTTAGGAAGTTTTTAGAAAGTTTTGTATTTGCATCCATTCATAATATCCATGACAGTATTTTGGAGGAAAACAAAACGGGTCTATGGAGTTTGGACAAAAAGTTAAATCTTTGACTCCCAGAAGTAATTGATATGTAACTTCTCCTTCCATTATCCATACATGATCCCGCAAACAGGTAGTGAGAATACACAAACTTATCATGTTAAAGTTGCTGCCTTGTCTAACACCAAATTCTTATACCTAATTTACAAGGAAATTTGTAGTAGCTAGAGGGGAGAATTAATAATCAGATCTTAGGATTTAAAGGATTACACAGAAATATCAATGCTCCCCACTGAACAATTCAATATATTGTTAAGTGTTTGCTTAATATCAAGTGCAAAGTTCTGTCCATCATAAATTTACTGTAATTTCTGGTTATTTACCTACACAGCTGATTACCTGTATAGGTTAATTTTTGCAATAATGAGAAAAAATTTCAACAGATTTCGGGCCGCACTGGCAGATAACCCGCACCCAAAAATAAAAGAAAATTGTCAACTCACACAAAGTTCCTCCATTGCTTTTGTTGACATGATATCTTTGAGCATGCAATTAATAAATTTTCACACTTCTTGCTTTCAATGTTTCATTGAGAATGATACCAGTTGTAAAAATCTGCTTTCAAAAGAAATCGATATCTCAAGATCTATGAGTTGAAGAAATCGCTTGAATTGTTTTTTAAACCAAACAAAGAAACAAGCTGAGAAATTGAAAAGGTAAGAAAGTAAGAGTACAAACAAGATAAAAGCTTTTGTTATTGAGTTTTGAAGATATCTTTTAAAAAAGTCTTAAAAGTCTCTTATAATACTGAGCAATCTGTGTAAAACAAATGGGTTATTGAACAGGTCTTTTGATGGGTATCTTAAGTGGATCTTATTATCATCTCTGCTTCTTCTGGCTTATAGTTTAAAAACTATACAGGAAGCTTTAAAAATTAGTGTATTACTTGCACCTTCCTATAACCTGTACTAACAACTGTTTGTGGAAAAATTAACAGATTACCAGCATGAAATCAACCAGAAATTGTGGTAAAACTGGAATTAACGCTATTTTTATTATGCAAGTAAATAGAAAGTCCATCTCCATATTCCTATAATTGCAGCTCATTTATATTATCATCCTAAAGCAAACCTATAAGCTCAGTAACTTGCATAGATGCTGAATTTATTTAATTGCTTTCAATAATTTTGGAAAGAAAAAGTAACAAAGTTCACTCACGCCAAATATGGGTATAGGAGCCACAAAATTTTTCAACAGGAGATTGAAATCAGTCTAATTATAACATATTACACACTGAAAGCAAAATTGCAAAACAACTTAAGTCATACCTAACCTTAGATTTTTCTCCTTTGAGGAAAACCAAATGGGTAAAGTTTCAATTTTCTCAGAAACTGAGCTTCTCATTTCTAAAAGGTCCTGAGCGTCATAAACCTACAGTAAAGATATGCAAATGATAGATCATTTGCCAAACTAGCAAGGGTCGAGTCTTCATCAATACAGAATAAGAAATAATAATGAAATTTCTTGTCAGAAGAACATACTAGAAGTATCTAGTTTCAATTTTCCCAAAGTTGGTTTCGAAAGCAACTGCTATTTTCATAGTCCAATCATAGATCTTATTCACGGGAGGTTCTCATAACTAAAAGTAAAAGAGGACGTGAGATCAAAGAGCTTCTTGATTTACATCTATTGCTGGATTATGGACATCACTCCAAATAACAGTTATTTATTTGAAAACCTTGGGCTCGTAAGAAAAGTTATACTCTCTCTAAAAATTGAGCATAGGACGTGATTATATTTGTTAAGACTACAAGCAACTTTATCACGAACCTTTGGCCACGGCGCTGACATCTTCATAGAACCCAGCAATGAGGGCCACATGTCCAGGCCGAGACTCTGTAGGTACTCGTGTGTGAGAAACACCCCAACTGGCTTTTGTTTCGATCAAATCTCTTAAATATGGTGCGCGAGTTTTTCCGCGTTCATCAAGTTCATAAAATTTGTCTGCTCGTAATCCGTCGGCAACGAATAAAACCAACCTCTTTGCGGGCGCCTTTAGAGTCGATTGGTAAGGGGTCATGCCATGAACTAGGGGAGAAGTAAAATAAATATCGAATATGGACGCAAGATAGATGATATGAACCAGTATCCCTAAAACTAAGAGAGTTGACTTCGCTGCGGCCATGTTGGTTTAGGTACATACGTGGCTTATCATACACCACGTAGCCACCCACGCCAATCGAGATGAGGAGGGAGGCTGGAGCAAGAGAAAAAATTGGGAGAAATTCGGCAGAAAAGAGTCCTTTGATTTTTACTCATATTCATACAATCCATAACTCCAACTTAATGGGAAATAAGCAAAGCTCTTCTCTCACGGCTAAAGCAAACCATGTGCGCTCGCGCAGGAACTGAAACGGAGACCGAAAACGGAATGACTTTAGCATCGTCGAGTGCTTTGTTAAAATAAGAAAATTATCCCGACCACTGATTGTTAATTAACCAAAAACAAAATAAATTTATTTGGCTGTTATCCAAAAAGTGATGCAAGCAAAATGATTTTTTTATTTTAGGAAACTTATGCACGGTTTTTTCGGATCAGTGATATAAATCGGAGATCGTTTTGTGACGAGGTTCAAATTTTGTCGATACTGAAAAAAACTCGGCAATAACTAAGACTTGAAAAAAATCATCAGAAGCTAGAGAAGATGTCAGACGAGTTGGCTCTCCCGATTGGTATCGACCTTGGAACAACTTACTCCTGCGTTGGAGTATTTCAACACGGTAAAGTTGAGATTATCGCCAACGATCAAGGAAACCGAACGACCCCGAGCTATGTCGCCTTCAATGAAACGGAGCGCTTGATAGGAGATGCGGCCAAGAATCAAGCAACTCTTAACCCAAACAATACAATCTTTGATGCCAAGAGACTTATTGGTAGGAAATTCAACGACCCCCTGGTTCAATCCGACAGAAAAAATTGGCCCTTCGAAGTAGTCAGCGAGAATGGGAAACCCAAAATCCGCGTGCAGTATAAAGGCGCGGCGAAAAATTTTACGCCGGAGGAAATCAGTGCCATGGTCCTAACCAAGATGAAAGAGATAGCCGAAGCTTACCTGGGCCAGACCGTTCATGATGCTGTTGTCACAGTACCAGCATACTTCAACGATTCACAGCGACAGGCCACCAAAGATGCTGGAAAAATAGCAGGGCTGAATGTCAAGAGAATCATTAATGAGCCCACTGCCGCCGCCCTCGCGTACGGTTTGGAGAAAAACCTCAGCGGCGAAAAGAACGTGTTGATTTTCGACCTTGGTGGAGGGACCTTTGACGTCTCTGTGCTAACTATCGACGAAGGTTCCTTCTTCCAGGTTCTCTCCACAGCTGGAAACACACATCTTGGTGGAGAAGATTTCGACAACCGCATGGTGGACTATTTTGTGTCAGATTTCAAGCAGAAAAACAAGAAGGATCTCAAGACCAACCCGAAATCCTTGCGTCGCCTGAGGACCGCATGCGAAAGAGCCAAGAAAACTCTGTCGTCTGCAACCCAAGCTAATATAGAGATCGATTCACTGTTCGAGGGAATTGATTTCTACTCCAGAATAACCCGTGCCAAATTTGAAGAGCTCTGTATGGATCTGTTCCGCTCATGCCTCGACCCAGTGGAAACTGCCCTTAAAGATGCGAAGCTTAACAAACGCAAAGTGCATGACGTGGTTCTCGTTGGAGGATCTACAAGAATCCCAAAGATTCAGAGTCTGTTAGAAGAATTCTTCGAAGGAAAACAGCTGAACAAATCAATCAACCCTGACGAGGCCGTGGCGTATGGTGCCGCTATCCAAGCAGCGGTCTTGTCCGGAAACAGAAGTTCCGAACTCAGGGATATCCTGCTGCTCGACGTTGCACCCTTAAGTCTCGGGATTGAAACCGCCGGTGGGGTAATGACCACTATAGTTCAACGCAATACAAAGATTCCAGCGCAAGTTTCTAAGGAAGAGTTCTCAACTTACTCAGACAATCAAACAGCCGTTACCATCCAGGTGTTTGAAGGAGAGCGTGCCTTCACCAAAGACAACAATCTACTGGGACGATTTGATCTGAAAGGAATCCCCCCTGCACCACGAGGTGTGCCCAGGATCGAGGTCTCCTTCGATGTTGATGCCGACGGGATCTTAACTGTTTCCGCCAAGGATCAGAGCACTGGGAATAGCAACAACATCACTATCACCAACGACAAGGGAAGGCTGTCCAAAACGGACATCGATCGCATGGTGGCTGAAGCGGAGAAGTACAAGGAAGAAGACGAGAAGAAACGCGACAAGGTAAATGCAAAAAACAACCTGGAGGGCTATGCGCACCAAGTCAAACAAGCTGTAGAAGATCCGAAAAATGATCACAAGCTTGATCCTGAAGATAAGAAGATAGCGAAGAACAAGGCGCAAGAAGTGATTGCTTGGTTGCAACGCAATCAAGAAGCTGAAAAAGAGGAGTATGAAGAAAAGCAAAGAGATATACAGCAAGTGTGTTCACCAATCATGTCCAAGGTACAAGGACAGGAGACCCCGGAACAAGGGCAAAACAGCTACTGCGGTGGACCTTCGGGTGCAAGGCCAACCCCCAATAGATACAGTTCTATAGTCGAGGAAATTGATTGACTGAACGCTCCGTAGAGGAGTTGATGTTTTGCATTCTAGACTTTAAAAACGTTCCTCTTTGGTTTTTAGTAATTAGCTTTTTTATCAAATCACGGACTAGAGTAGCTGATCGAGTAACAGACACTTTTAAATAATGAAACTTTAGAAACCTTCTTTTGGTGAGACGAAACGTTTGGTACTAAGTTTTTCTAGTTTTACCTATCGGGCATATTATTCCTCTCACACAGCGACTCGTTGCCAGTGTTTTCAGTTTCTATTAAAGGCAGTTTGACATCAAATTGATTGCGTGATCTTTGAGATTTGACAAGGGATGGCAAAGAACGTTGGTAATGGCAGAGGTCTTCGAGGATGATACATGGAAACAAACAAATACATAAATATATAAGGAAATACATTAAAAACATATTCATTACGGGCGTCACCAAATCCTCGAAGAAATTATTTTACTTTCTGATATCTTCGAAATTATGGAGAAAAAAATTGACTTTCATTTTCGCTGTGTACATGATGAACCTTCCTAAAAACAAACAGAGTGATAGGGTAAACCAAAAAAAATATATCAGGCGCTGTCAATTGAAAACGATCTTTATTCTGTTCATCTGCCATTCGCATAGAGTTTTACACCTTAAGGTAAAATAGTATTTCATCGATGGTATCACTGACGCAATAACAGTTTTTTTGCAGTCCTTGCTGACATAAAACTAAATTCCCTCCCAACAGCCAGGAGGTGCGACGCGCAACCTCCTTCCCAGGCTCTTTCAATCCTCCAACCCAAGGGCGAGTAGAAAAGTGACCCTGGAAAGGAGATTGACTCAGCGCGTTCTTTTAGAACGAGCCTCAACAAGACGCAAGTACTATTGGAACAACAACAAGGCTCGCCTCTTGTTGCAGAGGTATTAAGTCTTTCAAATTTTCTCTCAACACTCGTCGACAAAGTACAGAAGGGACATTATTAGTCTAAACTAATGTAGACATTCTTGAGCCCGTCACGAAGTCGTTCCTCCCCACGAGGGGAGGAAGAACTGTGTGACGACCCCAAGAGCGCTTAGATAAGGGGCTAAGTCGAAAGAGTTACTTCACGATATTTCAAGAGGTAACTCGTAAAGACGCTTTCACAAAGGCAGACACAAAGTAGCAAAACAGCAGAGAAGTGAAAACATTCGCAAAAAGGAATGGGTATACGCTGACCGCGCGGTAACTCCTTCAACTCCTTATCTGTAATTGACTCCAAACAGTGCCTTTGAAAAAAGCAAAGGGTGACAGAAAACCATTTGCTAACTTTCACAAAAGCAAAGTTAGACATTTAACCAAACATTTTCTTTTTTAGTGTATTTTTTCTCATGACACAAATAAACGACCTGTGCCGTTCTAGATTTGGTTTGTGCTTTTGTTAGAAAGATCAACAGCTGGTACACTAAATTAATCGACATTTAACCCAGATTTTTCTAACTACGTCACAGAAGATGTCGAAGAATTAGGCTTAAGTTTGGACACCAAGTCCCTAAAACTATATGACTTAAAAAAGCCGAGGATGTATTTTCATCAACAACCTCTATACTCCGTAAGGGTTCTGAAACAAAAGTTGCTTCCCACGACAACTTATATGGGAATATTGAGCAAGGAGTAAGGTGAAATTTCTAGTTCCTTATCTCTTAGTCTATCCTTGCATCCTACACGTAACTGTCAGTTAACCCTTTAACTCCCATGAGTGACCAAGACAGAATTTCTCCTTACAACATCAATACAATATCAAGCAGACAAGTGTTGGGAATAGAGAAAAATTTCAGTTAGGGAATTGTTTATACCAAATTCTCAGAACTAAAATCACAAGAATTGTATGGCAGACAGTAAGAAGAACAATTAATGTGATCTTGGGAGTAAAAGGGTTCACTCAAAATGTGTGAAAGCAAAGGCCACATCAACCTTATTTTGATTCATTAAATACTTTGTATCTTGCATAAAAAATGAAATTTGTTCAAAATTTCTTTCCCACATAAGTCATGAATAGCACTGACCAGCTTGAACTCTGGCCAATCAATTTTCATACTCTATTTGGATATTTTTCTCTATGATACAGTTGCCATGGCTATACACTATACAACACAAAACTATTTTCATCAATTTAAACCTTAGAGTTCATGACAACCAAAACTTGAGGTATTTAACTTTTTGTAATATCATCTACATTTAGGAGACATAAAACTACAAGAGATCTTGGTTAGTCCTGCAAACTCACTACCCCAAAGTATCAATACAAAGAACACCACTTTTCCACAGAAGAAGAAGATCACAATGATAAATCCAATTACGAAACAAATCTTGTTAAAATGTTCTACCAAAGATAAGCATGTCAGGAGGAGCTGGATCCTTGAGGGGAATAGCATAGAATCCTAATTTGGTGTAGAAGTCCAGAGCATTGTTGTTTGTGGTTGCTATCTCGCAGTGCACACCAGTACAGTCTTCAGCCTTGAGTGCAGAAAGAACACAAGCTAACAACCGCTTTCCAAGACCAAGATCCTATCAGAAGGAAATAGTAGAAAAACACCCTTAGCAGGAAAAAAAAAAAAAAAAAAAAAAGGAGGTAGAGGTGTCACCATGGTGAACTTATTAGGTGTGTAGGGTTTCAATGACCTTTTCCTCAAACAGTTTCCAATTGTGAAATAGGTGGTTGTTTCTGGAATGGGGGTTGTGAGGTCCTTTTCCCCAAGAGGGGTCTGGGGGAATGCTTCCCTGGCAAAAACTTGAAATTTAGAAGCTCAGAAATGTAATTTCCAGCATTAGAGTACTAGCAAGTTAGACAGATGGCAGATGGCACTGCTAACTAGCTTTTGAAATCTGTATTCTTTGTATCCATGGTTAACCACCTATCCCATTTCACTGATGCATGAAGAGCTCTTTTTATTTTTAATGTCAACTAAAATAACTATCACTTTTAGGATTCCCTTCAAATATGAAGTAACTTTGTACCTGTGCTCTGGGAAGAAGATGGATCTGTACATGAGCACCAAACTTTAAACACACATCTTCAGGAAGGAATATTTTTGGATTGTGCAAGCTATTGGCAAGTTGTTCAGCATATGTCCACTCTGGTGAATTCCCAGCTGGCATCTTGTACTTCTTGCAAACCTGAGAAATCAATTATTTGAGAGACTGAAGTGGAGGAGGGAGAGTGATAGCAGTTACAAAGTACCCGACAGCCAACTCAGTCAAAGGCAATTCAATTAAAGTAGTTTCCATATGTGGTGTATGATGTAAGAAGTCACACTGTCACGCCACTCCCAGGCAATAACATATTTACCTACCCAGGATGCATGACATAAAGACTAACATACATGTAAGAAGCAGTGAATAACAAATCAAATAGCTAAAAAAAGAAATGTTTTCTTCACAACTGTACATTTCAGTTTTCAAAGCTGTAAAGTAACTCTGCTTTCAAGGCAATTGATTAACTAGTGTACACATGTATTCATTGATGGAAATTTACTTCTGAATTCTGATGTCATTGTGGTCTTATCCCAAAATTCAAGTTACTTCTAGTGCTGTGCACAACTAAATGTAACAGAAAGGATACAAACACAATACCAGTTTAGTTGGAGTGCATGACTGAACAAGAATGGAAAAAGAGGTGGAAAACTAACATGGATTGAAAATGGCAAGCTTGAAAATGTAAGACAACACAATCCAAACTTTACAAGTACTGCAAAGCTTACTTAATTTTATCATTAATTGGCAAGTCAAGTGAGCAGTCCAATTTTTACATACCTCTGGAAGCCAGTGTTTTTTGAACTGCTCATAAAAGTGTTTGGAATCAGGAGCTGCTACTGCATAACCACAAATGCCATCACCATCTTCCACTACAAACACATGTTCAGGACAGATCTTCAGATATGGACCAACAAACCTGAAAAAAGGACATTTGGATAGTAAGATAAATTGTTATGTTGCTTCCAAAGGTGATAAACAAACAAACAAACAAGCAAGCGAGCGAGCAAGCAAGCAAGCAAGCAAGCAAGCAAGCAAGCAAGCAAGCAAGCAAGCAAGCAAGCAAGCAAGCAAGCAAGCAAGCAAGCAAGCAAGCAAGCAAAAGCAAAAGCAAGCAAGCAAGCAAGCAAACAAGCAAGCAAGCAAGCAAGCAAGCAAGCAAGCAAGCAAGCAAGCAAGCAAGCAAGCAAGCAAGCAAGCAAGCAAGCAAGCAAGCAAGCAAGCAAGCAAGCAAGCAAGCAAGCGAGCAAGCGAGCAAGCGAGCAAGCAAGCAAGCAAGCAAGCAATGTTTTGTCTCCCCTAGGCACACTGAATATCAAATTTATTTTAACAAAAAAATTTATTTCTATAAAGAAGAGAGAGGTAGGGAGAGAGAGTGAGAGAGATGGGAAAAAAAACTTTTGGCTGATGCTAAGGACATTTACCATTTTTCAGGTTTGAAGTTTGTCTAGCCTTAAATCACAAATAGATGTCAAAAGTTTATCCAGTACAAAGCCTCTGCTTGATGGTAATACACAAAGGAGCTGGCACTCTCTTTTCATCTTTACAGTAAAGACCTGGCAACCTCAACATCTCACAGAGGAGTTCTTGTAAGTTAGCACAGTTAGAGATATGTGAAGTTACACACTAAACTACTGAGAGAGAGCAAATCTAGGGGATGATGGCATGGCTTCAAGAGTACAGGGGGGAAAGAAACTGTAGATATATCTTCTATCAAGAGAACCACACATACACAAAAATAGAAAAAACCACATTACTGCTATAAATTACTGACCTGTCTCCTGCCATATTGAATTGTTTGTCAGGAAATAAGTCATGGCCATCTCCCCAGTCATCACATGTGGACACACAAATTTCATACAAGGATTTCTGGTAAGAAAAATCAAATGCAACAAATTGCACCATCATTCTGTTTTAATGTAAAAAAAATTTAAAAAATACATGTTGGTTGTTCATTTTAACACATGAGTATTTATCAACAACACTTCTGCACCCTGCACAAAACCCTTGTGGAAGCTCCACAAATCAAATGTTGCAAGTAACATTAATCCTCCAACCGCTAAGAGTGACAAGCAGCTAATTTCAAACATCAAGGTCATGAGAATGGAAGAAATGACTTAAAAAGCTCTTGATCATTAAACAAATTTTCCTTTTCAGCACCTTAGAAAATGTATAAAGAACAGCATGGAATATGCATGCTGATGTCAGTGTGTAAAGGGCTAGGGAAAAGAAGAGATTTGTTTCACTGAGAAATGTCCATACAATTATGTACCTCATCATCTGCTTGATATGGTCTGATGGTGTAGATACAGGTGGTAGGAATTTCTGGAGCCCTCAAGTTAAACACTTCATGTCCTCCATCAATTGGTAACAGTCTCTATTGACACAATATGCCATGACAGTTTGAGCAATTCACTTGAACAATAATTGTTTTGGGTACGAGTCTTCAATGTGCAAGTCATACGTAGGGAAGAGAGGTGATAAAAGTACATTATGTGCTCCAATCCTGTTGAACTGTCAGCTTACTGTAGATTTTTTAAAAAGGGCTGCAACACATCATGAATCCTTCCTCTTCACACAAAGAAATGTAGTTAAAACAAATATGGTTAAAACCTTGTACTACTGTACAACTGAAATTTAACTAAAGCTTGGGCCTAGTTTTTCAAAAGGTGGATAGCACTATCCATTGGATAAATCTTTATCCAGTTGATAGTACTGTGCACTTTGTTAACATTTATCCACTAGATAGCTATTAATCTGTTCAATAGCTATATCTACTCTTTGAATAACTGTGCACTGATTTTCACTTTCATAGTAAGTTTTTTTTCTAACAATTATTAAAATAGGAATCAGTAATTAGATGCACTTCTTTTTCCTCGTTCAAAATGTGCACCATACCTGCAGCTCTCCACACAGACCTCCTCTAAACACCCATGGTTCAGGGTCCTCAGGGAAAAAGCTCTGTCCCTTTTGTTTCTTCCTCTTGTTCTTTGTACTTAACCAGTTCACAAATGTGTCTAGTAACTGTAGGACTTCCTTGACATCCCATACATATGGATAGAGGTCATACAGCAATGCTCTGTTGGAGGTTTCTGTTAATCTTACAAACATCTCTCCCACTGATCGGCAGATTTCGTGGAACTTTTCAGCTCTTTCAGTCCATTCTGATAACTGAAATGTAGCAACAGAAGAACTTGGCGGTAAAGATGTTTGTTTCTGTGTTCGTCATGTCACTGGACAGAACGTTCAACAGCTCAGATTAGCGTATATGTTTGTAATCACATTGAATATTTCACCAAAAATTTCATCACCACTGTTGTGCTCTGCCATCTCTACAATCCTTGTAAACCCTGTAACTCCCAATCCTAAGATATGATTGTTAATTCTACCCTCTGGCTGCTAAAAATATCCTTGTAAATAAGTTACCATAAAAACCTACAGATAAGCTGCACCTTTTTTCCAAAAATCGTTGCTAGAAATTGGGGGTGCAGCTTATCTGCAGGAATATTTGAAAAAGGTGTTGTGAATGTTGACATTTTCACGTCCAATCTAATGCCTGGTTACTGAGCTTCGAATGTTCCGCTCATGTTCTTGTTGTTATGCAAAAATCTATGGAAAAACTGTGTTGAATGAAGAAATTCTTGTCAACAAATACCAGAAAAAGATCAATCACATGTCAAAGTTGGTAGAAACGATGTTCATTATATTAAAGTGCTAAAAATTGCAGGTAAAAATTTGAAGTATTTTCCGTTGCAATGTTAATAGTGAGTTTATGTTCAATGAACAGTGGATGAAGAAGACTTCTTAAGACTCAACTTTGGATTTCTTTTGATTTCTTTCAAAAAACTTTTTTTTCCGAAATTTGAGCTGCTAAATTCAAGGTGCAGCTTGTCTGTGGGTGCAGCTTATCTGCGGGTTTTTACATTAGGTGAATTTGGTTTTGAATCAAGACAACAACTTCTACATAATAATTTTGAGTACTATTTCTTTTCTAGATAATGTAAAGATATCATTTGGGAAAAGGTTTCATGTTATTCACCTTAAGGAGTTAAGTGGTTAATACATACCTTATATTTCTGTTCTTGCTCAGTAAGCTCCATAAACTCTTGTGAATCCTCTTTTATTGCGTTGAACTTAAGCCATTTAAAATCAGCAATAATCTGCATAGCCTTTTGACCATGATTGTATGGCAGGTAAAATAAATCTACCAACAACAGTAGATCCTCAACACTCAGTGGTGTTATTGCAGGTTTCTCTTTTACTTCCATCACCTCCATTGGCATCTCTTGCTCCTTCTTTACCACTTCTTCAATCTTAGTTTCTGCCATTTAATTACAAAGATAATTAAATGCATATATTTGGAGTGCAGGTTAAAAGATTAAAGAAAAACCTTGATTTAAAAATAGTAAAAGAGATATTGCCTTCAAAAAATTGTTGCCTTCTTTACTGAAGACAAGCATCATTAATGTCAAGTTTAATTTGAAAAGCTTCTTCAAGCCTTTTATGACATTAAATCATGGGTTGTATAATCTTGATTTGCCAGATAGTTTTACAAAGAAAACTAATTTTCTCAAATGAACATAACGTCAACTGACTTTTCCATGACCTTAAAAAAATTTTCCTTAACTTTTCCTGTGAACACTAGTAAGAATACCTCAATACCCATAATCCTTTTTAAGATTCTAGATGGTCTAATGTTTCATACCTGGGGAAGGAGAAGTGGCCAGCTTTTTCCTACTATTTTCCTTTGCAACCTTTATTGGTGAGGCATTCACTACGGGTGAACAAACAGGAGAAGTAGCACTTGTAGTTGATGTAGCTTGTACTACCATAGGGGCTTGCACCTGAACTGCCATGGACTCTGGCGTCATACTGTAGGCACCACTTTTTGCATAGGTTCTGGAAGTAGCAGCTTTTACCTTAGAGAATTCCTCTAGCCAAGCAGACACAGCCTCTCGCAGAGCAGATTGGGGGTTATAAGCAATGCGACTGGTGGTGCTCTTAGCTTCACTTAGCGATGTACCACTCTCTGTTTCCATAGCTCCCTCTACCTTGACACTTTCACTATCTGTTTCTGGAGAACTATTTTCTTCAGCTGTGCCTTGATCAGTTTCTTTATTGGTGTTTTCATTTCCTTCACTCTCTATGCTGGCAAGAAGATCTTCCTCCATAGGCTCACTAGAGTTACTTGACTTCTCTGCCTTTGAATCAATACTCATAGGTTCCTCAGCAGTGCTAAGTGAGGAATCTTTCAACCATGAAGAAAGAGTGTGGACAGCAATAAAGTTACTTTCAAACTCACAGTTAGGATTGGTCAGTACTCCATTGAGCATGGGGATTAGCTCTACTGGCCTTCCATCATAAGGTCCCAAGAAGACTCGACGCTGGTCATAGTCATTTGCATGAATATTGTCCCATATGACAGGTCTGCGCTTCAGCACATTTGTCAGTGTTTCAATAGTTTGAGTGCTGATCACTTTTGAGACTACCTTGGGACCTAAAATGATTGAAGCAACATTGTAAGACCTATGCCATGTTGAGTGCCTTGACACAGAACACAGACACACATGTAGGCTGCTATATACAGGCACGTCTAGTCTTTCTTTCCCAAAGCCAGCATTTTTTAATAATCCACTATACTTTCAAAGGAAAAATTTTTTTTTTCTGTTGTTCAAAATTTAAACTAACCAACTCATTTAATTCATGCAATAGCATAATTTGAAAAACCTTTTTGAAAGTAAGGCATAAATCCAATGAAGTAAGAACCCACTCTGCTTTTTTCCTTTCAATTTTCTTCACCTTTTCATGTTTTTTTTTAAATTAGATTTCTTCCCAAAGTTTAAATCAAACAAAGTCAATTTAAAACAAGCCAAAATCACACAAACTTTATCTTTAGTTAGAGTGAGCATTCTTCATTGAAATTGAACCATACCTTTCAGAATCAGAGTTGACAATTATAAAGGTCTAGAAACATATTCAAAGTTTGGTAAAAGACATTGCACCCAGCCACACCTGAGAGTTACTTTAACAGAAGTTTCATGAACATGGATTGGCACCAATTTTTAATGATAATAAACCAATGGAGACCAAAGACAAAACTTTCACTCAGCTGATATGGGAATTTGTAAAGTTGATTTGCTTTCCATGAGAGTGGGGTTATCACATCAATACACACAACATACAAAAAGACTCACATACTTCTTCAAAACCAACTACATAACCAACTCAACAAACACAAAAACGACACACATACAGGACAAAAAGGCACAAAATGTTACAGGACCATTATGTACACTAGTCTACTGGCACAAGTCAATACAGTTTGGCCTTTGTCTGATTCTCTTATTTTCTTCGTATGTAATAGTTTAATCTTAGTACTCAAGAGTGCCAGAAAATGCTTTGACAACACTATGGCCATGTAGCATAAAACAATAATTCTATTTTCAAAAGTGTTGCTTTCCCTTTTTGATTGGAAATGACAAAGTTCACTGTTATGTTGAATAGTTCTATAAATTCAATATTCACCAAAAATTCTCTCTCAATACAAGTTACTTTGCCAAATTCAGGCGAAATTCAATTTTTTAGTTTGTAGCAAAAGTATAAACAAATCATAAAAACTTGTATACTTCCCAATACTTGAAAAGAACAAAAAATGAAAATAGAATTATGTGCTGGATTGCTCACAATATTTAAAACATATCATCCTTTGTTTACAAATCTAACCAATCTATGGTAGGTTTGCTGATAATTTTTCAAGAATCTTTCCTAATGACCAACACTGCAGTTTAAGTCTGAAAGGTCAGATTTCACTGTAGCTGAAGTTTCACAAATGAGGTTCAGTTGATCAGGGGTGGTCTTTTTTTCATAAACAAAGGAAAACCAGCTTAAATTTTGCAAGAAATCCTTCTCATCACTGTTGATTGTTCTTTGCAGGAAGGTACATCCATTAAAACAATTTAAAACATGCAGAAGAGATCAAATACATGCACACTGACTGCAAAGAACATCAATCAACACAGTCACGTGGCAAGCAAGGAATGATGTAGTTCAAGATTCTTCCCTGAGTTTATTGATTCTGTTTATTCCCTTAATAGCATTACAGCGAGTGAAGATTTTGACAAGTTTACTAATATATTTTGTATCATGATCCTGCACCAAAACTTAATATCATTCAATTGATATCAAGATTCTACAGAGATGTTAAATTTGATTTTTTACTCTCTGCATCTTGTTTTTTTTTCCCCTTTTTTTTTTGTTTTGTTTTGTTTTTTATGTTTGTCTTAAGTGTGGGTTCATAATTTGCCTGACTGCAAAATGCCAACCAAACCTGGAATATGCAGTGTTATCCACTGTGCTCCATTTAAGAAACACATGCAAATGCTTGTAGGATTAAACCCCTTCATTCACCTATACTAAGGTAAATGCTTGTATGGCAAATATTACATTTTCCATTCATGTTTTTTTTTCATTTTTACTGAGCCATTCAAAAACTTTGGTCTATAAAAACACACAACATTAAAAAAATCAGTAAAATACAGGCTATAATCCTGCAAGCATATTGTTGTTTAGAATTGTTAATTTTTTGGTTGGGCCAAAATTTCTTTTGAGTTGGCTAATTTGTTTATGCTTTTTAGCTTGAGCTCTTTCTTTAGTTTGTTTAAAGGAGGACTTTTGTTCTGTGTTAACTAAGTTCAAACTTCTTCGGATCACCATGATCAGAAGAACTTTAAACTGAAAGATTAAAAACATTACACATGAGTCCATGAACAAATTTGGAGACAATTTAGAAAATCTTGAAAAGCTGGCTGGCTGGCAGGAAAGGAAAAACTAAGATGCAACTGTACCTTTAACCAAGCATAGAAGAATCAGGATAGGATTTGTTCCTCACCAACACTGCTAAATGGAACAGGACATGTTGACAACAAAACCAGCATTCAGCAATAATAAATCAAAAGACAAATGAAAGCCACAAAATAAGAAAAGTAACAAAATAAAATTGGTCACCTGTCCACATAATGTTTATCTTTGGGTTCAGTTTGTTTCCCAGTGTGATAAGGTAGTCAGATGTCTCTACAGATGGAATGGCTCTTGTGCCACAATATTCTACACAAGGAAAAAAAAACAGCATCATTCCAAAACCATGGTTACAATTTCTGAACACCCTCAAAACTTGCAGATAGCACAAATTCCCTTTACATCTTCACCAACTTTTTCTCTAGAGTGGGGCAAGGGAGGTAATAAAGGAAAGGACGTGGGGAGGGAGTGTAGGAAAGGGAAGGTCATTACATACACTGTATTGGTAAGATGCACTAAACTTCTTTAAGAGGACAAGGTTTGGTTTAAGTGTCTCAAAGATTTATTGGCCTGAAGATTGTACAATTCTGCCATGCAAAAGTTACTTATCTGGTATAACAACTTGTTGCTACTAATTCATATTGTTGTTAAATACAACAAACAAAAGAAATCCTGCACTTATATCTGAAGTGGATCAGAGATTTACTGTACCTGTTGGACAAAACAGAAAGCTTGGGCATCCCAAGTGTTTGTAGACATTATTTGTGATTTCCACCTGAGCATCTCCAAATGAACTAAATGCATCAAGATCAGCACCATGTAACTGTGGATCAATGTCATCAAATAACAGAGCAAATGCTGTGCAACCAAGCTTCTGCACCTGAAAAGAGAAGAGCAAATGGTACAATTAACTTGTTTTCAGTTTTGAGCCTGTATTTTCTAGGAAGCTCAAGCTTGCAAATATGCAGCTTACAATCATTGGAACTCAAGATAAAACTCTTCTTTGGAGGGTACTTGAAAGGGCTACTCATGTGCATCCAAGAGAAAGTCATGAGGAATACCAACACTAGCACCTAGTGATTCTGATGCTGTATGAGCAAAAGAAACAACCTTCCAGAACTTCTCTATCCCTGGATGGCTTTTACCAACTTAAAATATACTTACCGTATTTACCCGTGTATAAGTCAACCTTTTACTGCCTAAAAATCGGTCCAAAAAATCACCCTCGACTTATACATGGGTCAAAATCTGAGATAAAAAACTTTCAACTTCGTCGACTTGTACACGGGTAAATACGGTAAATGACAGAACTTGCAATTGATCCTGGGGATAACAAAATCTAGATAAGACTAAAACCTCTAAAGGACACTAAACAGTGAAATACTATAATTTAAGTCCAACACCCCTGAATATATTTTACGAACTATTTAATAATTTTCTGTTTTTTTTCTTTTTCATCCATCACTGTTTCGGTGACACAAAAAAGTATTTTGCAGAGATCTAGTAACAACAAAGAATACTAATTGTACCTGATCCATTTTTCTTTTGAGCAGCTGTACGTCTCTAGAGCTTGAAAATAATATATCAAGTCCAGGGGACAAGGCATAGTAGAGAGTTATACCACATTCCTTTGCTGATACAATAAGCTGTTTTAAATTCTCTGTGAATGATTATAAAGAACAAATAAGATGAATTATTTGAAGAATGTTGAACTGGCAATTTAAAGGTTTAGAAGCTAATGGACTTTTCAGTAAATGCAGAAATTTTAGCTAAGCGATTGTTCAGTAAAGCTCAATGAGCACTTCTGAGGTTATGCACTTGCTGTTGTTTGCCATCTTTGAGCCACTCTAATTCAAACTTTAGCTGGCAGCCTAATTTCTAAGCTATAACACTGCCTCAGTAATAAATTTATGATATTATCTGTTGAACTTTCAGGTAAGTGCAAGAAAGTACTCTCCAAGGAAACCAATTTGCCTATAACTACTTAATTAGGAGACACTGAACTCAGTCTAATTTACCAGTTTCTTCTGGACTATAGAGGTCTCTCCACAGTGCTCTGTGTTTGAGGTCATCTTTGGGAGCATACAAGTAAGTATTCATTCCCAGCTTCTTTATCCTAACAAACAAAAAGCAGATTGGCCTCATTTATCTCATGTGTTACATCTAGAAAACAAAAGAAAACAATCAAACCTCCATTAACCCGACCTCCATCATCCAGATTTTATTGATTATCCAGAGTAGCTTCTCTGGTCACATTTGTTTTATGAATAACATAACTAGGACACACACACACATGCACACAATCTGTAACACTTTTTTTTACTTCAAACAAAGCAAGTGCAAGGAAACATCTGTTGAAATTAAATTTGTTCCACTTTCCAACTACTGACTACTTTTAATAAGACATGTGCATTAGTTTGTAAACCATACAGTGCAATTCAGAACCTGGAAAGGTGCAAAAAGTTGCATTATATTTTGTATTTTTTCTTCTCCTTTTTTCCTTGACTACCAGATAAGTATGTTTCTAGTTATTATCTATTTCTTCATAAAGTATAAAACCTTTAAACTCTCAGAATGACTAGCATCTAATTTCTCTTGACAATATCACCACTAAATCACACATTAAGGTCATGAGAATAAAGGAAATGACCATAAATAAAAGAAGCTTTAGATCGGTAAACAAATTCTCCTTGTAAAAACCTTAGGACATGTATAAAGAACAGTATGGAGAATATACATACTGATGTGAGGGTGTAAAGGGTTTAGGCACACAACCCAACAAAATTGTTCATTTTCCCCACAATAAACATTTGAGGGTTTTGGATGACAAAACTTGATTATACATATGGCTTGGTCAGAAATAAAACAACCTCTGACTGTAAGGGTATTATTCAATTTTAAATACAATTGTTTCAGTGTTGTGAAATTAAAATAAATGAATATTCCTTGTTTACACAACAGTTTTCCAAGCTGTTACACGAGACAGACCATGGTCATAACTTTACATCCTTGGGCGACAGAAAATAAAACCGTGTAATATAAAATATATCTTACATTGAAACCAATTAAATGTAATTGCTTCCAAAGCAAGTGCTTTGAGTGTAACCTGAAATCGAGCTGAAGAAGATGATTTTCCTGAACTCAAACATTCCTACTTAATCACGGAAGTCTGATTACAAAAATAGTACGCTTAGAACATTTATCACAGCTGTACAGAGCGAAGTTACTCGTCGTTAACTAGGTAGCGTCTAAATAAAAGTTTATTTTGTGTAAACTTCTGTAACCGAGCTAAGTCAAATGTCACGGCCGATAATGCAGATCATTTACCTCAAAAACAACTCTTTGCGCTGTTCAAGTGTCCACGGTCTTCCATAGAAACCTGTCAAAAGTTGATAAGGAAAAGAGTTATCAAGTTATGTTTACAAAAGCAAGCTTTCGAAGAAGATAATATTTCCTACAAGGTGGTTTTCGTTCGGCCCTTTACGTTCCTCTCGGATTCAATTTAGCTGCAAGAAAAAAGCTCTTACCTTCAACAACCCCGCTAAGAAACTCTTCGCTCCTAGCTTTAGACGTATCTGAACTCATCTTAGTTCTTTTCTTGGATCCTACACGAATTTTAGGTTTTGAATTTTTCAGAATACGAACCCTTTCAGAGAACGCCTTCATCAGTACCTTCTCGACCTTCTCGACCTTCTTAGCTCCGGCCGGATTGTGCGCAGTATCAACACTAAATCACGTTTGTCCGGTTTTCGCGATTCCCGCGAAATTCCCGCGCCCGAGGGGCAAAAACACCTGCAAAGAAATTAACACTGATGAAAAAGCGGCTTTAAGGGTTTCAAATGAGCAATGCACGTATGGAATAGGAGAGGCAAGTAAACGCGGTAAAGAGAGGTTGTTAACTTGTGTGACCCCGTGCATCCTTCTTTATTTTGGTCCTAGTTCTCTCGGATGCTGCCACGATCACATCGTTACGGTGGCCACCGTACATCGTTACTTGGGGGTACCCGCTAGAACATGAAAGTCAATCAAAATAATTGTGTTTCTGTGGTAAACATCCCAGAGTATGTTGCAAAATGTGTTTGTGGTTTTGATTACAATCCAGCTTTGGATTTGTATGCAACGTTTAGTTTCGAAGATGGTATATCAGTTTGGGATCCCAGTGATGGACAAGTTGTTGTCAGATTTGAAGACTCGGATGAAATCCTCTCTTTCCTGCTCTTTTTACCGGGAAATCGCCTTGCTATGAGCTCTTCGTGCCCAAATCATGGAGGCACCATCGAAATCTGTACTTTTGAGGAAGACAAATCTATGTCTGATAAATTTGAGATCGATTCTAAAGATCTCCCCCTAGATCTACCAGGAGCCATTGCTTTGTCTCCAGGAGGGAATATTCTTCTCTCTGGGGAAATTTATGGAGATCTTTTCGAAATCTTCATTGATTGGGCTAATTCAAAAGTTCTGAAATCAAGAGAAATTGTTTTTCCAAACGAAGGGACCGTGGTAATCGAAGAAGATGTGACAACAGAACTACTTTCTTGCTCTCAGGATTTCGGTGTTGTACAGTGCAACTTTCATCAACCTCACTTCGAATCCGCCTCTTTCTACGAATTGTTAGCTGCAAAAGTAAATTTACACATTGAAGGGGAGGCTCAGATCCAGGGTCATGAGAAAATCACATATTATGTGCTTAATGGAGAAGAAAAACGAATCTCACCGCACGATTGTCTTGGTGGACTTGTTCACGATGGACAAAATCTTATCATTGCAAATGGAGATGAAATTGTGTTGTTGGAGTCAGCAACAGAAGGGAGCAATGCACATGTGATTGCATCAGGAGTTAAACCTTCACAAATAAGGATAAACCATGAAGGCCAATTGATGGTCTGTGAGAAAAACACCATCAAGTTGTTTGAATACAAGAATGAAGTCAAGTCACTGCAGAGATTGTGCCGACATAATATCAGAGAAACAATTGGCACTAATTGTGCTGAAAGAGTAAAAAATTTAGAAATTTCATCTTTACTGAAAGATTACCTGATGTACAAAATTAAATGAACCATAAATGTGTTTAAAATACTGTATCTACATCTGTTTTCCCAATAAACAGATTAACTACCATTTTCAAAATAAAAATTACTCTTAATTAGTCTGTTTCAGGTCATTAAATTGTGGAGATGTGCCTAAGAGTGGGATAAGCAACAAACAACTGATGTGGTCATCACAGAAATGATCCCTGCTATTTTTTGTACACACACTATTTTACTTGTTTCCAGTAATCATATGGCTGGCAGGAGTCACATTACTCTCTTCACTTACCACAAAGGCACAGAAATAATTGTTTTAAAACTGAGAGAAAATTAAAAATGGTTATCTTGGGGTGCCCTCTTGACCTGGTGTTGAGCGCACATAGCAATAACCATTATGACAGTTTTAATGAAGTGTTTTTGAGCTTGTTTTATAAACATGACTTTACCTCCTGTGTTATTTTGTATTTTCAGTACTCAAATAAAATCAAGTTTTTCATAAATTCTCTTTCCTTCCCTCATATTATGCTCAATCCCTTTAGTCTGTCCTAAGCCATGTTCATTAAATACCACACAACTGTTTAAGCTTGGGGAAATATAAGGTAAATGAATGGACTACAACCCAGTTGACTTTCTCATATCATCAATATTTTGGAGTAGACCTTTCCCCAAACAGGTGCTCACAGGACACCAAAGGAAATAAGTTGTACAAAATCAATATTTTCCACAATCATTGAATAAGTTAGTTACTAACTTAGATTACTGAGAAGAGGAAACTACTCAAAACATTTTGCCATTTTAGGTCGGGTCATAATGACCACATGGATTTTCTAAGTCATTTCCCTTTCATTCCAATCATTTATTTGACCTTCAGCCACACATAGACAAAAATGAAAGCAATGTAGAAATCATATCCTGTTCCACGCCATTTTGTTCCGTATCCCTCATTTTGCGTTCCTTATTCCATATTTCTTAGTCTTTGCCCATGTGACCAATTAAGGGGCCTGCAGTACCTGAGAAAGTGAGGCACAGAGTGCTCCTGAGGGTTAAGTACCAATATTTCACACCGTAAAGCTACCAGTTGGAAGATGAGAGTTATCCCAAACAACTGTGTTTCTGAAATTAAATACCCAGAGAGTATAGCAAGGGCAGATGGTGTTGATTATAATCCAGTTTTGAATTTGTTTGTAACGTTCAATTATAGCTACGATGGTGCATGTGTTTGGGATTCCTCCACTGGAAAAGTCTTAGCTAGATTCGATGAATTAGGTGAAAACTTCCGTGACGTGCTGTTTTTACCAGGAAATCACCTAGCTGTAAGTTCGTCAGAGGCACATCACGGTGGCTGCATAAAGATCTGTTTCTTTGAAGATGGCAAACCTGCCTCTATTAAATTTGTAATTGATTCCGAAGATCTTCCCGTGGATTATCCAGGAGCCATAGCTTTGTCTCCCGAAAGGAATCTCCTTGTCTCTGAAGCATTTAATGGTGGAGTTCTCTACGAGGTATTAATAGACTGGGATAATTTGAAAGTTCTGAAATCAAGAGAAATTATCCCCTCAACAGAGGAAAGCGTAGAAGAGCAGATATTACAGCTTTCCTGTTCTCAGAATTTCGATGTTGCAAGGTTTGATATTTCTTCCGATGCAATATTAGTTGCAAAAGTGACCGAATTTAGCACTGAAGGGAAGGCACAGACCCAGAAGCAAGAGGAAATCACATATTATGTACTCGATGGAGAAGAAAAACGAATCGCAAGCAATGATGGTTCACATATACTTGGACTTGCTCATGATGGACAAAACCTAATCATTGCCACAGAAAATGAAATTGTATTGCTGGAGTCAGCAACAGAAGGTAGCAATGCACTTCTTATTGCATCAGGTGTAAAACCTTCTGGACAAATAAAGATAAACTGTGAAGGCCAATTGATGGTCTGTGAAAAAAATGCAATCAAGTTGTTTGAATACAAGAATGAAGTTAGGTCACTTCAAAGTTTGTGCCGGTATTACATCCGAGAAGCTATTAGCACTAATTTTGCTAGAAAGGAAAACAATTCAATAATTCCATCTTCACTGAAAGATGATGATGACAATGCTGATGAAGGGGATGATGGGGATGATGATGATGATGATGATGGTGACGATGACGATGATGATGAGGATGAAATCAGAGAACCAATTCATACTTACTATGCCAAAGTAGTACACAAATTAATTATTCCTTCCTCACTGAAAGATTACCTGCTGTACAAATCAAACTGAGCTAATGAGATAACTAGAGTTATTTATGGGAAATCCTCATCAGTTAAACCAACGTCTGTTTGGGTCTTGTCTTTTCCCTCATAGCTGAGGATTATTAAGTTTTGCCAACCAAAAAGAAAGGGAAATAGGAGAGTGACGGGAATTCTGTCCCTGAGTTAAGTGCATTTTCAGAGTTGCTTTGCCTGAGTGAAACCAAAGCAGTAATGATATGTTATTATCTCCTTTGAGAAGAATATGATACACAAATATTGGTACATAACAGTATTACACTTACTATGATGTAACTGAGATATAACTATGTGATATGGGATACTTTTTCTTATTTATAACAGTTTCATTGGGATAATTTATCAAACCTTAGGCTCTTTGTCGGAAAAGGCAGAAATGAGGTTAATGCTTTATTTTTTTGATAATATCTTTTGTTTTTGAATAATTATGGTCCCAACAATCCCTGTTTGTACTCATTCTGACTTAAATTGCTAATAATTGCTTAAAGTAAGAAATGGCATGAGAGTGCAGGCTCCCTGGGAACCATGGGGGGTAGCAGAGCCTGGCAGTTGTTAAACAGTCAGAGTTAATTGCAGACCAAACTTGCACACTCACTCTCAAAAGAACAAAAAATAACAAAGATAACACTGACTTGCACACAGAGACATGACCTGTGAATTAGTGACTACAACTCACAACTTATAACATTAGGAGGGAAATATAAAATTTTTATGAATAGATACATTTTATCAAAATCTAAATGTAAACGCACAATAGCTACATGTATACAAACATCTGATAACACTGGTAGAAAATCTAAGGTATGGTATGATTTTTCAGTAAGTAGACAGCAACTCACCACAAGAACAAAATAACCATTTATTTTGAAAGTCATTCTTCCTTACATAAACATCATAACAAGGCTAGCGGTGCACCCTGATACCGAGGCTACCTAGCCTACCATACATAACATCCTTTTTCCTCTAAAAAAAAAAACGGATCTATCGATATCTGGCATTATCTTCAGTAATCACTTCATAAGACTGAGTTCCCACAGGTTTGTCCACTCTCACTTTGACAGCCTCATTAGATGGACTTCGAAGAGGAATTAGATGCACTGTATCTCCACTTTTAAGCTCTTCAATATCTTTGGCTCCCTTGTGGTAATTACTTGCTTGATGTTCCTTGTTGATTAGCAGCTTGTCGTGGACATTACGTGGTAAGGTAGGGACTTGGGTTCTTGTCTGTCTGCTCATGAGTTGTACCACTGAGCTATTGTCCATTCCCTGACTGGGTGTGTTCCTGTATTCAAGAAGTGCAAGATAAGGATCTGTCTTGGCCTTTCTAGATTTCTTGATAACTGCCTTTGCTGACTTGATAGCTGCCTCAACTTTCCCCTTACTCTGAGGGTATGTCAGGGAGCTTGTCACAAGAGCGAAACTCCACTGATGACTGAACTCCTTAAATTCATGCGAAATAAACTGTGAGTTGTCTGACATGCACATCTCTGTGCCTAGCAAATTGGGCCTTTAACTTCTGGATCACTGTTCCTGACCACATGTCCTCAAGAAGATCAATTTCCCAAAACAAGGAGTAGTAATCCACACAGATGATGTAGTTACAACTCCTGTAACTGAACAGGTCAATTCTAACATTAGCCCAAGGTCTATCTGGGACTATATGGGAGATCAGTGTCTCTTTAGGCTGTCTCTTGTCATAGGATCTACAAACACCACGCACCTCAATGAACGGCTGGATCTCATTACTCATGCCAGGCCATTAGATGCATTCTCTTGCTTGTGAAAGGCTGCTGACAACACCAGAGTGTGCATAATGAAGGTAACACATCAGGTCTTGACACAGTGACAGAGACCATGAAGATGTAAGAGATAAACTACAGATTTTGAAAAATCATACAACTACAAAAGGAAAGCTGAAATTATTAATTTAGGAGAAGGGAACATTAAGTTGAATCTCTGAAAGCAGAGTGAGAGAAAATTTTTATTTCAGAGTTTTTAGTTATTATTTTCATTCACAAAGTTTCAGTGATTTATTTTGGCCCTTAAATTCTGTGTTTAAAATCTTGAAGTTGGTTCTTGCTTTATGTGAGGGACCCATAGCCCAGCAGTATGGGACATCAAAAAAGTGAATAAGATGATTATTTGTAATTTTCATTGAAATTGTTTAATCAAGCCTGCATCTGTTATTTATTTTTAAAACATCTGTCTAATGACTTTTGAGGTACATGTTGAGTAAAGTATTAATATAACTTCCACAAAATCTGAACTGATTTCCAATAAAAATTTCCTCAACTTGTGTTTACAGAAATCCTCTTCAACAACTCTTTTGAATGTCCATGCAATGACTGGTGTTGAATTGATCCCTGGGAAAACCATCAGATTCTCAGTCCAAAGGAGACCCATTTGGACTGAGAAAATTTTATTAACCCATTCAAAAGCGGCATCTTAGAACATAGTGACGTCATTTGCGTAATTGTGCTTTGCGGCTGACAAGCCAATATGGCGACAAGAAAGCCTCTTCACAGCAGTCACAGCTTTGATACGGAATCTAGCGAAGGGGGAAGAGAATTGTTCGAGGCTTGTAGGAATGGTGACGTAACAAAAGTCAGAAGAATAGTTAACATCAATTCCAATGTAAATCTCCGAGATACAGCCGGCAGAAAGTCATCTCCGCTACACTTTGCAGCAGGTAAGCGAATTCGATGAAAACAAACAAATGGCGCTCTCATCATTTCAACATCTCTGAAAGAAAGTCAGTCATTTTGTTCGTTTGCAGATGATCTGATCGATTTCTTTTGGATCGAAGTTATCTGCTATGTTAAATTTCGCGATTTACGAGAAGCTTGTGTAATCTTGAATGCAGTAAGGATGTAATCTTTTTATGAAAACTTTCGCAAGCCTTTACCTCGACTTTTAGCGCTTTCTCTATTTTTACAGAAGCTGATTTGTAAAAGTTTATTTTATATATAATGATTTCTCGATTTACGTTGAAACGTTGCGTAACGTGTTGAAATAAACCAAACATGGAATTAGTTTTAGCGAATCGAAGCGGACAGAATTATCAAAATTAATGCCAGAGATAACTCTGTGATATGCATGTATGGCTGACATTTTACGAAATCCTGAACTGTTTTCGATTGTAATTTCTTTTTGCTGTGTGATCTTTTTCCTCTTTACTTACCTAACTGTGGGATGACAGTTGTTCAAACGAAACTAAATTATTTGAAGTATAAATAGCACTTTTTAAAGGCCTTTCATTGTGACTTTTAAAGAACATGAATTTTTACAATGCATTTTTCTTGCCCCCGCTGAGAGACAGCTCACATGTATGGCGGAATGAAGAGAACTTAGAGGTGTATTGTGGCGATTTGAGGAGTAAGATTTGAAGAACCTTTCATGAAACCAGTACCTAAGGGAAAGAGTCCTATAGTGTACGTAATCGCTAAGTGAGGAGTATTTTCCCTCTGTGTGTAAAGCTTGTCTTGTTACTTCTAAACTTCAGGATTTGGAAGAAAAGAAGTCGTGGAGTACTTGCTGCAACATGGAGCTGATGTGCATGCTAAAGATGATGGTAGGATCTGTTTACTATTACAGTTTTCATTTTGACACAATTTATCATCTTGCCATACCCATAAGTATTACACTTTTTTTTTTTTTTTTTTTTTTAACCTTGAGTCACTTTTGGGTAATCATAGACATATTTTTTAAGGGGGTCTTGTTGGTTTGTCAAATTTGGTTGTACTCCAAGATGGCTTAAGACTTTGTTGGGCAGAGCCAGGATGGCTCAAGTGAGACATGGGGCATGGCCAGGAGGAAGCTCTCATAGGAACTGAGGCATGAATAGTGAGGCTGCAAGATATAAGTGGCCTCATGCTGAATTGCTAACGAGAGCCTGTTGGATGGCTTCTGAAAGTAATTGACAGCAAAGTATGATGTGGCCATAGTTGCATTATAGATCAAAGAAAAAGAGACTTCAGTGGGGGAAATGTTCTCTTCTGCAAGGATGCTACAGAGTCCTGATTTAAAAATGCTGATGATGTGGTTCATTTTGCTTTTGGTTTTGATGTTGTCCTTATTTTGGGGTTGTGTGCTTGTGGTTTGTTGTAATTTTAAATTACTCGTGTTGCCGTTTTCTTTATGAACCATGTTTCCTTGCAGTATTGATCCTAACAGGGACTTATTTAGCTCTGTTGTTGTAGCCCTTAGAATTTATTAGTGATACAGTTGAATACAATTTTTTTTAATCTAGAAAATCATGGATAGCCAAAATCAAAAATATTATTGTCTGTATTGTGTGACACCTGTAGATATTTATAAGAATTGATATTCTTCATGTATTTGAGTACAGGAAAAAAAAGCTAAAAAAGCTGATGTCGTGAAGTCCAATTGGAGGATAGAAAAAGGCAACTTCCAATTATTTAAAAAGAGTGAATCTCAACGTACTGATGAGAAATCAAAGTAAAAACATGCAAACTGCCTGAATCAGGAAGAAAGTTACTGCTGGTTTTAGTTTTGCATCTCACTGAATAATAGGAGAGTGTACAAGTAAATTTTAGAGCAAAGTGAAACAACACTAATGCAATTGTAGGCAACTTTAGTCCTCCATGGAAATTTTTCCAAACTTGTCAATGACTTTAGACTAACATTCCATGTTTGTTAATACTTTTAATATGAACATATTAGTATTGAACTTTTACAGCTCAGAACTACACTCTATGAACTTGTCTTTTCAGTTCATTGTTTTTTTTTTCCTCTTGTGTGACCATTTGCCTAAAATTTAGTCAGTTATCGATTTTCTTTTATGTAGAGCAAAATGGTGGGTCAATCAGTTTTCCTCGTGAATCTTCTGTAAATGTAACTTTGTTAATTGGTTTGGATCAATTTGGTATTTCAGGAGGGTTGATACCACTTCATAATGCCTGTTCATTTGGTCATGCGGAGGTGGTACGATTACTTCTGCGACATGGTGCTGATCCTAACTCAAGAGATAACTGGAATTATACCCCTTTACATGAGGCTGCTGTGAAAGGAAAAGTGGATGTTTGTGTGGGTCAGTAGTGCAGCTTGTTGTAAAAATCACTTTCTTACAGATCCCTTGGTTTTGCATGTTGTTTATTAAGGATACTCCAGGTCCTCTGAAATACTCAAGGTCCATTGAATGAACCACAGTTGATTTTGTTTTACTAATTAAAAATAAAGACATCAAATAAAATGATTCTTTCAGTGCACGACCATTGCGTGACATGTTGATGTGAGTAGTGTTGTCTGTACTCTTGCTATTGACAACAGCAGATTGGCCAATCAGATTGTGACATTACTGTCAATTGTGGTAAAAAAAATTTTGAGTAGAGGGTTTAGAAAATATCATTGTAGATTGTAATTTCAACCTTGGTTACTTTGCTTAAATGTGGTCTTTGAATCCATTCAAGCTTAATTACAGTCTGTGTTGTTATTAATAACTACAGAAGTTTCACTTCACAACTTAAATATGAGTATAATTGCACATGTAAACTGTTTATCTCCTTTATTTAATGATTATCAAATACTATGTAAGGCAGAGCAAAATATCCTGATAAGAGTGGTCAGAAGTGAGTAGATGATTATTTGCCAAAGCTGAAGGCAAATAATTAATCTGCGGGACATTGACAATGCACAAGGTCTCAGGATAATCAAACTAGAAGATCATAAAATAATGTGATTGCTCCAGTTATATTTCATTTTTGTTAGGGAATCTTTTTTAACAGATCAGATAAGCAAAGAATGTTTTTTTGTGCTTGAAAGAGCATAGACACAACTACACAGGAACAGATTGTTGTTTGCAACTGAACACAGTTAGATGGTACAACACATGAGCAGACCTTTATTTCTGGGCAGTTTTTTGCAGGTCACACAAATGAAAAGGAAGAAAAATTGTTTTGAATTTTACTTTTAATTCTTATTTTTATTCAATAGTTCTTCTGCAACATGGTGCAGACCCTAACATTCGAAATACAGATGGGAAGACAGCACTAGATGTTGCTGAAGCATCTGCCAAACTAGTTTTGACAGGTATGGGTTTTTCACAAAGTATTTTCTGGTTTTTATGTTAAATAGGCCATACAGTGTACCCAGTCCACTCCCTGGCCTTTTTACTCTTTTAATCTTTTAAAACCAGATACTTTTCTCACTTGTTTCATTATTTAGATATTACTGGGGATATCACTTGAAGTATAGTTTTTTTCACCTAATATTTCCCTTTATGAATTCCTTTATCTTTCAGGAGAGTATAAGAAGGATGAGTTACTGGAGGCTGCAAGGTACGTGCATGCAGAACAACTGTCATATACAATTTAATAGGGACCTTAAGTAAACAGGGATGGCAATGGCAACAAGGACATGGCTAAACAAAAGATTTAATGGGCAGAACAATAGCTTAGGGCATGTTTTTTAAAACTATGTATGTTTCTTAGCCATCCTCTGTAAAAACAGCGATGTGAAATCACCAAAAATTTGTGTGGTCCGAGGACAGAAACTCAGATGCAATTTTATTTGTATCAATTTGGAACTCATGCTGAACTCAAGGTGTGGCACTGAAAGAGAGACAGTGAACACATCCAGCTGTCTGCAAAATTCTAACTAAAGATATAAATTCACTATCAATTAATGTCTTCCTCTGCATTGCCATCCTGATTGGTCCCTAATGGGTTGGGAGCAAGTCCCTTTGACTATAATACTGATGCTCTTGCAGGTCAATGTCAACACAGTGATACAAGGAAGTTAATTACTGAAAGTGGGCTTAGTCAAAAATGCTGTGGTTGAACATTCGATTAAGCCCTACAAGCACTATGTCTTTGAATGTTTATTTTGTTCTTTCTGATTGCTGCTTAGTTCATTTTCTCTTTTTTTCACTTTGTCATGGTGATTTTCATGTGTTTAAGTGTACAGCTATTGTAGTCATTATCGCTTTTGAAATAGTTTAGCACCTTTCTTGGTGAAAGTTGTCTTGATTTATGTTTACTGTGGTGCACATGCTTTTGAGAATGGTTAACATGTATAAATGTGTCAATCAATCAAATTATCAATTTCTTTTGTTTGTTTTCTTTTTTGTAGAAGTGGCAATGAAGAGAAGCTCATGTCTCTTCTTACCCCTCTGAATGTTAATTGCCATGCAAGTGATGGAAGGAAGGTTAGCTTAAGCCTGTGTAGAAAGAATGTAAAGGAAAAATATTTTAAAAAAATATTCAGTCTTTTGTTTCAGTTACCTCCCCCTCCACACATCATCTTATTAGTGAAACTACTACATCAAGTTACAACCCATTCAGTCTTGTTGAATAACATGTAATAGCTTCTCAAGGATGCACTATCTTGGTTATTATTTGAATATTGTTCTTTGATTGTTGTCAGTCAACTCCACTCCACCTAGCTGCTGGTTATAACCGTGTCAGAGTTGTTCAGCTTTTGTTACAACATGGAGCAGATGTACATGCCAAAGACAAAGGGTGAGTGAACTTGTACATGTAATTCAAGGTACTTGACACTTGCTAAGTCTGGAAGTCATCTGAAAACCAAACTATAGATAATCTTCCTTTTTATTGGTGTTGGATTGAGAAGATAAATTCTAAATGAATTATGATAAATGTTTGGATTGGGAACATGAGAATTTGGTTCAATTTTTAGAGATTTATTTAACATATACAATCTTGAATAACCTTTATATACACTACAGCCTCTTGTCTCAGCCTGTCAAAAAGTTTGGGATAAGACTTCAGACTGGTCAGATTGACTTGATTACTTTAATTATGTTTATAAAGTAACATTAAGCATGATTTTCACCATTGAGAGGTTAGATTTTATGTTGTGATTGATTATTATTGACACCTACTTAATGTTTTATTCTCAGTGGTTTGGTGCCATTACACAATGCTTGCTCATATGGACATTATGATGTCACTGAATTATTAATAAAGGTAATTGAAGAAGATTTTTGTTCAAACTTGTGGTAATTATAACAGTTTTTGCATCTTGGAACAGATAATGTCTGCTGACAAATATCCATGCATATTTTCATGCCAAAAAAAAAAGGATATTGTTTATATATCATGATGTTTTGATACTTGCTGATGTGTTTGTATGAGTCTTATTTTAGAAAGTTTGATATATTTTACTCTTTTGTAGCATGGTGCAAGTGTTAATGCCATGGACTTGTGGCAGTTTACTCCTTTACATGAGGCAGCTTCCAAAGCAAGGTAAATGAACTGTGTTTAAAATTAGCTGATGAACAGCAGTTGATAATAATATTATTTATCAGAATCTATTGAAGAGGCTGCTCCTCTTGTTGGTAGCTTACAGACCTGAATCATTGAGAAGGAGGGCCATCTGTCTTTCATTTTTATCTTACCACATTTGAGTACTCAAAGTACTCCTTTTGAATTTTTTTTTTTTTGTTGGCACAGATGGTCAATGAAAAATATCAAACTTGAGAAAGGGAGAAATATATATGTATAATTATATATATGTGTGTTTTTAGTGCAAAAGAAGAGTTTCCTAATAAATGAGTTTGTCTTGAACATTCTTGAAGCCTTTTCATCCTTTTTATTTTAGGGTGGAAGTGTGTTCTTTGCTACTAGCTCATGGTGCTGACCCCACATTACTTAACTGTCACTCCAAGGCTGCTGTTGATGCTGCTCCAACAAGAGAACTTCAGGATAAGCTTTCTTGTATGTACTGTTTACATGCATGCTCCATTCGAGGCTGTTCTTTAGTATTGTGTTTCAGCCATATCTTAGGACCTGATAGCAAGCCTGTCAATAACTTTGGCAGTGAAAGGCAGAAAAGTAATAGTGGGCAGCTAGGTTGTGGTGCACATCTTGTTGTTTGGTCAGATAAAACGCAAGACTGGTAATTAATCAGTTGAGTTGTTTCAAGCATTTTGTGAAGTTCCCGTAAGCATTCTGAATGTGGAATCAGTTTGCACTTATTAACCTGTTGTTGTGAACTAGGCAGCAGTTTTGATCAGCTACAATGAATAAGCTCTTACTGGCAGCTCTATGATAGGTGCATTTGTATAATAACATTTTAGCTTTTGTGTAAACTTGTAATTTTTTTTACTTCTTTTGTACTGAGCAGTGACTTTTTTTTCTCCAAAGGAAAGTTAGAGTTTTTTTAACTAGTCCCCTCTTAATACCTATTGTCCTAATTCAAACTCAAACAAAGCTTCTACCCTTGCTGAGACAACTTAACTATAACCTATCTTTTGTTTTCAATATTGTTAATTTGATCTTTCCTTCCTTTTCAGTTGAATTTAAGGGTCATCAGCTTTTGGAAGCAGCCAAGTTATGTGACTGTACGAAACTGAAGAAGCACATCACCCCAGAGATCATTAACTTCCAGCACCCTCTTACTCTTGAGAGTTCTTTGGTGAGCATATGTGGTTTCCTGATAACAAGCTGCTATTTGTGAATATAGACAGTTATTTTTGCTGTCTAAGACAAGAATCATACATTTGGTTGCTGGGTTAGGGCAAGGAACTAAATTAATAACATGTTGTGATTGTCACTGTTTGTAAATTTACCAAAAATTGAGACCCTGTCAAGATGTACCCTTGGCAGGACAGAGTTGAAACCTCTACCCACCTACACCCTTTAGGGAATCCAAGTCTTTGTTGAATTAAATATTAACTTATTATCGATTTGGCTTTGTTAGACAAGTTACAATAACTTGTGCATTCAATTACATGATGTACACAACATTTTAATAACAATGTACCTGCTTTTCTTTTTAGCACCTTACGGTAGGTTCTGTTTGTCAAAAAAGGAAAGCTGCCATTGAATTACTGTTGAAGAAAGGAGCGGACACAAGCTTACAAAACAAAGAGTAAGCATTACATGAATTACTTTTTCTCCTTGTGAGTTTTCCAGCTATCTTCAGGGTTTAGTTTATGTAGGAAAGTAATATTGTGGATGAATTTGTTTCTTTAAAGCTCCTTGACACCTCTTCACATTGCCTCAGAAAAGTCACATCTTGATGCTGTGGAACTATTGATGAAAAATGGTGCTAAGGTAAGGGCCAGCTGCCATTGTGATAGGTTTAGTGTTCTATGGGAACATCAACAAGAGCTGGCATGCAGCAGATGGGCTACAACTACATTTTGTATCTACATGCATGTCCATTCTGTTCATTCAAATTTTCAGCCTTCATTTGAACCAAAGATAGTTTACTGAGAAGTGAACCACATGTTCTTGAAATCCAAACCTTTGCTTAAGACTAACAGGACATTATTATTATCATTTAAAAGAATAAAACTGTGTTGTGATCACTAGGGAGAATAAAGAAGATTAACTTTAGTCTAGTTTCTGCTTTCAGCCTAACGTTTCGGCCTAACATTCAGCCTAACGTTTCAGCCCTCCAGAGTGAGGTATGAGTTATTGCTTTATTCAACCTTTCACATTTCATTTTGGCACAGGTCAATACAGTAGATGCTCTAGGAGAGACTCCTTTACATCGTGCTGCAGCTGCTGGGCAGATGTCAGTTTGCAGAGTCCTACTTACACATGGTGCAGACATAGGATTGCGTTCTTTTCAAGGCCATACTGCAGCAGAAGTTGCCTCTGAACCTGTTCAAAAAATTCTACAAGGTACAAGAAATTATCTTTTGTTGCCATTTAGATGGTATCATATAGGAGTACTGATTTAAAGGAATCTCTTTCAGAGGATCCACCTTCAACTGGTTCAGATGTGGAGAAGCAATTACTTGAGGCTGCAAAATCAGGTGACATGGAACTTGTAAAGGTAAACTTGTATGGTATTTCTGTTTTGTTTTTGTTTATTTTCATGAGAATAATACCCTGTGCACCCCCTGGAATGTCCAATAATGTATGCTGGGGCTAGCCTGAAGAATGTGGGGCACTTTATTGTGTTTTCAATTTAGTTTAGGTAAGCCATAAAGGTATTTCATAGGGAGAGCCATAGGAGAGAAAGGGAAAAAAGGAAAAACTTGGTCCCTGTGTACCTGTTGTTACTTTACTACAACCAGACATGCCACAAACACCACTTTTTCAAGTTCTTCCTCCCATGCACAACTCTAATTTCATGCTTGTCTGAACATTGCTGCTCCCTGCCTAAAAGCACACAAAAGACAAGCCTGTATTGCTGGCCAATTTAGTTCATGGGTGTTTTCTGGAAACATAGGTACTTCATGAGCAGTTGTTGGTTGTAAATAAAAAAATAAACCTGGCTGTTAAGTTCAGTTTGTAATTAAATTTTCTAATATACATGCAGTCATCAACAACATATGATCATTTTTTTCATAATGTTTATCAGTTATCATCAATACCCTAACTTGACGCTTCCTATGTTTTAGAAACTATGCACCCCACAAACAGTAAACTGTAGAGATCTTGAAGGACGGCACAGCACTCCTCTTCATTTTGCTGCTGGTTACAACAGAGTGACAGTAGTGGAGTATCTGCTACAGAATAGAGCTGATGTTCATGCTAAAGACAAGGGGTAACAAATTTCAAAACATATTTTCATTGAATTGTAATAGTTTTGGTGAATTTAGAGATACATTTGCCATGAATGTTGAGTATTATGTAGTATCCTGCCATAATCACCTTGTGCAAGATGATTCAAACACTAAACCACTACAGTAATTTACAAAATGGCTTTGGCACAGATTTTTGTCTTTTCTGAAGAAGAAAATGAAAGAAAATGAGAGTTGCTTTGATGTTCAGTGCAGTAGTTTTTAGAAAATGTTCTTAAGCTGGCTATGATTGTTAATTGATTTTCTTGATTTCTTGTTGGGGATTATTCAACAGTGTCCACTTCAACTTTGGTAAATACCCTTTGATTGGGATTGAATTTTTTTCAGACAAAGCCATGAATTGATGCCCCCCTTCCCCTATCTGTTTTGGTTGACCAAAATTACTAGATATAAAGTGTGGGCATGAAGTGTGATACAAATTCACTTTTTCTCTCCTTCATATTTTTTTTTTCAGAGGGCTGGTACCACTACATAATGCTTGTTCCTACGGCCACTATGAAGTAGCTGAATTACTTGTGAAGGTAATGCAGAGACACCTACACTATGCAAACAAACTTAACGGCAGTGACCATGTATTTGTTACTTTATTTGAGGAAACGCAATCATCTATTTTTAGTGAGGGTTGAAATGACAGATTGACCACTCTTGAGATAAATTTAATGCTGTAACCGCTAAGCGTGACAAGCTTCTAATTTCACCTTTTAGTACTACCTTTTAATCATAAGTTGAGGTCATGAAAATAAAGGAAATGATCACCAATTTCAGAAGCTCCTGATTGTCACTGAAATTCTCCAAGTCAGTACCATGGGAGATATACTGTAAAGAGAACAGTCTGGACGATATGATTGCTAATCTTGGTGTGTAAAGGGTTGATTTGCATAATAGGAGCGTTCTCTTTGAGCAATTATGGTAGTATAGATTTACTTTCGTTCCAACACAAATGCTGTAATGTGATTCTAAACAAAGAAATGGGTTGCTTGAAATCTTTCATTCTTTTCTATTATGTAGCATGGTGCTGTTGTCAATGTGGCTGATCTCTGGAAGTTTACTCCACTTCATGAAGCTTCCGCTAAAGGAAAATTTGAGATCTGCCGGCTTTTGCTGAAGGTATATTTCTGGTTATATAGAATAACACAAACATAGAAATGATTCATCGTGAATAAACAAACATGGTTAAGGATAGAGAAGAATATCACGGACTGCTTTTTAAACTCATTATTAATATTTACAAATCATGATGTGGCTTCTTTGTTTTCTCATTTCTTCAGCATGGAGCTGATCCTCTAAAGAAAACTCGCGATGGTCAAACTCCCTTGGACCTTGTGAAAGAAGGAGACAATGATGTAGCAGACTTACTGAGAGGTGAAATTCCCTAACTTCACGGCAAAATTGAGATGAAGTGGTGTACTTCTGTTGTGTTGAATTTAATAGTTTTAAAATGTATTGAATGTGAGATTGGCTTTATTCTTTTGTGGCAGGCGATGCGGCTTTGCTTGATGCAGCGAAGAAGGGAAACTTAACAAGGGTAATTATTGCAGTGTACGAATTGAAGCAACATTTCCCCATTTGCATATCTGTGCTCTTATGTTAAAGGTGAAGATATGGCAATGAGTAACAATGTGTGTACTTTTCCTAGGTCATGAAACTCTCCACGCCGGAAAATATCAACTGTAGAGATACTCAGGGACGCAACTCGACTCCTCTGCATCTTGCGGGTACATGAGTGCATTTTGTTTGATTAATTTATTTGTACTGGCTCGTTTTTTCTTTTTGACTCGATCAATGACTGAAGACCAAGACTGAAAACTTACACTTGCAAACACTCGTGCGAACAACAAGGGTCTAATGCTTCAAACAGCATCTTTTCCAAATTCGTAATACTGATCAATTTATCATTTCAGTTTTTCACTCAACAATCAGTAATCACGAATTATTTGTAGAAACGAAAGGCCTTTCTCAACTGTAATTGTCTAGAAAGGTTATTTGGAGGTGTCTTTTTCCCTTAAGTGCGATGAAATATGAGTAAAGCCACGTCAAAGAGATGACATGTTGATATCACGTGTAGTCGAATGAGGACGTTTTCTTTTGTCCCTGGTTCCTTTACGGTTAATTGTTACGTCCTTTGTCTTCTGCAGCTGGTTACAATCATTTTGAGGTTGCCGAGTATCTGTTGGAGAATGGAGCTGATGTAAATGCTCAGGATAAGGGAGGGTTGATACCATTACACAACGCTTCTTCTTATGGCGTAAGTTTACTCCTATTGTGTTGCTTTATGTTGGGCCCGTTACCCCTAAAGGTTATACCGGTCTTTGAAGAATTGCGCCCCAGGACTTATAACCAAAATTAACCCTCTCCACCCTAACATCTGTATGTATATTCTCCATACTGTTCCCTACACATTCCCTAAGGAGCTGATGCGGAGAATTTGTGTCATAATCCAGAACTTCTCTAATTGGTTACCATTTTCTTTATTCTCATTACCTTACTGTGTGAGTTTGGGGTGATATTGTAAGGAGAAATTGGATGCTAGTCACTCTTTGGGGATAAAGGGTTAAAACTCCTACAACATCCAGTTAGAAGAGAAGAAACTATCTCCAGGAGCCAATGAGAACTCAACGTGAAAACAAGCAACCTGCTTGGAGCCTGGGGAAATGCGCAGGACCAAATCATGATCGGTTTTAATTTTGAATCTGATTGGTTTTAAAAAAAGCGCGAATTTTCGGGATCAATCACATAACGAAGTAAAGTAAAATTAAGGCAATCTTGGAGTCTTCTCGACACTCAATGGAAAATTGCTCGGACTAAATAAGCGCTTGTACACAGCATTTTCAAACATGTTTGATTTCGATTTCTTACTTGAGTACTTGATGTTTATTTTAGCATGTGGATATTGCGTCTCTTCTCATAAAACATAACACCGATGTAAACGCCACTGACCGTTGGCTTTTTACTCCACTACACGAAGCCGCCCAGAAGGGAAGAACTCAGCTCTGTGCTTTACTGGTACGTGTGATAACTTAGATCATTTTAATGCCTCTTTCTGTTATTGATGAGCGAAATCTTAAGTCATGACATAAGCAAATAAAATAAAGGAGAACATCACAGGGAACCGCTTAAAACCCAGATGTAGCATCAGCGAGGGAATTCACTGTGGTGCGATTGGTTTTTCTTGTGCTCATGATTGGGTACGAGGATATCGCGATTTTTCTTTAACAACCACTTTATTTCGTACGGAAACATAACCACAACAATACCGGGTTATTTGCGACACAGAACTGAAAATTGCTCCATCTTCTGTATGTACTAATTATTTGAAATTGGGGTATTGTAATTTTTATTGATTATAGGTACGTAATGCGCGCTTGGTTCTATGGAAAAATTTAGAGTTAATCTTCGATTTTCTTTTATTCTTCCATTTTCCTAGTTGGCTCATGGTGCAGATCCCACCATGAAGAATCAGGAAGCACAGACAGCTCTGGATCTTGCCACAGTAAGGAACTCCAAATGAAATTATCAGTTTCTAGAAGGATGACTGTAGAATATCTCTTTCTGCGACGGGTCGTGTTTTAAAACGCACCCGCCATGAAGCTACCGACTCGCTCAGTTCTCTGTTTTCGTTTTTGTTGTTGTTGTTGGAATATTTAGGTACTACGGTTGGGGTATCGAAAATTTTTAGAAGTGCAAGGTTGTCACTTTCAGTCCATAATATTCTTCTCAAACTTAGACGTCTTTGCTCTTGGTTTAGTGTGTTTTGCGTTTTGCGTTTTGCTTTTTCGTTAGTGTGTGTTTTCTTTCTTACTGAACTAATAGCCTGGAACCTCTTTTTTTGTTGAAAGCGGTTTTCCTCGTTGTACAAATTTGCTGAAATATCGTGAAGTTTCCCATCTAAGTAGTGTCAATTCCGATTGCCATAAATAACCTTTCTTACACATCTCTCCCTTTCATGACAGGCGGAGGATGTAAAGTGTCTGCTGAGTGACGCTATGATGGCCCATGTAAGTACCAGCCCCCCGAGTACCCCGGCCCCTACCACACCCTCAAACAGCAATGCGTCCCCTTCACCCAATACCAGCAACACCAGCAACACCAGCAACACCTCGCCACTGTCGCAGGCCAATGCTAGCTTACTGGCCAATAGTCCTGCAGGCTCAGGAGATGGAGCGGTCAATAAGCGATCCATTGCCGAAGCTCAGGGATGTGGAGAGACACGGATTATGATACCAGGTAAATATTTCTTCTTCTCTAATATGCCTTTATAATTCCTGTGCTTCTAAAAATTCAGAAGGAGCTTTTGGTGGCCTTACAACTGAAGGGATAAACTACCGGAATACGTAAAAGTTCGCAGAATGCTGATAAGGAAGCGCTCTTTATTTTATCACATGAAAAACAATTTCTTAACTCTACAGGAGGCTTTTTACTGTCCATGGTGCTCGACGAGAGAGTACTAAGTCTTTGTATCATTCTCTATTTGTTCAGCTTTTTCTGGGGATTTGATTTGAAGAAAAAACAAAAAGTCAAAAAAGGAATGGGTGGGATGCAAAAACCTTTCAAGTGATGTTCTCATGTAAAGGGCTAGACATGGGGGGGGGGGGGGGGTGCGTCTAACCAGCATAAAATGATGGAGGGGTGGGAGTGGAGAATGGGGAGGGCTTTTATGTGACAATTGTTGCGAAATTCTTACCATTGGAGAGACCGTAGACCGCTGCCTCGAGTGCCTTTTTGTATTTCATAATTTCTACACTGGTGATGATTTGAACATATCTTTTTTAAGGTCACCCTGGTTTGGATCTTGATGTTGGTGACTTCCTTGACAGCTTACAACTGAATAACCTGAAGGATATATTTGAAAAGGAGCAGGTTAGGAACTGTAAAAAGGTCTTAGAATAAGAAACTTTCTATTTAAGAAATTTTCTTCTGGAGATGAACTTTGTTCGTTTGTCTCACGATAGAGTCACTTGATCGCGATCAACATCAAAAGTGACTCTATCATGAGACTAACGAACAAAGTTCATCTCCTATCTTACACCACGATGAACAATAAACACATATTTTATTACAAGTTTCTTCTGTTTGTTAGTCCTGAGTTTGACATTCTGTAATGACGTGTGGGCTTTTTTTGTGGTACCCAGATTTCCTGGGATGTGCTGGTTGATATGGGCCACGAAGAGCTGAAAGAGATTGGTATCCATGCATTTGGGCACAGGCATAAAATCCTTAAGGCGGTGAAGGAGAAACTGTCTGGACTACCAGAACTTGGTGAGCTTTGTCATGCTGCTCATGATGTAGAGACAGTAAAATATATAGAAAATTGTGATGTATTTGCGACTGAGATTAGCAAAGAATCCACGAGTGTTTTAGGGCCCGCAGTGGCTCAGGTGTTAACATACGTACTGTTTTAATGTGTTTTAGGCGGTGGTCCCTTCACCTATTCCAACCAACAGGGAACTGTTTTTTACGAGTTGTCAGTGGATGATAAAGACTATGTATCAGTAGCGGAAGAGGTATATAATGTGTTTCTCTCTAGATAAAACAAGAAAGATTTTCATAGTAGCGACCAGCAAACAATTGTTCGAGTGCGCGCGCTCGAATCCTGAAGTTCTCTAACCATTATGTTTTGAATTTGTATTAATTTGATTACTATAACCTAAACTTTAGCACCTCAATATGGCTATAAGTCACTAACGCTTTACCAGTTAGGTTTTGTGATTTGCCTACCTCCCTCTCCCCCCCCCTCCTTAAAAAAAGGGTATTCTATAAATGTAGGAGAGAGAGGAGGGGTGCTCTCACTCGAGTCCCATCCCTATTCCTGTTAGTATGTGAGACTTTTTTTGTATGTAGATGCAGAGCACTGTAGTAAAACACAAGAAAGATGGCGGACAATCCGGAGGGGTCTTTGATTCTTACCATATTTTAAGGGTAAGTTTGACCGTAACAGGTTCGCCTATAGGATGGTGTTTGACACAAGGCTGTGAGACTTGAAAGAGTTAACGCTGACGAGTTAACATATCAATGAAACAATTGTTCGCTTCTTTTAAGGTACTTTGAATTCTGGAATTGATGGAATTTTTGTTTGTTGATTTAAGAATCTGAACAGTTTTAACAATAGTTACTATCTTACGTGACCCTTACAGAAATCCTGTTTATGCCCGCTGGTCTTATAAATTTGAGAGAAACACGATTGCACAAACATTTGGCCACATTTGCGCTGCGTCAAGCAGTTGATTTTCTCTCTCCTGCAATTACTGATACATACGCATGATATATTTCTTTTTCAGATTCAAAGGGTTATAAACAAGCGTCTGTGGGATAAGTACGTGTACAGGAGGAGAGAGGTGAGAGCCTTTTGAGTGAGAACCAAAAGCTGATCAATAATTTCCTTTCCAGCTTGTTGATTTTAGTAAGGAGAGGTTACGTGTTTGTTGTCATTCAAGTTTGGTGAGGTTTTCATCATCAGTCTATATTCGTCACGAAATCATGAGTGCTGAAAATGTCAGATCAGACTGCATCATCTTCTTTTCCAGGTTGCAGAAGCTAACCACAACCATAGTAACGAGAGGATGCTTTTTCATGGTATGTGCTTGAACCAGTTTCAGCGTTATTGTGTAAAGTAACAGAAAGTGACCTGCGTTCAAATTTATAACCAGGCTTGGTTACAATACAAAACACACCAATAACAGCAAACCAAGGGGTTATAAGTGGTGACACGTAAACTTTCGACCTCGTCGCCTAACAAAGACTGGCAGGATAGCAGTCGAAACATCACGATCGATGCAATTGATAGCGTGGCTCTACGTTATCTTTAACAGTCATGAAACTCTGGAAATATCAAGATATCGCCTACTCTTGAGTAAAGTGTACTCTTTCTCCAATTTGTCTGTGAACGCACCTTCTTTCTCAGAAGCTGAAATTCGGAAACCAAATACGTATGCAATACTGAGTGTCTAACTCGCCCAACCGCTTTTTTTTATAGTCCGTGGATCATTTTGAACGAATTAAGGTGAATGGTTATCTTCAAAGATTAATCTCAGGTCTGTCTTTGAACTCAGGGTCGGCATTTATACACGCTATTCTGCAGAAAGGATTTGACGAACGTCATGCTTATATTGGAGGCATGTTTGGCGCGGGTGAGTTTTTCCTTTTTTAGCTACGTTTGGTTCTGTTCAGTAAACTTGCGCTTTGCCGCAACCAATCAGATGGAAGACTAAAAGCAATCGTGGCTTGGTTATCTGCGTTTTTGTGCGCTCGATGTCGTTCACTCGTTTTTACCTTTAGATCTCATTGGTTCCTAGTGATATTTAACAACTATTCACTGAAGTAGAGGTGGTTGGAGATAGATATTTGTCTTGCGGCGAGGTAAATATTCATCGCTAGCCACCGACACTGAAGTGAATAGTTGTTTAATAAACTAAAACAGTGAGATAATATAGTGCAAAAGGATTATTTTAACTCGTTTATTCCTGCAATTATGACAATATTTTTGGGAGGAAATTCCGCTCAAGTTATTCAGAGGTTACTTGCAGAGGACATAGCCAATCAGAGCACGCCCTCAACGCTAGCCACAGTTTCATCTGATTGCCGTTGTCATTTTCAATTCGTTTTGGTGTGGTTACATTCAATCGATTTGTCATCTGATTGGTTCGTTTGGAATAGTGTCGTCATCAGGACTGGATAGACGATTCCTTAAACCAAATGAACTTGAACTAGACCTTTTACTTTAGTTAATAATGCATCTTTTTTTGTATCATTCTCTTTCTATTTAGGTATTTACTTTGCGGAAAATTCTTCCAAAAGCAACCAGTATGTATATGGTATTGGTGGAGGATCAGGCTGTGCTCTCCACAAGGACAAATCTTGTTACCTATGCGAAAGGTAACGACGAACTGCGAGTTTTTCTTACAGCTCTCGATAGGAGTAAACAACGTTGAATACATATATTTTGTTTTGGAACAATAGATTGTGTGTATGTTCCCTTTAGTTGTAGTTTCTTATGAGGAAAAATTTGAGCGCTGACAACTCTTTTCGCGAGCGTTGTTGTTCAAAACTTTTACGGATGTACGCCATGTTTTTCGCCTTGAGGTTATTTTGTCAGCGTGTTAGTGGGGAAGTGAACCGTTTATGTGATCGAAAGACGTTTTTCTTAAGACCGTTTTAACATCTGGAGGTGGGTTAATAGTTACCATATATTGAGTTGTGCACAATTTGCCTTAACAGGAAGGTGTTGACAAAATATAGTTTGACACGGTAAAAGAACACAAAGCGAAAACAATTAACTAAGAGGGAACGAGGGCGATCAACCGTGGAGGCGATTGCCCCGGATTGGAAATGGAAATCTCGACAGCCATAATATTCCTCGATGGTTAAACCATGACTTAGTCCCTAAATTCGTTACACCCTAACATCAGTTTGCAAGTCCTCCGTACTGTTCTCTGTACGTTTCCTATGTTGCTTACTAGGAGAATTTGCTTAATAATCAAGAGCTTCTTGACCCCGCGATCATTTCTTTTATATTCATGACCAGAATATTTGATTCAGGGGTGATACTATTGTACGAAATTAGATGCTTAAAGGAGTTAAGGCAACGTCCGGCCGGCGGTCCAAAGAAAAACAACATTGTCACATGTGATTTTCATGTATATCTGAATCATCAGGCAGTTGCTGCTATGTCGTGTGGCTCTTGGTAAGCCATTCTACCAGTTCTCTGCCGTCAAGATGGCGCATGCACCTCCAGGGCATCACTCAGTGATCGGTCGTCCGAGCTCGGAGGGACTCTCGTTCGCAGAATATGTTGTATACAGAGGAGAACAGGTACACAAGCATTGTTTGCACTATCCATTTCCGATAGCAAATAGTAATAGCCGATTTATAAAATACTGTCATATTAACAACCGGCGGTGGAGCATGGGAACAGGGTGTGTAGGCCCCCCCTCTCCCCCTCCATACCCCTTAAACGAATTTTTTTAGAGGAATTGTTCCCCTCTCCCAGTTCTGGTGCCAAAAATACCACAATCGCTGGCTAAAATTGGTTTGAGAAATGTTTCACTTATCATAAGTCTCATTGTCAGGATTGCGTTTTACTAAATTATGGGTTGTAGAAAGTTTTTTCTTTAACAGCTCCGGCCATTGTGCCTGTGTGCACCGGCCAAATATTCAAATGACGTTTTGTGAAAGGGGTATCCGCTTGTCTCGGGGAACTACGACCTTTCCCCTTCCCTCCACGTTCATAACGCTTCGTTGCCTCTGCTCTTTCATATGCAGGTGTGGGTGCCCTTTGATATGATGCTGTTTCTTTCAGAGTCTTCAGCTTAGTGTGGGGGTGTCTGTATGTGACGTTTGTGTGATTAAGAGACCTTTAGAGAATCAATAATATTTGTACCGGCAGAGTGGAATTTGGTTTCCTAAGTATTTTGGCTAATGTTAGCACTGCTGTGATCCACTACATTTATATCCTTGTGTAGTTGCACTCTGGTTACAATTTGTTTACACGCCTAACAACATTTTTGTTATTATCGTCACTGTAGGCTTATCCAGAATACCTGATCACTTATAAGATCGTCAAATCCTCGGGTGCGGAAGGTGGCAGTTCTCCTGAATGAATTCATCCTGTAAATAATTCCCGTTCATCTTACATTGTACTGGAAGTAGGTCGACAGCTATTGTGGTGATGAAAGAGATAAAGAAAAGCGTGGGCTATTCGCCCTCCAGAAGAAAATGTCCACTGTGATTTAATCAAAGTTATAAGTTAATCAGAAATTTTTACATAAATTTCCCATAAAAGCGAACGACGTGATATTAAAGACGTTCCTTAGTGCATTTTTGTAAATAAGACGAGTTTTTTTCGCGATGTATTCACGCTGTATTGACAGTCTGTTGTGTATCGACGCTTTGAAGATCGATCTTCAGCGCATTCATTGAATAACTCGCGATTTTCACATTTAAAGGAGAGAACTGCATGATTTTGCGCTTTGTGAAAGCCAGTGATCAACAGCTGGAATTTGCAAATCGCGATACACTCGAGTAAAAATGTGAACAATTTCTCAAAGTTTCTCAGTAGATAATTAACAAGTACGAGTGACACTGAGCTGTTCAGATTGTTGTAAGTTAAAATACAGCTGTAGGACTAGCATCAATGACTAAAAAATATTGTAAATATTTAAGATATGTTAATAAAAGAGCGATTTTTGTGTGAGTGCTGAAAGTAAGAAGGAATTTCTCTGCTTTTGTTTTAGCATGTTACATGATTTGCTACAAAACTACCGTGTCAGATTTTTAACACTCTATCAATCGTGACCTGTTTCAACCTGCTCTCACGACCTGATTATTTAACCTGATTATTTAACCTGATAATTCCCCCCTTAACTCTCTCTCTCTCTCTCTCTTCTTTTTTTTTTTTTTTTTTTTTTTTTCTTCAGATTTTTAGTATGGACCTTCCCTGTTTTCATAATGATTGTAAATTTTAAAACAGACTTTTAACACTCGTAGCATCCCCATTTTAATTTTGTATTTGGAATGTTCTTTTATTGTCCACAATTAGCTTCTATATAGCTTAATACTTTGACACTTAAATGGAGTTCATTCATTAGTTAACGAACCGGGGTTAAACTGGCTTATCACAAATGACATCATACAAAGGTGACCAATCAAATGGCGCGAAGTCGAAGTATCGTCTGACAAGTAACTTGTTTAATGATGAATTCCACTTAGATTGTCGAAACGTCAGACACTGACTTTAAGGACTTCCCCCTCTCTTACAGGACCACTCGATCAACTTTTCATTTAGGATTCAAAACGTTTACTTTAATTAACCATTTATGTGACTGCTATGTGGTTGGTTTAAAGATTCTTCGCTCCGTGACAAATTTATTGCAGTGCCTCGCAATTTTTTATTTTTATTTTTTAATTGCCACCAAAGAACTACTAGTACTATACATATTAGCTTGAATAGAAATGGTGAAGGAGCTCAAAGAAACCAAGAGGCTTATGAAATAAGGACTTCCTTATCACTCACTAAAATGGGCCAAACAAGAACAAAAGAAAGCAAATCAATAAAAGGAAAAAAAAGGGAATTAAAGGAGAAGAGAATCTAGGAAAGAGGGTGTTTTTCAACTTGTTACAATGAACTTTTCATAAAGTCATGAAAACGATCTATCTACGAACTTTATACCTTTATCCCCAGCCATGAATTTCCTCATGCTCCTTAGTCGACAAGTGACCGAAATCATGTTCGGAACTCTCAGCGGAATCTACCAGGACCTGAAGATAGCTTCGTTCCCCTTCTCCTCGTTCACCTTTTATGTGTAACTTATTCTCTCTATCAGTCCCCTAGTAACTCCTACCGGCTATCAAACAGTTATAACCAAGGAACAAATCTGTAAACTAGTTCCGCCAACGTCTGGTAACTTAATATCTTGTTAGTTGTGACTATAAGAAGTGCGTAGTCAGTCTCAAGTGTCAGAAGATAATCACAAGTTAATTCTTGAGAGGAATTCTCTGCCCTTTGTTGAAATACTTAATTCACACATTCAGAAATTCCGTCTCTTTTCAGTATTTCCGATATGATCTTAACCCGCTTGAGGGCGTTGTGCGAAAATACTGGGTATGAATAATTAAAAAACTCGCAAAAGACTGGATCGAGGTTAATAAAGGGCGGCTATTTACAAAATGGCGAACGGTACAGACGTGTCAGAACCTTCGTATGTGATTGTAAATAAACAACTTCAAGATGTCATACGGCTCCAACACACAGCTGTGGCCCGGCTAAAAGCCAAGGTTAGAGGAACTGAGTCTTTTTTTAGATGTCGAGGAAAGACGATCTTGTGCCACGTGAAGAACATGAGAAGCTAATCATGGAACTTGAAGTTGTTGTTAATTTTTAAGTCCTTTGTATAACATTTTATAGCTATTTTTAAATATACTTAAGTATCCCTCTTATTTCTAGTCAATTTAGTTTATCGTATTGAAATGAAGGTTTCTTACTTACTTACTTCTAACTTAGTGGACAGACCTTTGTGCGTACATTGTCAGGAATGTTGTAGAAAAATCAGCTTGCCGTAATTAGAAGGTTCTAAAATATTGTTATGTTCCTTTGTGGATGTTCTGTTAGATGTCGAGGAAAGACGATCGTGTGCCACGAGAGGAATATGAGAAGCTAATCAGGGAACTTGAGGTTGTTGTTGATTTTTTCTTAATTCTACTGTCATGATCGTGTAATTATTTTGTAGTTTGATAAAATTAAAGTATGAAATAATACCCTGACAATCAGTGCCCCACTCAAAGAATTCTTTTGCCAAGAGATGCTGAACTCCTAATAGATGAAGGGTCATAAGGGTTTGTGTCTTCTGACTTTGTTTGTTTAAGTCAAAGACATCTTGAGCTCAGAAAAGTCTTAATTGAGTGCAGAAAGTAGTTTGAGACTGCTTAGGTTTTGCTTTACTTTACTTCGTGTTAGTCTTGACATTGGATGCAGCAACCAAATTTATTATGATTTGATCTTTTAAAATTTCCAATGCTCTAGGCAATTCCATGTTTTTGTTTCGTTTTCTATTGAAGGAGTGTACTGAATGAGGCATTTATTAGCTTTTGCTTCAACTTCTATGTCTCATTTTTTCTCAAGTGAATACATGGCACCTTGGAGAGAGAATCTGCTTGTCTATTAGAAGTACTCTTAAGAGCTTTCCTCAGTTCACTGTTAAATTGGCTCCTAGTGATGTTTTCCTTAAAACTTATTGGTTGTGATTACTGTGGTTTGGTTTAAAACACTAGGTTGAAATGCACTTTATTTTGTTAACCCCTTAACTCCCAAGATCTGACTGTAATTTCTCCCCTCCAGTTGTTAGACATTTCCTTGTAAATTAGTCATAAGAATTTGGTGTTGACTCAAGATAACAACTTCTAATTGATAATTTTGAGTTCTCATCACCTGCTTTCTGGATAGAGTATGGATGTTGTAGGGAGAAGTTACATATGAATCACTTTTGGGGGTTAAAGGGTTAAGCAGAGTAATCATGAATTCAACTGATTAATTTTGAAATCCAAGGACTGAAAAAATTTGTTAACTTGACTGAGTTCTCTCAATTCTCTCCCTGAATAATTCTGAGAACAGAACCACATAAATTTTAATAGTAATTTGTTTTGCATTGTAACTTGTCTCATTTGTTTCACTGTCCATTCCATTTTATAGGAAGAAAAACTTGAGCATGTAAAGACAAAAGCAAAACTGGCTAGTGAGAGTGAAAGATTACAGTTTGCCTTAGGGGAAATAGACATTTTAAACAAACAGCTGCAGCGTGAAAAGTTATCATTTGAAAATGCGTATGTAGAAATTTCTACAAGATTGTTTTATGTTTTTTGTTGATACTAATTATTATATGCCTGAATTTCCTATTTCACCTGTTTCCTTTATGCATCATGACTCATAAGTTGAAGCTAAGATAGCATGATAACTTTTGTAAATCAATAAGAAATTATTCCCTTTTTTACAAAATTTTATGTACAGGTTTGGCCAGGTTAAAAGTAGAGCCTTTGAGGAAACCCAAGAGAAAATGCAGTTTCAAACAAAGTGCCAAGGTTGGAATTATTTATCATAATTGAGACAAAACACTCAATCCTCTCCTGGTTTATAGTTATTAATACTGATAGAGACCAAGCTCAATTTAAGATTGAGTTTATATTGTCAGAGGAAAAAGGTTTTCCTGAGTAGAAATGAGACATGATTATTTAGCAGTTAAAACTACTAGAAGTCACATTTCTCATTGAAATTTCTTAACTACTTTAGACAATTTTTCTCACTTTATTTCTGCCCATAAACAAAGTTATGCTACTTTCTTCAATTTGAATCCTTTTGCAGCTTTATGTCCTAATAGTTTATTGCTTTCTTGAATTACCTAGCAATGGAAGAGCTCTGTTCCAAACAAGATGATATTTTAACAACAAAAGATGCAAAAATAAAGGAACTCAAACTTCGCCTTGTTCGCCAGAAAGAGATTCATCAACAACAACTTTCTGACCTGGACATTCATCGGCAACAAGAACAATACATTAATTACAATACACAAAAATCTCAAGACAAAGGCAAAAGAACTCGTCAGAAACGGGTATCTTTCAGATAACCCATAATTGTACACTATGGTGAGAATTATGATCACAAAAGTCATTATTTTTAATCCTTTGACCTTAAAGAGTGACTAGCATCTAATTTCTCCTTACAATATCACCCCTGAATCATACAATAAGAGCTCATGAAAATTAAGGAAATTATCACCAACTGAAGACGCTGTTGATTGTTAAAAACAATTCCCCCAATCATCACCTCGAGAAATGTATGGAGAACAGTAAGGAGAATATGGATGCTGATGTTAGGGTGTAAAGGGTTAATACTATTAATTATAATTCTATAGTTATTACTGCTGCCAACTATGTCCTCTGCTAGTACATAAGTAGCCTAGTGTGTGTCTATGTTCCTTTTTTTATATTTTAAAAGGAATTGCGTGGAAAGAGGGAGGCAGAAGAGATGGATTGTCACTGCCCTCTCATCCTATCCCCTTACAATTCTATGTGGTCTGAAAGTAATATTTCTGTGTTGTATCAATAGCAACATTACTTACAAATATATTTTGTGTGGGTGTAATAGCTTTAGTGTTTTAAAAATTCAAGTCAGTATGTGACACAAAGTTGTAAAAAGATGGAGTGAACTAGCTGGAATGACTAGTAAATTTCCTGTTGCTTTTTGTATTCCATGGCTGCTAAAATGTCTAAGCTAATATTAAATTGCAGAAATTGTAAAAAAGGCTACAGTTACCAAAAAAAAATTTATCTTGTTCAAAAGTAGGTACTGGAATAATATTTTCAATGAAGTAAATTGGTGAGAAAGTTCATTAAGCTTTTTTCTTTTAACCCCTCTTTAACCCCTAGGGGAGACTAGCATCTAATTTCTTCTCACAATATCACCACTGAATCACACATTAATATCATGAGAATAAAGGAAATGATCACCAATTAGAGAAACTATTGATTGTTAGACAAATTCTCCTTGTCAGCACCTTAGTAAATGTACAGAGGACTGTATGGAGAATATAAATACCAATGTGACGATGTAAATGGTTAAGTGATTGCTTCCCACATAGTTAAATACACCAATCAATTTGAAGCTTCAACATCCCCCCTTTACCTTAGGTAACCCACCAGGATCTAATTGTCATCCTTGCCTGTGGGGTGGGAAATTTGAACTGAAACTGTCAAGTCTTTCCAGTGAAATAAACATGTTTTATCTTTTAATATGGTGGTGTTTAAAGGTAAAAAGAAGAAAAGGTCTACAATAGATTGTTAAAGTCAGGGTTGCTAATCTTGCCTTTTACAAAAACGGGATGTTATAACTTCAAATTTAATCAGTGCATAACATACTAAAATTCTGCCTCCCCTTTACTAATAAGTTTCAATTTTGTTTATTTTTTTTGTGTCCTTTTTAATTTTTTTTATCTTTTTTCTTTTTCTTTGGATGGAAAAATAGTAGAGCATTCAAGACAGTATGATAGGTCCTGGAGCTTATATTTAGTTTCCAAAGTATGCCATCACCAAAAGCCTGTAACTTAAAAATCTTGATATTGTTATGGGCTTGAAGCAATACTTAGAGTTCTTAATCAAGAGGAATAGTAGTGCAAAGCTCCACTTTAACATCTGTGATTTTTTTATTTTTCCATAATTACTTAAAAATTTAGACATCTTGTCTTTTAACAAAAGTATCATAAAAAAAAAATAATAAAAAATAAAAAAAAAAGGCTCTTGAGACAGACAGGCTTAAGGGTGTGCCTTAACCCCTCCTACCCACTGAAAAAGACTCAAGGAGCATGAGGGGAGTTTGTTATGGGGTCTAGTTTGAAAGTACAGAGTTTTTTTCCTGTGTGATAAGAGTTACTGTTAGAATGAACAGGTTTGCTCAAGGAAACATCACTGTACAATGATCAGACAAGGGCTGAAACTTGAGCCATTTGATCCAGAGTTCAATGCAATTACTACTAAGATACCATGTTTCATTTGAGCAACCCCTCCTTTAATAAACTCTCATCATAGGTGTTGAAGATGAGATCTTTCGTCTACATCGTTACTTACTTACGTATTTTTCATGATGAAGAATGATGAGACTTTTCCAGTTCTCTTTTGGTGTAAAGAAGTTTTAGGGTTCTTTTTATAAGCCTAAATGTATGTTGAATACAATGATCAAATCTCGAGTATGAAAAAAATTCCATTTCAAGTCTACCGGAAGTTAAGAACTGTTTGTACCTTATTCTGTTGGCCTTTCTCCAGAACAAATATCGGGAAACAGTGCAGGACCATTCATATTTAGGATTACCATTTATCATCTTTACTAGTCGCGCTTAGAAATAGGCCCATCACTTCTATGAGTTGGTCGTGCCGTTACTTAATTGAACAGTGTTTTAATCTATGCAAGATTTACCGGAAATGTTTTATGACCGGATATGGTTTTCTTTTAAATACAAGAACACTCTTAACCCAGAGAGCGCATGAGTAACAAGACAAAACGCTGACTCAAAACTGTCTGGCTTGATAACATGGCGATTGTGCATGAGTGACTTCCTTTGTAGAAAGGGTGAAAAAAAACAGTATGGAGAAAGCTGATATTTCTTTTGTATATCCATTTTATCTATAACCTTTTTCTGGAGTCGAAGTATCTTTTACAGAAAGTCATGAACAAGCCGGCGACTCGTGTATGTACACGCACAACTCTGTTCTTGTTGGGATTTTTCCAATACCTCAGTAATTCCACTAAATAGGCGAAAGTGTTTGTAATTTTGTATTTTCCAGCGTTTTCTTTTACAATTTTTTTCCTACTGATGTGAAAGCGTTTCGTTTCGAAAAATTTCTGTGAAATACAGAATTGTTGCTTTACTTCAAAGAGGGTCGTACCACTGGTTCACGACTAGAGCTACTGAAAGTAGAACAGTATTTCAAAATATTCATGTTTGGATAAAGAAGTTAACTTTTGAAGGTTCTAGCTTCAACTCAGGATGATTATTTTATCATTAATACGGTAATGAGACGTGTAGTTTAGCGTTTTACAATCGAAAGAACGTGACTTATCGTGTTTGCTTGTTTTTTCCTGTTTTAGTGTAGTATACGTTTCTAACTTAAGATCTAAGTGAGTTTGAAAACTAAATTTAAGCTTGCATATGATCATATTTAGGGGCGTAAGAGGAAGAAGAGAAGTACTGGATGTTCATCTTTGGATGAAATGTCTCCTTCAGTGTCTCCAACTGAGAATGAATTTTCTCTTCTTCCAAGTGGTGCCCAAGAAGAACAACAAGGGGAAACAAATTCTCAGGTAATGATAAGTGTCAGGGAATAATCTACGACATCACGGTCAATTTGCCACCACAACAAACTCACCACCACAAAACTCACCACCACTGAAAGTCAAATTGCCACATGTGGCAATTTGACTCTTTTGTTATGTTTAGCCTGTTGTATTAAACTTACGTTGATTGAAAGCTAAGATGTCGTAAAACTAAAAAAATGAGTAAACAAACTAGGCTTTCATATGATATCAGTTTCTTTAAGTCTGATTACGAATTGTGTTTGTAAGGACAAAACTTATGTTAAAGGTCACAAAAGCAAGGATGTTAAGTCCATTTCTGCAAACTTCACTGTATTTGTGTGCGTTCTTTGTCGCAATATACTAGTACTTTTTAGCCTTTATTTGATGTAATTTTCATACAATTAGATAAACATTGCCATTTGCCATTTCATTTGAGGTTTCTCTCATTAAAATGGAAAGTCAAGCCCAAGTTGACCCATGTTTCCTATAAAATCCTGGTCCAGAGGTTCTTATAGTTATGATTATGCATTATTACTGGTTTTTTTTCCATGCTGCATTCTTACTGTCTGTAGCTAAGTAATCCCCATCCATTTGAAAGTGGCAGACCATGAAATCTCTATTTGACAGCATTGAAACCCACCTCTGAGTGGGTCGAACTTCCTTTTTTTCCTCTATTGGTGTTTAGATGGGTATAAACACAGCTTTTGAAGAACAACACTTCACAGGTTAATAATAGGTTTTCATGTGTTAAACTCAGGCTAAAAAATGAATTTTATAAAGGTAGGCTACAATTCATTAGAGTAATCAAACCTTTGAAAATAAAATTGAAGAAGTGCCATAAAGGTAGCAAATGAGAAGAGCAGATATCTCCTCAGCAGCAAGCAGATACCAGAGCAACCCAGGCTCAGCTTCTCTCCTCTAGACACCTGTCAACACAGTGCTGGTAAGCCAGTGTATGTTTTGAGTAATCACAGGCAGCCCAAGCTCCAGCTGTGAGATGATCATCATGCGCAATAACAGTCATGGCGGAATTATAAGAGTTTGTATGGGAATATTTACAACCCCTCTGAGGAATAAAATAATACGTCAAATTCTCAAAAAAATACCTCACCTTACTTCCACAGTGTATCACTTGTTATCTTACTGCTTACTTTGATGAAAAGGACGCATTTTAGCGAGTTGTCTATTTCAAGGTTTTCAACATTCATAAGAAAAGCCCAAGGCTGAACACTCCATTTCCAAACACCTCATCCGAGAAGCGAAAAATCCAAGCTCAAAATGACCAGGCGGCCACAAATCCAACACAGAATCCAAGCACATATACTGTAGTTTCATTTCAATTCACTAAAAACTCAATCTTCCCTGTGCAACTGACACTAAGCTGCAGTTTGCTTCAAGGCTATTGTTTTGATCGACTTACAAATCTGTGATAATTTTAGTAATTCTCTTTACCGTCTGCCTTGCAATTCTCATGATGTTAGTTCAGAGAATATGGTATTGGATCACCTTATAATCCCCGAGTTTATTTTTTCCTTTTTTTTATCATAACTGCTCACTTAAAATTGTATTGATATTGTAAGGAACATTCTGTCTTGGTTACTCATGAGAGTTAAAAGGTTAAACTGCTCATTTTCCAGGCTTGACATAAAGGAATTTTTCTTCTTCTATTGATAGGAGGAAAGTCTTTCACATGTAAACAAGAGAACAAGAAATGACAATGAAACTGAAGAAAGTACAAGTCTTACAGAGAACAATACTAATAGTGAACCAGCTAATGAAGAGCCTCATTCTGAAGAAACTGCAGCAGACAGAGAACCAATCAGTGTTGAATCACCCACAGAATCACACTCACCAGATGATGTTACAATCATTGGTGACATGCGGGTTGCAAGGCCAGAAGTTATTGACTTAGATAAACTTCCAACAATAAGAAGAGGTACAAAGTTCTGTCATTTCCAAGAAATCAAATGTATGAAGTGTCCCACTTTTTTTGTCACAAGGCAGAACTGGCATTACTGGTTAAGACAATATAAGGGGTTAACTTGTAATGGTATGTGTTTGACTTTTTTTAAAAGGTGGCTCAGTAGTGGTTGATTTGACTAATGACTCAGGTTACCATCACAGTAATGTGGTAGATTTAACCAGAGACAGTTCAACAGATTCTTCTATTGATTCCAGTCCTGTTATTGTGGTGAGTAATTACTTTACTTGAATTGATTAAAAAACAGCTCTTTTCTCTAATATTGTGAATAGAGTCACAACAAAACTTCTAGGTCGGGAGAGAATTTTACCATTGAAAACAAAGACTTTTTTTTTTAATTATATTAGAGGGCTACATTTTGATCATAGCATAAGCTCTGATTTGCTTTTGATTTATCTTATTCATTAGTTAAAACAAGTCCACCAACCTTTTTTTAGACTACATGCAGGTGTATGCTACTGCTGTAATTTTGAACAATTATTAACTTCTGTAAATTTAAGTGTGCAAAGTATGCAGGATTGTTACTTGGTTCTTCACTGTGTGTGTAAAGAAAAGTCAGACATCTTCAGAATTATTATAAATGACAGGCAGAATTTCAAATTTCTTGATATATGATTCAAATCAATTTCCCCTCAGTGTGTAAATAGAATATACCGTGGAGATCCAGCAATGGAACTGCCATCTTGTCGTTTCTCACATTCGGGTGTGCTGGGCAGAACTTTATCCGACACAGATGATGATATATTAGAAGTAGCAGAAAGCAATGAAGCAAATGAAGAAAACACAAGTGGAATAGAAGCTTCAACATCAAATAGTGAAGATCCAGCAGGAAAAGTACCTTCTAAGAAAATATGTTGTCCTATCTGTTTGGATGATGAAGAAACAGTGAGTAAAAAGAATTTGACCTGTTTGATTAGTACCTTCAATTTTTTATACAGTAAAAATTTTTTTTTTTTTAGAACAACATTATTGGCTTCCCAGGCCCATGAAAAAATGAAAAAAGAATCATCAAGTGATTTTTTCCAAAAACTATATGCTTTTATTTTGGTTTAGATCATTGTGGTTTCTCAAATTATGTTTTGTGATGGTTAAATTTTTTTGAATTTTTCTATTTTCAGATTAAAAGGAGGAAGAGAAGATTAATGTCAACAAATTGCGGACATGTTTTTTGTGACAAATGCATAAGAAGTGCGGTTCAGATGCAGAGTAAATGCCCAACATGTAGAAAAAAACTGACTTTAAGACAGTTTCACCCAATATTTTTATAATTTATACTATTAGGAATTTACTGGCACTACCTCACCATCGATTTGTTGGTACAAGATAATTGTGTCACACCTTGTCACTTACCTTGCATCTCATCTTAAATGACAGCATTTGACAAATTGAATAAACCCAGCTTAACTGTTACTTAGAACAAAATACTTCAGTTGAAAATGATCTTTTTTTTTTATATTTAAGAGAAACTTTTCTGAGCTCATGAGTATCTTGCAATGCATAAATGTTTCCTTTGTAGATGTATCACGTTACAGTCTGAGATGGGACCAGTATTAGAGACAAAAAGCATTGATTTTTTGAAGGACCCCGGCTAAAGGGGTTTTACTTTAGTAGAAAATTGCAATGACAAAAGGTTTAAGAAGCTCTTGTAGAGAAATTTAGAGGTTGTTATGCCTAGTGACATAATTTGTAAAAAGGGAAAAATAGTGTAGTTTTAGCTATTAACAAATAATTTAATGTCAAGATTTGCCAGGAATGAACAGACATAGAACTCTCCGACACCTGTGTAGGAAAAATTGTATTTAATAAGTTCTTGAGGTCTTTTACACTGCTACTGAAACAACCGGTTTGATGCTAAATATGTTTATTTAGGTTTGATATACGGATTAAAGTGCTTCAGGTTGTGTTTGTTTTAAGATTCCATTTATCTCCTTGGCTTATGCATACCTGCAGAACTTCTTCCCAATTGCTTTTCAAATTGAGCGAAAGATGTTGTTGTTACTTGTTTCCAATAAGCAATCCTAGTCAACTATTTCCAGTGCGCACAAAATGCAGACGATATGTTTTCCCCACTGGTATGTAAAAGAAAAATTAATAGCCATAGGCTGTCAGTTAGTGACCTCTGCATAAGTAATAATGCCGTTGAAGTATATGTGAAGTTTTCACTCCGTTTTCGCTTTGATTTTTGCAACGCCCTTCCTATTGTGATTTCGGATCGACTCTCAGACTGCAAGCAGTTCCTTTCTTTTGGCGAGGTCCGTCACGCGAGTCAGAAAAGAACATTGATGTCAGCACGCTGAATATGCAGTTATTAGATGATTTGCTCATCACTTTCTTTGTCTGACCATCACGTTAACTTGGTGAATGAACTGTACGTTAGTTAATTGAAAGGTAGTTAATCTCGTGTGCTCTGTTTTGTTTCGTTTTTCATTTTTAGGCTAGTATCTTGCGCGTTCTGTCTTTGTCTTTGATTGTTGTTGTTGTGGTTTTTTTTTTCGTTAGTTTCTCTCGCGCTCTGTTCCTTGATCCATTTTTTATGTTGGTAAGATTTCCCTTTAATTGAGTTAGACCCTCATGCGTTTTCTTTTGATAGGCTGGTTACAAGTGCGCCCTTATGTGTTTGTTTCGCTAGTGACTTGTGTATTCTGTTTTGTGTTATTGTTTCTTTAGTGACGCGCGTAAACTGTTTACTCTGATTCTTGTTTAAGTGACTTTTATAACCTCCATTGTTTAATCGGTGCGTTAGTGACGCGCACGTTCTGATCTGTCGAACGTAAGTTCGTGACTAGCTCGTTTGCTTAGTGTTATGTCCTTGCATGCACTGTTCTGTGTTCGATTGTTGCGTTACTGACCCGCCCACGCTGTTTTGTCTATGATTGTTGAGTTAATGACTCCCGCATGTTATCTCGTGTTTAATTTTTAAGTTTGACTTTGATTCTTATGTAAGTGCCTCGCCCACTCTGTTTCGTAATTGATTCTTTGTTAGTTTGTGGCTCGCGCACTCAGTTTAGCGTTTGATTGTTACGCAAGTGACTCTCACACTTAGGCGTTTGATTGTTATGTTAGTGACTCGCACTCTGTTTAGCGTTTGATCGTTACGATAGTGACTCGCGTACTCTGTTTTGTGTTTGATCGTTATGGTAGTGACTTGCGCACAACGCTCAAGAGTTTCAGGTACAAATCCGTCTCGTCCTCTCGGACTTACATACTGTTTCGCGTTTGATTGTTACGTTATGGACTTGCGCACTCTGTTTTGCGTTTGATTGTTGCATTAGTGACTTACGCACTCTGTTTTGTGTTTGTTTGTTACATTATTGACTTGCATACTCTGTTCTGCGTTTGCTTGTTACATTATGGACTTGCACACTATGTTTTGCGTTTGATTGTTACGTTATGGACTTGCGCATTCTGTTTTGTGTTTGATTGTTACGTTATGGACTTGCGCTCTTTGTTTTGCGTTTGATTGTTACGTTAGTGACTTGCACACTCTGGTTTGTGTTTGATTGTTACGTTAGTGACTTGCACACTCTATTTCGTGTTTGATTGTTACGTTAGTGACTTGCGCACTCTGTTTGCGTTTGATTGTTACGTTATGGACTTGTGCACTCTGTTTTGCGTTTGATTGTTATGTTACCGACTGGCACACTCTGTTTTGTGTTTGATTGTTACGTCATGGACCAGCGCACTGTTTTGCGTTTGATTGTTACGTTATGGACTTGTACATTCTTTTTTTTTGTTTGATTGTTACGTTAGTGACTTGCGCACTCTGTTTTGTGTTTGATTGTTACGCTAGTGGCTTGCGCATTCTGTTTTATGTTTGATTATTAGGTTATTGTCTCGCTCATTCTGTTTTGTGTTTGATTGTTGGGAAAGTGACTCGCACACTGTTTTGTGTTTGATTGTTACGTTACTGTCTTGCGCACTCTGTTTTCTGTTTGATTGTTGGATCAGTGACTCGCGCACATTGCTTTGTGTTTGACTATTAGGTTAGTGACCCATGCACTCTGTTTTGTGTTTGACTATTAGGTTAGTGACTCGCACATTCTGTTTTGTGTTTGATTGTTACGTTATGGACTTGCGCACTCTGCTTTGTGTTTGACTTTAAGGTTAGTGCCTTGCACACTCTGTTTTGTGTTTGACTGTTAGGTTAATGACTTGTGCACTCTGTTTTGTGTTTGACTGTTTGGTAAGTGACCCGCGCGCTTTGTTTTGCGCTTGACTGTTAGGTTAATGACTTGTGCACTCTGTTTTGTGTCTTACTGTTAGATTAGTGACTCGCGCACTCTGCTTTTAGTTTGACTGTTAGGTTAGTGACTGGCGCACTCTGTTTTGTGTTTGACTGTTAGCTTAGTGACTCGCACACTCTGCCTTGTGTTCGATTGTTACGTTAGTGACTCGCGCACTCTGTTTTGTGTTGGACTGTAAGGTTAGTGACTCGGGCACTCTGTTTTGTGTTTGTCTGTTACGGTAGTGACTTGTGCACAACGCTCAAGAGTTTCAGGTACAAATCCGTCTCGTCCATTCTAGCGCTGTACGGAATAATTTCGGGATTGGAATCCGCTATCGTTGCACTTTGCGTAACAGAAATATCTTTGAAATTGACGGAAATACTAACTGAATAACACGTTCCTAATTCAAAGACCTTGTTTACGTATACTTTCGGTTGCATCATGTACCTCTCATTTTCAGTCAGTGATTTCCACAATTTTAAAGCAGCCAGGACTACATGAGAAACTGTTGTGAGTGAGAAAAGGAACGTTTTATTATTTTAACCCAGTTATTGCATCAGTGACTCGTTACTTGTAGTGCAAGATTGAGAAGATCTGAAAAGGAGGTTAAGACGGGGTGGGTGGTTAGGTGTCTCAGTCTCTCCATTCTCAGGTTCTTATCCCTCAGGTCTTGCAAGGGGCGCTCCTTAAGTGACCGCTATTCAATGACATTGCAGTGGCGTGTACATGCCTTAGAACTTGATAAAGCCCCTCTTTTTGGTAACACGAAACATAATTTGGCCCACATGTTAATGGAGTCAAACAGGTATATCAAAGAGAGTTTATTTACATTAACCTCTTGCAAAATATTATTTATAAAAGTTAAAGTTTCATCTGTGAAGTCTTCTTGACCTCTGCAAAAATAAATACACTACATCTAGCAAAAACAAACAAACAAAAATCACGCGCTTTAGCTTTGCATAATATACAAAAATAGCCTTTTGCGTTAGAAAAATACTACAAAACCGTGTTCACCTAAAAAATATTTCACACCTTTGCAATATGACAATATACTGGGTGAACTAAAATTTTCACCATCATGAACGGTAGAAAGTTGGTCCAAACTCTACTAGAATGTATACAACACAAACTGACTTAAAATATAACGTTTGGTAATTCTACGGGGTAGCAATCATGAAAATGTAACATAGTTGTAACATTAGAAATAGTTATCAACTGAACCAGCCCTTGAGAAAGAGTTGCTCGTATATGTTGGGGTTTAATTTCGCTTTTGGTTCAAATTTTAGCTTCCTCTGTAGTCCCTGTGATAGTGTACGATGACAAAATTGACGGAAGGAAAATGAACTTTGAACCAAAGACAAATTAAACCATAACACATCAATAAGAAAATCGTAATTAATCAGGTTTTAATGTAAAAATAATCAAGCAAAATCGCATTGTGGAATTAATAAATTATAAATTTTACAAGCAATTATCTCTTGCTATTTAATTTCATTTCTAATTGATGAAAATTAAAGCCTTTATCTCACACTGCAACAAACAGCAACCTTATATTCACAAAATTTACAATGAAAATGAGAGAATGTCATCAAAAATTGACCATATAACACTTGTAACACAAGCCCTTGAAAGGGAAAGGGTTTTATATGATTAATGTTTCCTGGGTCCAACAATGAAGTTCTAATAGGTGACCTGTAGTTTGCGTCTTTTTCAAACTACCGTGATAATGTAATTTCTGGAAGATGTATGATGAGTTCAGAATGCCGAAATAAATATATTTACAATGCCAGCAGAAATGAAAGCTTCCTAAAAATTACACTGTTAAAGCCTTAGGTGAGACTACTGAAAACAGAGGGTTTCAGAGCTGCTAATGAATGTGAGTACCTCCTGAGTTAACAAGTGAATCAGACCAGCTGATTATTCTAAAAAAGAGTATTCAAAATGTGTAATTTAACACCATGTCAACACTTAAGCGTGAAATTCCCACCTCGGTGGAAAGATAACATCGTTAACTACATATTTATATCAATGAAAACTTAGCATCTACACTTGAAACAGCCCCACACATGCTGCTTTCAAAATAATTACTTTTTAAACGAGTGGATATTTATCAACAAATCATTAAAAAATTCACTTTTGTAATTCTGTGTAAATTTTGAATCCTAGCATCTTAAGAGAGAAATTCTGCAGGAGTGGCTATTTTTGAGGACTTCAGAGCACAAGGAATGATTTGTGTAAATTATGGTAGATGCTCTTCTAGTGAAGTAAGTATGGTTTTTTCCCCTATCCAAACATGGGCTTCTGTTACAGTTTTTTCTCAAGTCCTTGTTACCAAAATGGTCACTTAAGTAAAAGAGTATAATGGGTAATTGGTTCCTTCTGGTGTCCTTGAGTTCGATGTACCAGGATAAGTTGATCCCAGCAAACAATGTGGGTGAATGTGTAGCTGATCATCTGTGCCCGTTATCAAGGCCGGAGCACCCACAGGTGCCACACCCAAGTGGTAGGTAGGACTAAACATAGGGGGTGTGGGGATGAAAATCCTGGATGCTGTACACAAGTGACTCGAAAGTGCGTCTGGTGGTCCTTGCAAATGAGCAGAAGGAGAGGTTATGTAAAGATCAGGGCGATCTGGCATCATGGAGGAAGGACTCCATCTTCCTGGGTAAAATGTCATACCATGAAATGGTAGCTCTTCCTCGTAATGATCCTTCTTTGGCTTTGGTGGAGGGGCTCTAATTTCATCTTTCCTGCTTGCTGATAATGAGCAAGAGCAGTCTGGGGGACAGAGGTCCTCGGAAACATAGTTATACCTTAACTGGCCAAGTTCTGGAGTGTAGTGATGTCTGGTGCTAGATTTAGGATGTTGCTGTTGCCCAGTGGACTGTCTTCGTAGCCATTCTGCAAAATGCTCATCAACACTCTCTGATGAAGGGGAGTGTGTGTAGCAGCCTTCTAAGTTTTCCGATCGTGCCTGTTTATGCCTCTTCTTCTCCTGTTTGGAATGGGATGTTTCTTGTTTTAGAGGTGGACAGACTTCATCTAAAGCTTTCTTTGTTGTAAACCCAGGAGAGCTTTCATGAACACGAGGTGGAACCTTGTTGCCATTAAATGGTTGACCACTGTACGGCTGCACACCATAAACTATGGATCCTTCTACTTTGGGTTTTAGTTCTTTAGTGGAGTGGTGCTTTGAACTGTCATTGTGTTCTTGTTTTATTTGCGATTGCTGCAAATGTTTCAGCCTGGCATTTTCTCCACCACCAATTATTGGTCTCTGCACCTTGGATATTTCTTGCATTTCTTTCTGAGTCTGTGGCACAGTGTGACTCCTAGACTGTACCCCAGGAGGGCTGTCCTCTGATGTTAAATCAATAATCTCTCTTCCTTTGTTAGCAGTATTTAACTGCTGTAAAGGTGGTACCACTCGCATATCATCATTCACAACTTTAGAGACCCTCTGTGGTGGAATAGCTTGATTCAGATTGGTACCAACTGTGTTTTTTGCATAGACAAAGTTGGTTCTTGCACTTGTTTCCTCATGGCTACGAATCTCTTCCCTGCGATGCTGTTTCCTGTCTTGAGTGACAGTTCCCTCTTGTGAAAATTGTTGCACTGGAACAACTTTTTCTCTTCTGTCAGAGGATGAGGTGATCAGTGGCTCTGTGCTTGCAACTGACTTGCTCCTCCACAGTTTAGACTCTTCTGTGATGGATTTCACAGACACAGGTGAAATTTCTTGCATATAGGAGGCTGTGGTGATGGCTGATGTTGTTATAATAGGTTTCATTTCTTGAGAATGGGCTATGTGCATTACATTCCTCTTTACATCAGGTGTGGAGGTCACTCTTAAAGGTATTGCTTGCTGTGATGACACTGGTGCAATATTATCATGTGTGTTTCTATCTCTTTCCATGACCTGATTCTGCTTCTTCTCTACGACAGCCTGGTCTACATGAAAGCTTGGTTGCACTGCTTTGCTATTGGAGACTGTTAAACCTGGTTTTTTCTTGGTTTTGTCTAAAAGCTCTTTTTGTCCACAGCTGTCAGCAAAAGGGGGATTTTTCTCATCCATCTGTCTCTTGAGATCATTTCTTATATGCTTCTCATATGGCAAGAGTAACCTGAAAGAAAAGGCAAATAATTTAAGGGGATAACACATAATTTCTGCAAGATTTCAGACAAGAAAATGCATGCCAAAATATTTTTATCATCATGGCAGCTGCAGGTTAAACATACCAGTACATTACAGACAAGGAAAGCTTTGCAAATGTAACTGGATGACATTCAATTGAAATTAGAACATACATGTGTATCTTAACCCTTTAACTACCAAGTTCTGATTGTTAAATCTCCCCTCTAGCTGCCAGACATTTCCTTGTAAATTAGTTACAAGAATTTAGTGTAAGATCAAAATAACATCCTCTACCTGATAAGTTTGAGTATTCTCCTCACCTGTTTACTGGATAATGTTTGGATATTATAGAGAGAAGTTACATGCTGGTCACTCCTGGGAGTCAAAGTGTTAAAGGAAAGGACAATGAAAGGTATCTAGTGGTAAAAAAACTCTCAAAAGGACAGCTACGATGGCATACCCATCTGATATGTGGAAAATGGACACATGGCAAAGAAAAACAACCAAGAATTTTGTTAAAGATGTAATCATTTCTAAATGGCCACTGTGAGAAAAACTTACTGCCAAACTCACCTTTCATAATGTCTCTTGGTATAAGTGGCAGCACTTGTTATAGTTGTACTTGCACCAAGTGAGTCATAAACACGTCGCCACAGACGTTTCCCAGTCACCTACAAGATGAACATTTACAACTGCTTAGGAGGTTTCTTTCAAAGCCAAACTACAAGGGTTAGATTCATAGGCCAATAAAAGTAATTTCTCGGACTAATTTACAATGTAAATGTCAAAATAAGTTGCTTTTTTAATGGGAGTTGGTTTCTATGGGAGGTTTTTTCCCCATCCTGACTGAAAATAATGCCTCAGACACCTGCACTTCTATTAGCACGCAAACATGTGCAATGACCAGGAAACAGGACCTGTGTCCAATTCAGATACCTGCATATTCTGTGAGACTTTTCCCTACTTTACTGGAAACATTTTTTTCATAAAAATCAATTTCCAAACCAATTAACATACTTTTCAACTTTTACCTTACCTTTGTTTCATAAAGGGAATTGCAACACTTACAATACTAAATGTAAAGCAACAAACTACTGAGTTTAAATAGTTTGATACTTACTGCATCATAGCCTCCAAATTTCTGCACTGTATTGTACATTGTCCACAGATTAACTGAGGGAATAAGACAACCATCAACTGATTATTAAAATAATTAAAAGAGCAAAAAAAGTTTGAAAATTTTTCTCCCTAACCATTTTACAATTTCCCCTGTCATGCAAAATTCTTTTGCACAATTAATTTCCAAACCTCAAAAATTTAAAGTATTCTGCATCAGGATTTGCACAGGGATGCATGTATATTTTTAACACCCACATCCTTAGAACTACGAATTCTTGTTTAACTAACAGAAAAGATGGTGTACAAGCTACCTTTGGGAGCATGAAAAGTTGCAAATTTGTATCAAAAGTAATTACATGTTCATGTACATAAGCACAGTGTATGTATCTACGGATGTATGTATGTACTGTATTTATGGATGCAATTTTGTATTTATAGAAGTACATGTAAATTTGATGTTAGCTTCATCCAATCCATGACCTCGTGGTAACAAAAATAGGTGTACTTAATAAACAGTTAAGTATTAAAAACACAAGAGTCATACCTTTCTTAAAGCCCAAGGCAGGCAACTTGCCAAGTGGCTGGTTATTCTTTCTCATGAAGTCACGTAAGGTTTGCATGAAGAACTTCTCATCATCGTCATCATACACCTGTTTATTCATAACAGAAGCAGGCATTTTTCACAGGAAATTCAAAGGATTTGTGTTCACTGCCATTAATATCATCATTATGATTACTATCATCATTATTGTTATCTGGCCCTTGACCTATCAATATCCCCACCCTAGTAAATGTTCATTTTGAAGTTTTATTCTCTTCAAAAGCAACTATTTTTGTTGCAATGTGCTATCAAAAAAAAAAAATTAATTACAACTGCACCACTCCCTGCTATCCTGCCCTAACCCATCAATATCCCCATCCTGGCAAATGTTCATTTCAAAGTTTTATTCTCTTCAAAAGCAACTATTTTTTGTCACAGTGTGCCACTTGCAGTACCTCATCCTTGACATTTCCAGGCATCCTCAGTCTTTTCTTCTTCTTTTTCCACAAAACAGATTCCTCCATTTGTTTCATCTCATTCTCTTTCTTCTCCTCTGAAACAGAGGGTGGTCTGAAATGTTTTTCATCATTTTCCTTACTGAACCTTGGCTTTGTAACATCATTGATGTTCACTGAAGATGAAATGGGTCCTGAAATTGGTGTGGCATTTTGAAAAGATTTTGCTGGAACTGACTGCACACTGCTTATGGGCTGCTGCAAACATGCCACAGGTTGGTTGCGCATAACATTGCAGGTAGATGCTGCTAGCTGTGTGCTGACAGTGCCTTGTGTTGTAGTTACTGGTCGGGTGCTCAAGACAGTAGGTGGATGTACATTGGCCTGGACGGCTGGCTGTGTTCTCGAATTGTCAACATTATGGGTGTATGTGACAGCTGTCCCATTTGAAGTTTTCTTGTTTTCTGTGTGGGAATTTGGTACTCTGCTTGTCCTACTCTCTGACATAGAGCTTGAACTTGAAGCAGGTATAACTGTAACATTTGTTCGAACTCTATCAGTCAAGTGTGGTTTCATCAGTGAAACAGTCTTTTTATTGGTCATACTGTTTTCAACATCCCTTAGCTTTGCGTTCGAAGAGAAAACTTGCTTTTGAATAGGTGTGGTCCTTGAACACTCTGAAATATTTGTACTGATTTCCTTTTGACTAGACTGCAGTGGTTGTGAGAGACACAGCACATCTGCCTTTATCTTGCTAGAGGGAATAAGAGGAGGTGGGATCTTTGTATGCTCTCCTTTTGCCAATGGCACATCTTGAACAGCAATTTTGGGAATCTCTGCTGTTTCTGCCTTTTCTGTGTTATTGACTTGTATTCGTGGCTTTATTAAGGGCGGTGGCCCATTGGTCTTAGTTTTCCTTCCCATTGCAGGAGGTGCCTTTATCTTGTCTTGCACACCTTCTGACATATCAGAACCTGCACTCTCTTCTTCCTCTGATAATTTGCATCGTTTTGCTGCTGGTGAATTTCCAAGGTGATTTTGAATGTCTGCCACAAACCGTTTCTTCTTGAGCACATTGTTTTGCGCAGTAAGCTTCTTTTTCTTCCTTGGCCTACCTTTCAGAACTGGTGCTGGTAAACAGAAAGAAAAAGGGGATATAAATAAAAGTGGAAAAAAAGGGATTTTGCAGTGGACATTCCACAAGGTAGCTCTTCTTGTCCTCTGTTTCTATGTTGAATTGGAATTGACAGTGTTGAAAAATGTCCACATTCACTGAACTAGGTTGGAGCATAGATTCAGTAGCACAATTGTGCTACATTTCTTCACCTTGTGATCACTTAGCTTCAGGAAAATAATATACAAGTATCAATCTTTTCTGCAACAAGAGCTTCAGTATCAGCCTTGTATATCAAGAAATAGTTCAGTTGGTTGTTTATATGTAGGAAAAAAAACAATCACATCTGACCACAATTCTGGAAAAATCAAGATTATTCCAAACCTGAAAAACCATAAGAGAGACCAGCTTCTTATTTCTTCTTATACTGGTGAACCATTCATTTAGATCATGAAAATAAAGGACAATGCTAATGTCTAAAATGCTAATGTCTGGGTGCAAAGGATTAAGCATAAAAGATTGAAGAATTCTCCAGATCCTACTCTGAATTCTCTGGCTAAATTTGGATGGCCTGAGCTTTGCTTTTCTTCAAACATGGAGCTGTTATGTATCCTGTTAGCTTGCAATTGTTGCCTTCTACAATTCTTAAAAAAGAAAAAAACCCTTAACATGCAATATTATTCATACCTTTGTTATCACCAGATAATTCAAACTTGTCCAAGCTGGGATGATGAAAACTATCTCTACAGAAGAGCACCCGTATACTTTTGTGTTCCGCAATAACTCCACCCAGTGCAGTCAACTGGGCTCTTGTCAAAAACATGCCCGATAAAAGCCTCCTTTTAAGAGCTCTGTAGCGACAATAAGCCGGAAATGTAAGTATGTGGAGGCTGCGAGGATGATCCCTTTTCATCCATGCCTCCCTGGCAGTTTTTAAAGTTTCTTTCTCCTTAGCAACATTGTTGCTGTTCAAATAGTATTTGTCATTGACACATACAAAATCACTTTCACACAAGGGTAACATGCCACAATTCCATTGGAGTCCTGAATTCTGCCATACAGCCATGTCGTGGCATTTAATGACAACCTTCTGGTCAGCATATAGTAACTCATCCTAATAAATATAAACAAATAAATACAGTCATTTTGAACACATGTAAAATAAAATCTATGAATCAATTTTATCAATAAAATATTAATTGTTTTGTGTTTATTTACACATGACGTATTTACAAATTCTGGTCTCTCGTCATTTCATTCACCAAAGAGAGCAGTTAAAGCAGCTGAAAGCTTGAGTTTTGAAGTTAAAAACACATTTGAAAGACTGATGATGTGATGCATTTAGTTTGAGAGAGCAATGAAGGTGAGTGCTGCCAAAAAGACACATGAACAGAATTCACCAGCCAGGTTAGATGATATTGCACTTAAGACTGCTCCCACTTTTCTATCTACACTTAGTTAAGATACAAGTTGGATTATATCAAAATATGTCTAAAAATTTTACAAGGTCATCTTACAAATATTATATCTGTCTAGACAAAATGCCTTTCAGCTTTAATACCCTAAAATTAGAATTAAATTTTAGGTGGGATAAAAAGTACTCGACGTATAGTCTTAAAAAGAACAGAAAAACAATACTATCATCACCAATCAGATACAAGATCAAAGCACAAAAATTAATAAATGATAATAAAACCTGAAAATGACCATATATCCCTTAGTAATTAAGATTATCACATCATTTTGGAGTAATGCCAAGGTTCAGCAAGGAAGGTCTAAATGTGACTCTTGTTTGTGAAAATTCAACTACAAGTGATATTTTAACAGAAAGGTCCATGCAGCATTCTTTTGGGGGAAAAAACCACAGTTGGTGGCCAATTAAAGTGATGGCAAATTCTGGGCCTTGCGCAGTTGATAATCATTTCAGTTCTATAACACTGGATGTTCATGTCCGATCTCACGTCTGATTTCCAGGCACCCAATTATTCCTTGAATGCACAACTTGAAACTCGAAACATAAAAAAATGCCAAATAAAGCACATATTGGACCCCACTGTTACTAATATACAAAAACACATCAATGGCAAGCAACTTCACTGATTTTTAATTGTAAAAAGTTCATTTACTGTATGCACTTAGATTCCTTACATTCTTGCCTGCTAGAATGAAAAATTTGAAGAAGTTTCAATTACAGAAATGCCATTTTGTTGTGTGTTTGAAAGCACACATTTTTACTTGTCCAGATGATTAAAATTTCTGCTTGGAAATAATTTAAGAAAATTTCTGCTGAAGCAGCTGCACATCAACAAGGAGAAGAACTTAAAAAAAATAAATAAAAAAATATTCTATATATATTCTACTGAGCTGAGTTATCCACATTGTAGTTTACAGCAGTGGATGATTTGTACATTCACTGTTATTTCAAGTGAGTTGGCAGACCAGTTGACACTTGATTTGCTTGATGCATGTTTCATTTAACTGAAATACATGAATTTGGAGTGCTAAAATATGTTTTTCTTTTTCTGCAGGGTTATAGTTTTGTGGATATTGGAAAATCTGCAAAATCCACAGAAGTTTAAACGTAACAAAAATTACATGAGACTGAGTACCCTGAAGTGATACAGAACCTGATGCAAAGATCTATTCACACAATTTTGAGAAGTTAAATTTCTCAGATATTCCAAATTTCATTGTAAACTTGGTAAGATGATCAAAATAATCCAAGATTTAGCTAACAACTGTATCAACAACAACCTTTTAATCATCAATCCAAATTATACACTTATCACTCCCTTGAAAATGAAAAAAAATATGATAAATAAAAGGAAAAGCAGTATGACTTCCTTGTTATGTTTTATTGAAAACATTGATTCAAATAATACAACATGGTAAACATTCTCTTGTAACCATATACAGTAAAATTGAAAAAGCATCTAAAAACCCATGGCTGTGCTAAGTGTTAGGGTAAAGGGCTAATTGTTCTCTCCTATCTTGCGAGACTCACATGTAATAACAATTCAAATAATTTTATTAATTGAAGCCTAAAAATCTGACAGTCTATCCAACCTTTCTCTGCACATGTGTATCAACAATGCAGTTCTTGCTAGGGAACAATGTTCTGTTATGGAGTCTGTTCATTTTGCACACTGCTAGATAAAAATAAATGTGATCTAATAGTTCCCTGTTTTATAATTAAACATTCACTGAATAAAACATGGGAACAGGCAGATCAAACTCAGCAAGAAGGAAAATTTTGATTTGATAAACATCAAAAAGTACAGAATGCTAATTAATTCAAGGCCTTTTGATATGAACATGTGCTTAAAGCCAAACTTGGTCTTGGCAATAGTGTATTGAAGTGCATAAGAGTGGTCACTTGCAATACTCTTTCAAGTACTCAGAATAATCAACTAACATTTAGCTGTTAATGTTAAATAGTATTTTACGGAACAACTCTTTTATGACCGAAATAAATTAAACAGTAAATGTAGCACTGTCGCTGAAATTAATAAAATTTTTGTTTAATTGTATCAAATAACAGTCAAACAAAAAACAGATAACAAATTGTGACATTTTCCAAATAGTGTTCACTTATTCTGAAGGTTGAGACTTGGTACATTTATTGAACAAGTTTGAGGAATAAAAACAATCAAAATGAAAGAATTCTATAATTGGGTTTGGCAAGAAATAGCAGAATTACCCTTGATTATGTTTCATAATCCTTTCAGCTCTCACAAGAGATTTGACTTGAATTTATTCTTCAGTACTAAGAGATATTAAATAACATTGAATCACTTGATTTTATACATGTTTATTGTGATACAGGAACTTGTTTTATCCCTAAATTTAGAACTTGGAACTTCAAATTCTTCCAACCAGAGCCAGAGTAATTTATTTGCACAGTGAAATTAACATATAACCGAGCTCGGATGAGTGTTGAACCCTTTCCAAAGAAAACAATTCCAAAAAAATCAAACTTGACAATTTAGATATTTAATTGGTATTAATCACATGAAATACAAGGAAAGAGACATTGCATCCCGTACAAAAATCACAACTAAAATTCAATGATACATTCGAGATATTTCAACAATGAAACTGACAAGCGGAATCACGGAGCGATTAATTATCAAACCAGAATATAGTGTGAAGCACATTTAAGAAACAAAATTTCGCGATCTATCAAAATCTTTTGCCTAAAATATGCCCTTAGACGTCTAAAGTGGATGCAAAATTAAAACAATGGTAAAAATTGACTTGATCTCCCATTTAATCCTACATAAAAAGATAATGTAATACAACACGTATTAAGTAACCAGTGAATTTACAACAGAATGCGAGCCGTATTTTCAACTAAACTTAAATCAGTCCGTACGTATCATCATCACTATATCTATCATTTAGCAATTTCAACGTCAAAACGAGCACCATCAAACAATATTTCATGAAAACAATCCGTGGTTCCTTATTCCAATTAATATCAAGACCATGTGGTAATTTGTTTACACGCATCGATTTCTGTTCAAAATGGCTCTTAAAATAGTACAAATCTGCCGAATCACGTCCAAAAACAAAGCGAATATTTTTTGTCGAGAAATCGATCTAAAACGAGTTTTCGGGTAGGGGAGAAAAATTCACTTACTTAGATTTCTAAAGCTGCAAGCAGGTTATTATTTTTATTCAAATATTTCCTATTGTTTTGACTTAATACACATCTGTCGAAGGCACAGAGGTGTAATTTTTCATCACATACAATGTCAATTTCTGCTTAAAATAGCGCCGAAAAACAGGTATTGTTATGTATGCGTTTTATTCGTAAAATTGATAATAGTGAAAACAAAACTATAGCCCAGAATAAAAATTACTTCGCAAACTGAAATACAATCTCTCGACCGGAAACATCGCGAGTGAATTTTACTTGCGGTGCTAAAAATGCAAATCAATTTCTTTTGTTATCATCAAACACCGCTAGCTGTTTTTATAGCTTAAATAATCGAACTCATATAAACTTTTCATTTCTCAATTTAATGATCGCAAATTTTAAATTAAATTTGCACCCTAATCGAGTAAAAAATTGGAAATAATTGTAAACATTGCACGGAACGCACTATGAATAAAACGTTGTTTACTGATATGACCTCATGAATATAAATTGCGTGGTGTTGTAAAAACTTCATTACATGGAACCACCGAGCTGTTGCTGATAAAATACTTCGATGAGTCCTGAACTTACCAATAAACTGTCAATTTGAATCTCTTGACTATTGAGTTTCTAAACAGTTTATCCAGGCAATTAAGAGACTATAAAATCAGTTCGGACGTTATCAAAATTAAGAAATGAAATTTAATGAAGTTCAGCACATGGGAATTCTTTCACTTCCTCGCGGCGCGCTATAGAAACAAAAGACCAAATCACAGTTTCTCGATCAGTTTGCCAAGAAGTGTTACACTTACGACTGGATGAACTTAAGATCACTACTAAAAAAACAAAATATTTTAGGCACATTATTTTTTCTCAGTTCTAATAAATATTCATCTAAATATAGGACATACAAGTGGTAGACAGATACAAAAGCGTGTTCCACTGAGCTTAAATATTCCGTTTTAATACGCCATAATTTCTTTCTCCTGGGCTCATGTTTTAAGTTTTAAAGTGAAGAAAGATTAAAGATAATTTGATTTTTTCAGATTTCTACGGTAAAAAAAAGATAATTTGAAATCGACGATCCAGCGCAAAATTTCTAACAACGTCTTCACAAAATCAATGAAGCATTATAACTTCAACAAACAAATTTTTAGTGTTTTTAGATTTGTTAACCTTGGCCATTTTACGGGCTCCAAAACGGCAAATCAAAGCAATAAAATGAAATAAAATCCCTGGTAAGTAAATTTATAAATAACTGACCTGTCCGTGGTTTGCAAGGCGTCCTGCGGGAGTATCTTCGGGTCTAAAATAAAGCCTCGCGGAAGCAAGCTGGCTGTCAGTACTCGCGTCGTACCAAACTAATTGTAGTTCAGCTATGCATATCGGTTGGTCTGTGGAATTCCTCACAAAATAAAACTCTCCGAGACAGAAATTTTTTGCCACGCCATCGACAATTAATCTGAAACCTCTGTAGAAGGTGTAAGTGCTGTGCCGTCCACAACTGGCCCCGATCCACTGAAAATAAAAATCAATAATTTAAAGTCAGTTAGGCAGTAATTCTGTCATGGTATGCTACAAAATGAAATGTATTGAACACGTCTAAATTGCCTGTTGACGTATCGGTTTGAACAGGAAAATATTCGTCAAGCCTTTGAAAAATAAAATACTACATCGATGGAAAATTTTAGACGCGAAAAGGGAAAACAAATCAAAAATACCTGTACTTCAGTTACGGGCATCGTAGATGAAGTTGAATTGACATCGCCACACATAACAAATGAGGTTTAAAGTTTGGCAGGACACGTGACTACGCAAACGTCATAGATCGAACTGACAGTTACAAACACGCTTGACACATGCGGTTCACCAGGAATTTTTTTAATTTACTAAGTAATAGTTGAGAAGTATTTTGTTAAATTGGAAAACTAAGCCCAGAAAACGTGTCTAAAATGACAAATTCTACAAAAAACCGGAACTGACAAATCAACGGCGTTGTTCCAAAACGGAAAAATATTTCCTTGTTTCATGTTGTTACCAAAGCCATTGATCATTTCCTGTTGCCTAATGTGATTAATGACGTTTTTTTAGATGAAAATTTTTTTCCAATTGTGACCCACTATCCAACTTCCTCCCCACCCACTGGAAAGATTTTGATATGGTTAAAGACACATATCAATTTACTAATGATCCTACACAAGTTATAAATTTAAAATTTGAAATATATATATATTTATATATTTAGTAATATTCATGAAACTTTTCCCTTGGACTATTCATACTTTGAAGTATTCTTTAAGAATTTTCATATGTGTAAAATGTTAAGTTTAAAAATTCAGAATTTATTTGATTCCTTTTCTAATTCAGGAAGAAAAATTACAGGAAAAAAATATCTCATTAAAAACAAAATTTAATTACAAAGTAATAACATTATTATATTCCTGATGATTTAATTGCCTTAAGGAAGTCACAGCAGAACAAAAAATAATATTGTAGTTGAATTTTCTAAATATTTTTAAAGGAGCATGTTAGTTATTGCTTTGGTGATCATTCTTCTAATGGCAACACAAAAATTGCGTTAGCTCTCTACAGTTTTCCCTGTCAATCATAAAATAGGAATTCTTTCTCATTCTCACTTAACTATTAACTATTATGGTATTTATTGACCATTAGCTGTAATTTTCAGCCACACACTTTTTAATTAACAATAATGATGATGATGAGAATAAATTATTATAGCCTCATATACAGCTGATTTCCTAGTCACAAAATGCAATACAGTTTGAAATATTGAACCTTCAGGGCCTCATCAAGGATAATCTCTTTTCATAAACTAAAGCTTATTTGGCACGAGGCCGAATAAAGCTACTCACAGTAAGGAGTTAGGGCCAGCCTTTTCACCTTTTAACACTGATTTATATGTTTTGATTTGATAAGAATCATTTCATATTTAGAGACTGTCCATGTCTAAGTAAAGTTAACACTTGCCCCCAAGAATGACTCACATTTAATTTCTCCTTACAATCTCCCCCCTGAATCAAACATTAATGATCACCAACTAAAGACTGAAGCTCTTGATTGTTAAACCAATTCTTCTTATTGGCACCTTAGGAAATGTGTAGAAAACAGTACAAAGAATTTGCAAACTGATGTTGGGGTGTAAACGGTCAAGGAGAAGCTTAACTTATGATATTCCAAATAGGAGGCTCTCAAACATTTGACTGACTTTTTAAAAACATGTAAGCATAATTCGTCATCAAACAAAGAATGGAGATGAGAACCGGAAAAAAGCAATCCTTCATCACGCATGTTTTATAAATTGAATACTCTCCTGGGATTAGAATGTTCCTTATCACAATTGAGGCTTTTCAGGGTTGGACTAACATTACCAAATTAAATACTGATAACTATTTATTATAATCTGCTGTTTCTGTAACCATACAACTGCATTTTCTACCAAACCAATTAAAAAAATTAATTTCAAGTCCCATAATATTGGAAACAATATCAGAACACTCAGATAAAGTCTTAGAAAAAGTAGGGAATTGCATCTAACCTACTTCAAAAGGTACACACTTTTGTTATATTTGACCTTAAAAATACACTACCAGTATATCACATATGCGGTAAAGAGACTGCTTATTATAGCTGTGAGAAAAATCAAACTTTAGGTGAATGTCTTCAGCTGTAGGTAAAGAAAAGTAAAGTAAACTAGATAAAGGGATAAGTTTATTAAGGTTTTGTGGTGCTATGTGGGCTGGGGTATTAGAAAATTACTTGGTTTTATCAATGAAATGAATTGAAAATGTAAATTGGCTAAAATAAAGAGTTTCTAAAGCTGATGCTTTCACTCTGATGGAGGTCTAATTCTCAAAGTTTCAACTTAAGGAAATTTTTTATGGTGATCCACATGCCTTAAGCCAATGATGCAGATGTCATGCTTAATTTAAGTAAACATACTTGTACACAATAGACTTTAAAACAAGTATTAATCTAGTTTTGTCATAAATTCAACTAGTAACTTCAAACAATTAATGGTATTGAATGTAGAAATTTCCATAAATATTTCTATTCTTTAAAGAGTTTACTGCAACTGTTACACCATACAATATCAGAATACATGTTTTGAAGGTAATCTCAAGGAAGAAATTTCAAAAGGAAAAAATTTATACTGCTAGAGGCACTCTGTAATCCATTTCAACACTAGTAGAAGACCTTTTTCTAATGGCATGTTACATCAATTGAGTAGATTGATCCCTAAATCATTTTAATAAATACTTCATATTGTTGAGATAATATTGATTATAAAACAATTCCTCTATTAAGCTCTCCAAGTATTTCAAGTCCTCCATTTAATTCTGAAAGGTAATTAACCTAAAAAATTCCTATTGCAATATCAATTAATGCAACAAAAATAAGACATGCTATCTTGAAATGACAACAGAATCTTTTAAACAATTTACATGAAATGTATTAATGAAGCAGTTTAAACTTTGGATTTCAAGTTGGATCTTGGAAATGACTAGTAGTCTATTTGTTAAAATAATAACAATGACTTTGTTTTGAGATTCCTAACAACCTTCAAAGAATATTTTGAATGGTCTAAACATTCGAATATATTTTGATTCTTGCTAAGCAACTTGGACAGTAATATTGGAGCATCAGTCCTCTTCTTTCCATCTCTGGGAGATCTTTTGGATTATTATGATTTACACAGAAAGGCATTAGTCTTTGAGGCATTCTCTCCCTCTCCCATAAGTGATAACATGTAACTTCTACCTATAAAACATCCATGCATTGTCCAGCAAACAGGTAATAAGATTTTGATCTCAGATCTTGGTAATTAAGATATCACAGAAGGAAAATCAGCATTTTCATTCACACTGAGACAGCATGAAAATTTTGCATTCTATCCCAGTGAAAGTACATTTTCTTGAAGCTTAATAAACACTGATTTTGACTATGTAATTTAATTTAATAATTTTTACCATTGAACTGAATGGGAGCTTACTTTTTTCACGCTGAGACAATTTACAAGATCAGTTTATTTGACCACACATTTTTATCAATACATTTCTTTTACATTGGAATGTGATCTGCATGCACTAAACTACAAAGATTGTCTGGAATTTGTATTTTAACACCTTGTTATTTTTAATCATTTTTTTTTAACTTCAAAGTAGCACTTTTTAGCAAAGTTTTTGATGTGGATGCTATCTCTTGAAAATTAAGGAAAAAATTAAAATCTGGAACACCCTTTTGGGGTTCATTACATTTCCAAAATTATCACCAAATTTTGTGAAAATTGAGAGAATGCTGCACCAAGAATAAACTCTCCAAATATCAGAACTCAAGTCAAAACACTTTACCAGAAAACGCGACTTAAATTTTTTTGGAGGGCCACAGTTTTTGTTTACATAAGTGCGTTTCCACTTCATGCGTGTGAAGGCTGTTAACCAATCAAATTAAAGCAAGCCGTTTGACACTGATCTGGCTGTCGGCACTGAAGTGCGCTAGGGAGCAAACAGCTGATATGATTTTTGAGGAGTTAGGATGAAAAGGTGAAGTGTAATATACATGAATATGTAGCTATTTTTGCTGATATGGAAGGTGCTTCAACAAGCAAAAAGAGGAGGAAAGAGGTCAGGCAGAGGAAGGAGAGCTACACTAGAAACAAAACTCAGCTTTTCAACTATCAATGCTCAAAGGGTAATACTACAGAAATGATGATGGACTGTTGGTGATATTTTTAATGAACTAGTGCTTACAGCAACTTTGATAGAAATAAGCTCTGACCACTGAATTGCAAAGTCTAGTAGGAACTGCTATCACTGTCAGTGAGCGATATTTCTGCTCCAATGCAAACTGTGGAGAAATTTTAGGAACATTGAAAGGGACTTGTTGCTTTTGGACATGATGACAGCTTGAAAACACAACTGAATTATAAAAACACTCTCTCTAGCTTTTGGAAAGAACTAATTTCAGTAGACTTTATAACAAATGAGCAATTTCAGAACTGAAAGAAACCGTACAGTGTGCTTTGAAAATCAACAGTGGTTTTGAAATCATTAATTAGATGACAAAAAGAAGTTGACATAAAGTGACATTAATCTTGTGCCTTCCGTTCTATTCTCAAATTACTCTTTGCTTTATATCTCCTTAAGTTAAAAGATAACAAAATCAAATTTTAAGAAGTTGATAGATCTTTTAATTTTTTTTTAATAAGGTATCAAATTCTCAGGAAATTGAAAAAAAAGATTTTTTTCCTTCTGTGATACCTTAAAGGGTTAAAAAAATTTGAGATGCTGCATATATCATTCTATCAATGCATAAGACGTTATTTGAGTAATAGAAACAAATGATGATCAAAAGATCTAGAAACTAATATTTCACATCTGAAAATGTTATACTGAATCATTTGAATGGAAGGTTTCCTAAATTTGGAGGATTGGTCAAGGATTGTGAAATTCTTCACTCCAAAATAACAAAGATTTACACTCACTGTTTAGCTTTCCAAGTTGATTTAGCAGAAAGATGATCTATTTCAGGCCATACACACAACTAAAAGTTTCAAAAGTGGAATTTCATACCTCACATCTAAAAGCCCAAAATAATGGTTATGATTTACTGTATTTACTCCTGTATAAGTTGACCTTTTATGACCAAAAAATCAGCCCAAAAAATCACCCTCAACTTATAGACGAGCCATACACAAAGACCTGACTCAAGCAATCCAAGAAATTAGAATAAGAATTGCGTCATTTCTGTCAGGAAAACTGAGTTTACAAAACCAGTTCTAATTGTGTTTGAGTTTCATCAATTTTCAGCACATTTTTCATCAACAAAAAAGTTTGAAATGATATATTTTAAGTGGCTTAAACACAAAGCTACTGGAGCTGATTTCTATTGTCTTCTGATCTGCAGAGCAGACATTTTTTCTTACAGCTTTGATGCTGTTTATGACACTAAACTGTCATTTTCATTGAACAATTTCAGTAGCTTAGTGACCTAATGAATGCTGTGCTCTTGTGTGGTCTTGTTTGTTACGCACGATCCTTCGAAGCTCTTCAGTGTTCCTTCGGTCTACTAAATCTCCTTTCAAAATCAACATTAACTTAAAGATGAAGGTTAGTTAAATGCAAGAGGATTTCATTTTTAATGCAATTTGCAAAATATGGTGAAATACTTCTTTAGTAAATTGAAGTGCTTGTGTATGCTTAAATTGTGGTGATATATACACAAGTGGTAATAAATTTGGTAGCAATCGGTTACAGTTTACCCTGAAGTTTTTTTTGAAATTTTCTTGTTCCCCATGTTTTCAATACATTCTCAGAAATAAGAGATTAACTTTTTGGGAAATTTCTATTGTTCTAAATTTGACTCCTTTTACTAGAAATGATGAAAAATCTGATTTTTGACCTTGAAAATGGGGATAGACTTATACACGAGTTCGATTTATATGCAAGTAAATAAGGTAAAGAACAAATTAATCCAAAAGTACCAATCAATACAATAATACAATATGGTAGAGGTCAACAATACTTTTCTGATTTGATAAAATTTGAAACAATTCTTTAGTTGAGTAATGTGAAGTGTTTCCTAGCCTTTTTACATGATGAACCTATACATGCCATTTTCTTTCTGCACTTTCACTCTTGAAGCATTATCAATGACAAAGATGTCCATGGGTGAAGAATTTCATGGCATCATACAAAGCTAAGGCTGAGAGTGCATGTGATTCCTCCTCTGGTACAAAATAGCAAAGGTTTTAAAGTCAAACAAAATATTACAGTATGGCATGAACAATTTTCATGAAAATCACATGTATAATTTGCAAATTGGCATTTTTTTATTTTATTTAGTCTGAAAAATACCATGATTGGATTTTTTTAAATCCTACCATCCAAGATGGTTGCTAATTCTCCTCTCTGGTTGCCACAAAATTTACTTTAAAATTGGTCACAAGAATTTTGTGTTACCGTTGTAGATCAATATAACAACTTCTACTTGATAAGTTTGAGTATTCTCATTACCTGTTTGATGGAAAATGTACATGTATGGATATAATAGGGAGAAGTTACAAGTTTATCACTTTTGGGAGTTAAAAGGCTAAGAGACTCAAAATTATCAATACTTTTTATCTTGATCTTGCACCAGCATCTCACAACCAATTTACAAGAGAATGAATGGCAGCTAGAGGGGAGAATTAACAATCAGACCTTAAGAGTTAAAGGGTTAATGGCTTCCCCTCAGCAGTAACTGCTCATCGCTATGATGAAAGGTTAACACCTAAATCATTAGCTTTGGTCACTGATTATTCTCAGTTAATAGAAACAAAGTATTAGCTAATCACGAAGTCTGATCATCTCAGTATAGAGGGCAGTCCTAAAAAATATTGTAACTGCTGACAGTGACCTATGTTTTACAACCAGAGAGAAAGTCACTATCAGAGTCAAGTGAACAACTGGTTTTCACAGACCACACCTACTTTCAATGGTTTAAATCCAAGGGTAATATTTGACTGTGAAGTCTAATCTTCAGGGTGAAAAAGTGTAGGACTGAAAAACAAATTGTTGTCAGTAGAATGGTCTGATGTTTCAACAACCTTAGCAGAATCAATCATCAAAGGCAAAAGATGATGACTTCCACCAAGGTTGTCAAATGTCAGTCACCACAACTGATAACAATTCCTTTCAGGACTACTCTCACCTAAAAGATCAGACAACACAATCAAGCAAACCAGACATGTAAAACTTGACTGACAAAAAAACTTTGCTTGATTCTAATAACAACTTTTGCTCAGGTTGTTGAAATGTCAGTCACCATCACCAACACAGTCTTTTTCAGAACTTATCAAGCTGGAATGATCAGACTACAAGAAGAATGCTGACTGTGCAGATTATTTGTAAAATGCTGGGGAAAAGCAAATCTTAAGTGAAACAGTGTTTTAAACCCTTTTGTATATTAAGGGCATCGGTTGTTCAAATGGTCAATAATGCTGATGCTTCCAATAAATTGATACCTGATGGATTGTGTGGTTAATTTGCTTTGCAGCAACATGGATTTCTATTTAACACAATATCTCAGATGGCAGCGCATGTATATTAGAATAATAGAAGACCCCACCCAAAGGTGGTGTCAAAGCATGTGAAATCTTGCATGACCAATGTTCATTTACACTGATCAGCATCTGGCCTCAAATGTAAAACTCGAGTACCAATACTTTAAAGCCTGTCAGTTCTGGTCCAAAGTTTAATTCAAACAAGATGGACCATTTTTTGTTTACTTCTTGCAAAAAATAAATTACATCAAAAAGGATCTGTAAAATATGTATGATAGTCTTCCCCTTGCTACACTTTCTAATTACAGAAATTAGTGGCTGATTTCATAACCTACGGGAATGGAAGAGCGCGCAAGTACGGAGTCAAGGGAGAATGTTATGTACCTCCAACTATTCATAAGAATTTGTCCACATGCATCTAGATTGTGAATTTCTTACATGAATTGAGGATATACACACGGCGCTTATACGGTTAGGAACTAGCTCGGTAGTTAACCACCAAAAAGAAATGATGTTTTCAACGTGACAACGATGACGGACTTTGATCTGGCAAGATTTGATACAAAATAATGTTGTAAAGTCTTCACCTCCCTTCAAGATCAGCTGTCTAATGTATGAATAGAACTAGCTCAATGGCGACGAAGCGAAAATCAGCTGAAGAAAGCTGAAGCAGTCACGAGGCTGATGCTTCCGTCGAAAGTAATAAATTTTAACAACAAACCAATATCTACAGTGAAATTCCTTGTTACAGGTTCTTACCTTGAAGTAGAACGGGAAATCGCCATACAATTTCAACCACTTCGTGCGCAGGATGTAGATTTCTACCCGGTAAATACACGAGCTGTGGAATAATCTTTTGATGGTGCATCTTACTTCTTGTACATGAAAACGAAGTTTTAAAGCTTTAAAGCTTCAGATACAGATCACACCAGGTGTTTTGACCGATCGGGACGCTGTTATGCAGATTGTTCTCAAACCGTCTACTCTGTACATTGAGGTTGGAAAAATTTCCTCCCACTCATTTTGGTTCCAAGCTTCCTCGATCAGCTTGTATCACGTGATAGAAATCAAAACTCCCGCGCATTTCATTTCTATGGCGACGGTGTTGAGAAAATCCAATATGGTGGACGAATTCAAGGTTATTTTGTAAAAACATTGTAAAAAACACGGTTAAAATTTGTTTGAACCCATACGAACTTTAGCACAAAGATGGACAGCAATATTCGGAAACTTGTTCACGCAGCGTCGCAAGATAATGACGAGTCTGCATTGTTTGAGGCTTACAGTAAGTTGAAGAAGGAAAGGCAATCGTCAGATGACAAAATCGATGCAGTTTCATCGGATCTTTTCGTATTGTGCGCCGAAGCAGCGCAAAAGGTATGTCGCATCATAACAACTGTTTAATTTTAGAGGAGTGTAATTTGAACTGGATTAGAATTTCTGATGGAAGTGCTCCAGTACCTGCATGAAACTTTTAACAATTGTTAATTGTACATATCAAGATTAAATTCTAATTCGACCAGAGTTGTCTGCACTCAGCTTAATTAATTGATTATGCTCAATCAAGTATTCTATTTGAAGGTCTTTTAAATAAGACCTCAGCGGTTGAGGAAAATTAAGTTAGCACAGGGAAAGGCTCAGTATAACAGTCAGTGAAAACGGAAAAATTTTTATTGGTCCTGATATGGATAAGATTTCTGCACAACCCTATAGATACTGTTTTAAAACAAAGTCGTAATCCTAAAGGGAATCTACCTTTTTCGCTATTGTTTTCTATATGCATGAACTGTATGCATAATGAAATATGGGGCTGTGCAGGAATCTTACCATGGTATGTCTGAGGTGTCAAATGTGCTGAGTGAAAATGTTAGTAACTAAATCTAAAAAAAAATGAAGTGAATGGGAAACAATGATTATACCAAATAAATCAAACCTTTATATTATTTGTAGACAAGCAGCAGTAACAAAAGAAAAGTTTTGTTTACCCTTTGTGTATATCACAACAAACATACCAGTATTGTGGAAACAATAATGATTATGAATATGAAACCAATCTTTACAGTAATTAACACTACTTGCATGTAAGCAGTAGTGAAAATAAGGCCTAAAAAACTTCAGGCCTTTATGGGATTTGAACTCATGACTTTTACAATACCTGTGCAGTGCTCTACCAACTGAGCTAACATTAGCCAACTGGGAGCTGGTCGTTATATTGGTTCATAATGAACTGGTGGAATGGTGAATCAGTGACTGTGAAAATATGAAAATCATATATGTGAACTGTGTTTTTTTTTAAATGAATATGAGTGTGACCTCCACACTAATGGACACCACCAGTGAAAATAAGGCCAATAACATATCCACAGCACACAACTTGTTCTTTACTCTATCTTCTAAAGCATGAAACCTCTATAATTTTACTAAGTGTATGCCACTTCATCGCAATTTGGTCTTACCCTTCACTTCAAAAACACAGGGCGGTGGTGCTGGAGAGCTCTCTAAAGGTTCCTTGCTTTTCTTGTCTCAAGAGAGGCCAATTTTCTAAATTTCTATGGAACAATGATCCTCCCTGACCCTATGGAGGTGCTGTTACATAACTATCATTCATGTAATATATAAATTGATTTATTTGTTCACATGTTTATTGTTGTTTATGAACTTGTCTATTTTCAACTAATGCATTTCTTTTACCCTGTACAGCATGGTCAATTTGATGTCATGGATGACTGTGTAAAAATGTTTTTTCAGAAGACTCCTCCCTCAAATCAGTTTCTATGTCGAGCTTATTTGTGTCAAGCTCAGCTCAATGCTCCAACTTCTTCTAAGAATCCAGTGAGTTTTGATTTTATTCCTATTATAACTGTTACAATTTTTACATGTTCCAGGGGTCTCCTTAAAAGCTGTTTACCAGTAGTCTATGGTTACCTGTAAGACCTCTTACCAGTGTCTGTTCAACCTGCATGCAGGCTCTCATGTTTGGTTTTTGCTTTATGGCCCCTTTCTAGGCACAACAGCCTATTACACCATTGGCAGCCAGTTATCGAAAAATATAATGAAACCCCTGGGTCCAGTTGTTCAAAAGGTGGATAACACCCACTGATGGATAATTTGCTATCCAGCTGATAAGTGCAAACAAAACATACTGTGCTATCCACCAGAAAGAGATTTATCAAGTGGATAGTGTTATCTACCCTTTCAACAACTAGGACCAGATGTTCCTCTCCAGAGAGCTTTTATGAATTGATTTAATTCAATATTTATCCAATTTCACCTTTGAGTGATTTTGAAAGAAGAAGTATGATTAAGAAACAAGTTAATTTTAATTTTGCTGCAAACAGTTATTGTTTTGATCCACATTTTGAGATTTGAAAGATCAACCTATTTGTTCAAAAGCAGTCTTTAAATATGTTAAAAACTGAAGTATGGGTGTGCTGTTATTTTGAAAAGAGTTACATAGAAACCATATACACTGTATAAAGCATTTTTTGTAAGGTGCAAGATGTAAGAGAAAAAAGCTTCAAATGCTAGTTTGCATATGAATAATAACAGTGCAACGTCTTTGTATATTGTGTTGTTCTTGAAAAGAAAAGAAAAATTAATTTTATGCTATCCTTCCTTACTGATCTTTAACATCAAAAAAACTCATTTTAAATTTGTGAACTTTTTGTACATAATCTAGATAGAACTTCCTCCACTGGCTGACATTGCTTTTGGCATAGACACAGTTTCATTGAGCTAGGCATATTTGTAATGTTTTCACAGGAGCAACTTGATAAAGCAGTGGAATCCCTATTGAAGGCAATTAATTTTGCCAAAAAGAATGTTAGGTATGAGTTGCAATCTATTTGTAAATAACATTGCTAGTTAAACTCAATATCAGACCTCGTCTCGATTTACACCTCAGACCTCGCCTCGATTTACACCTCGTCAGAAAAAAGGCCGCTAATTAGTGATCATATAAAAGGACCTCTTGTTGCAGTGTTTAGATCACCCCTGATGAAGGCACTAGACAGGAGTGTCAAAACGTTGGGTCTATGAATTGTAACTTCTTCGGTTACATTCATTAAATCTGCAAACCAGTGTAGCTTCAAACTATGTCTGATTGTCCACCTGGTTGCCGTGTGAACTTTAATATATAAACTCTATATGTTTATATTAATTAATTGCGGATTGCTTGTATAATTTATTAACTTACATGAAATAGCTGTCCATTACTTCAGTCTAGAAATTTCATTACAGATACTACTTCTTGGTGTACAATGCTTCAGTACTGTATTGGCAGTTCTGTCGTCCTTTCCTTAAGCCCAACTATCGCCAATATTTGGCTAAAAGTCTGCATCAGGTTGTGAAAGCACTGGATGATATTGATGACAAAGATTATGGCTGGAGAGCTCAGCTAATGATGTGAGCATTCTGGTTTTTTTTTTTTGTTTTATTCTTTTTGTTTTTTTGTCCTTAGGTATTCAGAACTATATGCAATTTAGTAAAGCAATTAGTACTATCAGTGACAGAAGTTTGTTTCTCAGCTCTTCCTCCTCCTCTCCATTTTTCCCCTGAACATTTATTTTCTTTCCATGAGACTGTTCTTGTTTTTGTCCTTCTTCTTGAATGCTTGGTAATTCATGATAACATTAGGGTTGGGGAGTTGGCAGAGTTCTTTGGGTGTGTGCATTGGGAGGGGTCATCTAGAACAGTAAGGACAGAAAAATAATTATAGCTATCTTAATTGTTTCTCTGTCCATATTAAAATGAAAAAAGAAAACATTGTATTGCATCAAGGTTTGTTCATGTCATGGAAAACCTGGAAATCCATGGAATTTACAATTTATTGTGATGAGTATGGATCATGATGACTAAAAATCTCAGACAAATTTTCAAAATGGAACAAACCAAGACATAGAGTGACTCTGATTATTATTTTGTACATAACTTTAATTTGAAATCATATACATATTAATTCTGCAATGAACTTTTTCAGTCATTTTTTAATGTGTATCATGATTATGTTTTGTACATGGCTTCATGGTCAGTCTCACCTTCATCTTAGTAACTAACTGAATGCTTTCTTCTGAGTAGTGCATTGATTGAATGCCATGTGGATGCAGGACGTAAAGAAGATGCCACTCAAATCAGTATTGCCACTTTGGCATTCACTAAAAGTAATGTTCCTTCATTATACACAACTGTACTAGGACTGCAGGTGAGGTCTGCAATGATCAAATGTTCAGATCTTGTTTTCTACTCTTTACATTTCACATTTGGTCTTAATGTACTATTTTTCTGTCTGCTAGGTTCGTCATCGACTGATTGATTTGTCAAAAGCATCAAAAGAAGCAAGAGCTTCCAATGAGTTGTACATGTTCTACAAGATCCAAAGGCTTAGAACGTGAGTTGTGATAAATACACATATTTAAAGGGATATGTTGAATTAGAATTCTTCAGAATATGGTGCCAAGAGGTTTTCATCAAATCCATGTGTAGTACAAATGACAATTCCCACAAAAATATAGCTGTACAGATATGTACAATAAGTTTTGAAACTTTGTATATTTCTTGGTCATCATCTGTAAAAGTACAATGTGTTATCTTGAAGTCACACTTTCTGAATTTAGATTAGGGCATCTTGAACCAAACAATAATCATCTCATGTTTTTAGTGTTTCTGTACATTGTCTACAATTTGGAATGTATGAAATTTTTAACCCTTAGAGAAGTTCAGTTTTAAAATCAATGTCAGTCATTAAGGCTTAGGCATCATGACATCCTTACCCCGATAAATCTTTTTTTGAAGCTACCAACAGTAAAATTAGAAATGCCTTCAAGTTGATAAATGTGCAAACTCTCATACACACAGAAACTATCAAAGACTTCTAGTATTGTTAACAATTTTCAATTGAAAATGTCACATTTTGTCAACAGCTTGATTGAAGCAGATGAAAAAGTTGACATAGAACAAGAACTAAACAAAATCTACAAATCAATAGTCAAGGGGGTGGATGCCACAGATCGAGCTAGTACAGCCATGTCTACAAGTACGTCAACCAGCAAAGCCAGCTCTCCTTATGTTGTTGGAAGTAATGACAGGTGATTAAAACAGTTCTGCAACCACTTATTTGATATTTAGAATGTACAGCGCTATATTCTCCAATCAAACACTTACAGCTAAAATGTACCACTTGTGATGGCTTACTGTAATTTGCAAAATGAAATAAAATGCAATGCAACACAATGAAACAAAACAAAACGAAATGCAACAAGATGAAACAAAATGAAACAAAATGGAATGAAATCTGAACAAAATAGAAATCTGTAATTTGCAAAATGGAAATATGCTAATGATTTGCAAAATAGAAATCTGTAATTTGAGATTTCTATTTTGCAAATCATCAGAATATATCCATTTTGCAAATTACAGATTTTCGTTTTGTTTTGTTTCGCATATTACAATAAGCCCTTGTGACAGCACATATTAATATAAGTACAGCGCAGTGTTCTCTAATCAAACACTTACAGCTAAAATGTACTACTTGTGATGGCACATACTAATACAACTGCAGTAACTGCTTAGAGGTTTTGAAATTACATCAGACAATGTTATGAATTCACAAGTTTGGAAAAAAATCTTACAGGTTAAATGGAACACCAGGAAAGACACTAACAGAGTCATTGTCTGGTTAAATATCTCCTAGTAGTATTGAACATTTTCACAGTGACCAATGCTCCAAAAAGCTGCATGTGAGTTATATAAAGAGTGAACTCTGCTTTATTAATTGATCTGATTTTTTCTACACTCAATCTTCTTCAGGATACCACTTCTCATTGAGTTGGCCAGACTCTGCTTGGAGCATGATAGGCATGATTTAGCCTCAGACTGTATTGAAAATCTTAAAGGGGGTGTTAAGGCAAGTAGTAGTTTGTTGATCAAGGCATTGATAAAATCTTCATCATTTGCAATTGGTAGGGTGATTTGATTGAACTATTACGTTACACCCTTAACCCTTTACACCCTGACATCAGTATGTATATTCTCCATACTATTCTATTTACATTTCCTAAAGTGCTGACGAGGAGAATTTGTTTCACAATCAAGAGTTTCTTAGTTGGTGATCATTTTCTTTATTCTAGTGACCTAACTGTGTGATTTAGGGGTGATACAGCAAGGAGAAATTAGATGCTTATACTCTAAGGGTGTAAAGGGTTAAGATGGGTTTCCGCTACAGAGTCAAAGATGTTCCCCATTAAGGTTTCAGTCTGTTGTCTAGTGATTCTGGAATTTAGGGGAGAAGGGAAGCCAGATTTGGGATTGTAAATAATTGAACCAAACACAGGGTCAAAGCATTTTGCATGGTGGGAAGCAAGATGTATTGCATCAAAGAACCAAGAGATCTGCAGAGAGTTGTCTTTTGAATTGACTAAAATGAATGTGGCAGGGGATTGGAATTAGGAGATAAAAAACATCAGGATTTAAAGAAAGAAGATGGTTTGATCAAGATAGTAGAATTGTAAGACCCCGTAAGGGATTCTTATATTTCAATACCAATGAGCCTTATGGTTTTATTGATTTTGAACATGTTTAAGTATTTAAAGACAAATCTAAAGTTGTATCATGTATTTTCAGACTTCTGAGACATTGCTGGAAATTGAGTTCATGAAGTGTGAGTTGATGGTTCAGTCCCTTGGCAAAAAGAAAGAAAATTACAGCAAATCTGTGGTGGAGGCAAGTATTTTATTGAAAAAACATAGGGTGAACCTGTGTACCTTGGAGCTATCCATTTTTCAGTTTTGTAGCCACCCAAAGTTCACATTCTATTCTTTTTGATTTTTACTGGCATGTATGAGGAATAGAAACATTTTTACTGGCATGTATGAGGAATAGAAACATTTAGTTCTGCAAAAAAACAAAACAAAACAAACTTATAAAGAGATATCAAGGTATGTTGATTGTCCAAAAGTGCATCCTATAGACTTCATTTATTGAAATAACCAACTTCAACTTTTTTACCTCTGTTCAGATGGTGACTGGGTGGAACTGTCCAGAATGAATGTTAGGCTTACAATATCACATTATGGTTTTGTGTTTTCTTTCAGAGACGTATTCAAGCAATCAGAAAACTTGAACAATGTATAATGACAGCTGTTAGAACTGGAAATCCAAATATTATACAGGTCTGATAACTTTCTTATTGTATAAATGACTTTAATTTTTCACTGTAACTAATGTTTATTGATAACACTTTCTGTACTTATGATTGCCCAATGAACACATTTGTTGAGGGGAAGAGAGGACACCTCTATGGAAGGGTAATTCAGACCAGTAAGAAGAATGAAGAGGTATAATGTTATGATTATTTAAGGTACGTATGCCTTGTACTGTGATGAAAGTTAATTTTATTGTTTTACAGACAGGATGTGTGACAATGTGGAATCTTACCCTGCCTCTTCTGCAGTCAAATTTGCGACATCATGTGAGAAAGCCCCTTACCCTTGCTGCACAAGCCTTGGAAGACATTGATAGGTACATTAAGCAAATGGACAACAAACTTTTATTTCAGAAAACCTTTTGATTTATTATTTTGTTTCCAAATGTTAAAAGAATACCTCTAATTAAAAATTTAACTCTTAGTTAGGTATTTTTATCTTTGAGATTCATGTAAAATACATGAAAGTTTGATTTCACTAATTTGATAAATTAATTTGGTAAATTAATTTAGACCAACCAACATTCAGGGTCTTAAAAAAACTAAGGAGAATGTGCTGCCTTTGTTATGACATTCTAATCCTCTCGGGTAAGGACAATAAAACTGTAGGCCCTGTCTCCTGCACATAATCTGTGCTGGTTAGCAGGTGACATTAAAGAACATGCGCACTTCTTGTAAAGAGTAGGGAATGTAGCTCTGGTGTTGTTGTCTGGTCTTGCTTCCAAAAATTCCTAAATTGCAGTATGGCTAAAGTCCCCTGCAAAGTGTTATAAAGTGCATTATAAGGTGCGTTAGAGGACACCATCAACATTAACATTAATTGCTCAATATTGCATTTTTGCTTAAAGAGTAAGCATGATCTTTTCTTGTTTTATATATTGTCCTTTAGTTTGTTGGTTCTGTTACGATGCCAGATGCACACAGAACTGGCTAAATGTGAAGAGGCTGAAGATCAACTGGAGTATGCTGTCACACATCTAAGAAAGGCACTTGAACTGGATGACTCAGGACAGTATGGTGATAGATTACGCACTGCCCTGACAAGGCTACAGTTAAGAGCCACTCTTTACAAAACTCCTGAAAGGCCTGAAGATTTGGCTGCTATGATTATAGAGCAGGTTAGAATCCCGAGTTTTTGATTAACAAAGAGCTGAGATTTTAATCGGGCTGACTCTCTTGTGTGGTTACGCACCTTCAAGATTTCAATCAGTGCAGTTTTCTTGTCGTACTTTTATGTTGCGAAAGATTTAGAGAATTTTCAACAGAAAGCATGAGAAAGCATTGAAATTAAGAAAACATCAATAGTAACATCATATACGACATACTGTTTTAATTCAAATGAGTGGTGAATCAATCAGTCAATCTACTAAAAAATTATTCCACGAGCGCGCGTTGGATATGAGATGATAGTTCGGGTGGAATAATTGTTTTATCGAAAACGCTCCAAATTATAGATAAATCGTCCCAACATTATTTTACGGAATGTTACAATGTACAAAAACACTTCCGGTTTAACTTGTCTTCATGCGCGATAGTATAATGGCTTATAACCCATGAGGCCATGTTGTATGATAAGCTGAATCATTCACGCCTTATGATTGGTTCTTACTTTGTGATCTGTTGGAGAACAGACGCATAGATGACGTCACCATTAACAATATTTTGTTAATTTTGCTTTTCTATCGTATAAAAAAATACAGTTTCCATATTGCCGCGAGTCCGTTCAGTAATAGATCACGGAAGACGGTAATATGTGGTGGGAACATCAGTGACACAATTGAGAGCGTCTCGTGCGATTCTTTGTTCTTACAACATTTTGATGTCATCTTTGATCTATTACTGAACGGACGCACGGCAACATGGAATCTATTTGTTAAGCTGATGAACCCTTTACACCCTAGCATCAGTATGCATATTCTCCTTACTGTCCTCTGTATATTTCCTGATGTACCGAAAAGGAGAATTTGTTTCACAGTCAAGAGCTTCTCTAGTTGGTGATTATTTCCTGTATTCTCTCGACCATAACCTGTGATTTTGTCGAGATATTGTAAGGAGTTAGATGCTTGTCACTCTTAGGGGTCAAGGATTCAAAGGTCTTTAATATTTGCTTACTTCTCTACAAAAACTGTAAGAAATGCGATTGTGTAATAGTCATGCAAAACTTCTAATTTAGAGGTCCGGTTTTGAGCCCTGGCTTGGAAATCTTAGGCGCTACATTTTGTTATAATGAAATCCACAATAATAACATTGCTGCCAACTTACAGGCGAGGGCTAGTGATGACTCCAGCACAGTTCGTATGAAGAGAGCTTCCTTAGTGAAGGCAGGGGAGGCGTTGTCACCGGATGCCTTCATGCATGTGCTTGACAGTGAGAGTAATACAAAGGACCCATCTACTGGGAAAGGTCCACCTACTGCATTAGGAAGACTGGCTGGAAGAGCGAAGCAGTTTGAGAAGGGAGTCAGCAAGGCTGCTGGTCATTTGAAGAGGCTGGGAGATGAAAGCGATCAAGAAAGGTGAAGGAAAAAATACACAAACACATGTGTTACTGACATTTGCAGTGCTTAAGCTACGACATCTACTAAGAGATTGTAATCTCTTGCAACCACAAATTTCAATGTGAGAGTAAGTGTAAGTGTTAGGTGAACCAAAAGAGGATGAAACAACAGATTGCTCGGCCAAAAATTGATAAAAGTTCTTTTTGTTCCACTAGAGTTCGTATTTGGGCAGATTTAGCCAAGACTGCGCGTAAACAACAGGTTTGGGATGTTGCCCGCGTTGCTGCTAGATTCTGCCTTCTTTATGACGACAATCGTTGGTCGAAGAGACAATGTACCAGCACATCAGAGAAAAATGGTGAAGGTAACACTGAGAGAGATGATCCAACAGGGAGTAAGTCGCCGTTACCAGGCGAAGTTGGCGGCAGACTTGATGCAACAGGAATGAAACTGTTGTATCCCGAGGGCATGACGGCATTTACTGTGGAACAGGATTTGTTGAGAACGCTGGCTGAAGTTCGTTTTATTTTTGCTGAGGTTCGTAAACTGAAGTTGATAGAAGACGAGAGTTATCTAAGATCAGAACCTGACTTTTGGAAGAATGGTTTTTGAGCCACTGTGGAGATCTTAGTAACGAAGGCGGTTCTGATCATAATAAATGATCAAATGTTATCAGTTTAATTCTTTAACTCTCAAGATCGTATCGTTAATTTTCCCCCAAAGCTGGTACATATTTCCTAGTTTCGAGGATTTGGTTTTAGATGAAGATAACAACTGCTATCTAAATTGGTGGATAATTTATGGATATTATACGGAAAAATTACATGTTGATAACTTCTGGGAGTTGAAGGGTCGAGTAGAAAAATCAAGTGTGTTCTACTGAGTCATTTCTAGATTTTATTTGACTAAACTTTAGCAGCAGAACTAAATCACACAACGTTTATCTTCATGAGACAGAATTTATGAGGCCTTTTTACGGGTACTATTCGTACGCAGCATGACAATTTAGTCCAATATTTCCATGTACGGAATTCTTTTTGTTTAAATAAATTCTTGCTTAGGCTTTTTTCTTCTGATGAAGTAAGTGGAAGTTTAACAGATGAATGCTACACCACAACCCTGGATTATCATTGTGGGTTAATTATTTAGCGTACTTTTCCCCTCGCATTACGTTTTTTTTTTTTTTGTATCATGGTGACCCCTAACCCCCCCCTTTATAATGGTCCCTTCCCTACAGGCTTTGGTACAGTTGCTAAGAACTGAAGGAGTCCAACTGGGTGACAAACCAGTGCCACCTGAGGATACCATCAAGCTGCGCCCCAAGCGATACGGTGATCAGCTCGTCAATTTTGATGATATGCCAGAATGGGTCTCCTATTGGTAAGCAACATACATGTATCTCTTTTCAAAATAGCAGCTTTAAATTAAAATTGGCGATGTTAAATCATACGAAAAATCTACACCCATCTAGCGCTCAATTTCATTATCTTTTTGTGATCTTAAAAGATCTCCCTTCTTTTCACGCTTCTTTCCTCGCGAGTGATGCGCCTCGTGCAGTCGCGCTCGCTTCGCTTGTTCCTCCACGTGCCTGATAAGCGCATCTAAAGGACTCCTGTTCTGTCACTCTCTTTTGCAAACGTTATTTGGGATGTCGCGCAATGCTCATTCTGAGAGAGAGAGAGCATTGCGTGACTTCTCAAAGAGCGGCTACGATGTTCTTATTGTGGTCAGTTTTGTCAAGATTTATGTTTCACATATTTTTCCCCCATTCTGTTAGCAACTGGATTTCGTCTTTGTCGAATGAGGTGATTTACAGTTTCCAGCGAGCCGCTGAAATCGGCGTAGAGCTGAAAGAGTCATGGCTTGTTTGCAATTCAGCTGTGTACTTGTGGAACTATGCAACCCACATGCTGTCACAAGGCAGACACAAGGAAGTCATTCCCATATTCTCGCCTGTGTTGGAAGCAGTGAAGCTTACCGGACATGCAGGGTGAGAATGTTTTCATGAGGCTATCGATTGCAGTGAAACAGGTTCAACATATTTGGGAAAAGGAAGTTAAATGAAAGAAAAGTTCTTTCACGCGGTTAATGAAACGATTTGGTATCAATACGATACCAAATGCATATTTTGACAAGGTGTCTCAACATTGTTCCAACTGCCTGTGCGAGTGAGTATTAAAATACAGTAAAACTACTTCTGAGGAAGGTTTCAGCTCAAACTTTTCTTTTCAACAGTGAAACAATATTGTTGTGCCAAATTTGTAATGCCATTGCTCAAGGTTACATGCAGCCGTGGATCCCAGCTCTTCCCACCCCTCCCACAGCATCAGCCACACCCAGTAAAGACAAGAGTGAGAAGACTGAGAAAGTAAAGGGACGCCAGAGTGGGAAAGGATCCAAGGGAGGACAATCAAAAGGATCACTACAGACAGTTACGATCGATCCTGAAGCTACACCCGATCTGAAACAAGCATTAGATGTAAGGGAACTTTTCCATAACAATCTAGTACATGTTGGATGGGATACGTGAAAATTTCGTTCATTTGAACGAGAGATTGTTTCAAAGTATGGCTGTATATTTCTATTGTGGAACGTCATTAAGACACTTAAAAGTCGCGAAGATGAGGCTTTAATCCTGTGGAGCGTCGAAGATTTTCTTCTCTCTTGTTCAACCAGTCGTCGCGCCGCTTTCGTCGCGCTTTTGTTTATGAAATTGGAAATTCGCAGTAAAATCACTTCTTTGTAAGCGCTTTCTGTTGGAGTGCTTAGCCTTCTTGGAGGCGGGTTTCGCGTTATTTGTGGGAAACTTTGTGGCCTAGTGGTCAACGCGCTGTGATTTGGAGAGAGAAGTCCAAATTTTTGCTTCTAGGAATTGAAACAAAAATGTTCAGTTGCTACTTGGCGCTGGCGTAGATAAGTTAATTTCGGGCCCTGTTACTTGTAATACGATTTCTTTATTTTCGTTCTGCACTGTTCTTCAGGTGTTGGAGTATGCATTAAACACAACTAATGGCCAAGAGCCAAAAAACCTAGTACCGATCGGTGCTCGCCATCCCTTAATCACTTCCTGGGTCTTCTGTAAGCAGATGTTGAATCAGCAGATGGCAAAGAATCTTGGTCATGATGACGAGGTTAGGTTTTGCTACCGAGTACTATTGCAGTTTTGAAAAATCTTCCTCCCTCTCGTCTGCTTAAGTTAGTAATTTCCTGTTCAAATTTTAATTTTTAGAATCCCCACAGCCAGGGCCCGATGTGCCGTGCACTGTGTGCAGTTGAGATGCTGTCTCTACAGAACAATGGCCTCCCAGAATTCACTGGTACATATCCTACTCTTGCCGAGGTGAGTCGGTGATTCATGCTCTTTCAAGTGTTGTTACAACAATAAGTTCCCTTGGAGAAGTTTCCCTTGAAAATAAACGAATGTTGTCAAAGAGTAGATATGCCAGTGTCCTTGACTTGGAAGGGAACTTATCTGGGAAATTGTGAAGGGTCTGTGGGAAATTCTACTCCAGCTTGGTTTGGTTTACCATTTCTCTTCGGCAGTAAATACAATGTAAAGCGAAAACGTTTTGTCTTGTTATCAAGTACTCTCCATGTGGAATTGTTTATTTGTTGCCACAATATCCATCAAATGGCGATTGAAAGAAATGTAGCCCATGAAGTCTATCAACCTGAAGTGCTACTCGAGAATCAATTCTTTATTTCATTAAAATAAGTGACTTAGATAACCCCTAAAACCCCAATTATCTGGTGCAACGGAGTCAATTGCAGTCAATAACAACAAATTCTTCTTTCTCTTCATCGCGATTCTCTGAAGCATAAAGCGTCCACAGTTCTCCACCACTACATATGATCCTGAGCTTTGAGACCCATTTCTTCCCATCATGCCCCTCTTTCTACTGGCTGACCACCTTCAGTTGTTTTGTTTTTTTATCTTCCTCCCTTTCTTTTTCTTATTAGAGTGGAGCTTCTGTATTTCCGCTTGTTGAATTGAACTAGCTTTTCTTTTCCTTCGGAAATATTCGCTTGAGATGATTCAACAACAACGAACGTACTAAATCATTGGCAATTGAATTGGGGTTTTTTTTTTACTGCAGACTGTGAAAATGGTGGATGGCTGCCAGTGGAGTGACGGTCTGGTAGAGTTACAGATGTGGAGCAGGCTGTCGGTGTTGGCTTTCAATGCTGACAATCATTCACAAGTGCTTCACTGTGGACAGAGGGCTGTGGAATTTGCCGACAGTGATAAATGCCTAGCTAAGCGACAACCCAAGAAACCAGACAGGTGTGAGAACGATCTTACTTCTCTCTCCGCTCTCTCTAACTGGAAACTCTCTTTTAGTGCTAATCTAGCTAATTTAGCCTCTGTCACTGGCATGTTGAAAGTGTCCTGTTTGACCCTTTTCCATCACTTTTCTGCGTGATAGTCTTCTCTCTTTTCCTATTTACCTTTCCATCGTTGTAAATTTTTTTTCACGCGTCATTCCTTTTTATCATGATTACCATTCTGCTTGAAGTTTTTCTCATATTGATATGTATGTTTATTTGTCCTGTCAATAAAATCCTTAGATCATGTCTAAATTCTAAAAGGTAGTTTCTACGCATTTAGTATACCCCACCATTCTTTTAAACGCCCATGGCAATATTATGCAGATTTTGTCCATTATAACGCTTGTAAATTTTCTTTGCCTTTCTACACTCAAAGCAGGGAAGTGGTTGAATCATTTTTCTGGAGCCAATGTGATTTGGTTTTGCTTCATATCAAGTTCTTGTGTTTTGATAGAAATCGTATTGTCATACCCTGTCATTTTATGCCGCTTAAAATGATACCATTCAATTGAATTGCAGCACATTTCAGCACAAACTTGTGGTAGAGCAGGAGATGTTGTATTACGCTAGCGTTGTGATGGGACAAAGCCTCATGAAAAACATGCAGGGAAAGAATGAGATAAGGAGAGACGCACTGGTCTGCTTTGTGAATGCATGCAGGTAATACCCGTGCTTTTGTACTGTGTTAGCTCCGTAACGTACGATTCACCCAGTTAGAATAATATACGACTGAGTGTAGACTGTAAACTGGGATTGCACTGATTCCTCTTAAGTTTGCTCTGTTATGGTACAGAAAAAAGCTCGCCACTCTCTAAGCCTGTCAGATGAGACTGAAACCAATCACGACTTAGTTTACCCGCGTTTTCCTGCGCTTCGGGCAGGTTGCTTGTTTTACTAAACTTTGAATTCTCTTTGGATCTTAAGGGTACAAATGAAGTTGCTGTTGTTGTTTTTGTTGTTAGGGTATTTTCCATTTTCTTCTGATCAGCTAATGTAATTTCTCTGGTATCGGTTTCACGACAGTCAATCAAACAGCGATCTTAACCCTTTTACTCCCAAGATCACATAAGTAATCCTCCTTTTTGTCTGCCATACAATCTTATGTTAGCTCGGAGAATTTTGGTATCGGATCATCTAACAATCCCCTTATTGATATTTTTCTTTTTCTCATTACCTGTCTGCTTGATATTCTAATATATTGTAGAGAGAAATACTGTTTCGGTCACCGATGGCAGTTAAAGGGTTAATGCCGCAGATGAAAAACAAAATTACCAATTGAATGAATGCCACCCTCGCATAGAAGCTGCACCTAAGGGCGTGTATTCCAGCATCAGAGATTTTTGATTGAGTGTGGTTAGCTACATCATCCGTGATGCATATATCGCAATCTAACCAAGTACGATTCTCAGCGAAAAAAGCGAAACGTTTGAAATTGAAACATGTTTCTGTTCGCATAATATTTTCCAGAGATTTGCCGTAGTTGTCGTCAATGATTTCAGAAATATGATTTTGAAATCACCGCTGCTCTCGAATATAAGCCGCCTTATAAAGGCAAAAGTAAGGGTACATATGAATGTTGTGCCGCGTAGCACTGGGAACACAAATGGTGAAACAGAGAATTAACTCTGAAGTGTAAATTAAAGTGCTATTTAAACCCATGAATAACCCACAGAGCGTTAGCCCTAATAAAGGGAAACAGGGAACCACACGAGGCAAAGAAAAAATCTTTTGACCTCGGTGGGAATCGAACCCACGACCTCCGGATTAGATCTACCGTTACTCTGCCGACTGAGCTACGAGGTCGCACAGAGAAAGTCGGGGACGATTTAGGATGGTAAATCGCGGCGAAGAGAAAAAATGTTCGATTCCCACCGAGGTCAAAAGATTTTTTCTTTGCCTCGTGTGGTTCCCTGTTTCCCTTTATTAGGGCTAACGCCCTGTGGGTTATTCATGGGTTTAAATATCACTTTAATTTACACTTCAGAGTTAATTCTCTGTTTCACCATTTGTGTTCCCAGTGCTACGCGGCACAACATTCATATGTACCCTTACTTTCTCTTCGCCGCGATTTACCATCCTAAATCGTCCCCGACTTTCTCTGTGCGACCTCGTAGCTCAGTCGGCAGAGTAACGGTAGATCTAATCCGGAGGTCGTGGGTTCGATTCCCACCGAGGTCAAAAGATTTTTTCTTTGCCTCGTGTGGTTCCCTGTTTCCCTTTATTAGGGCTAACGCCCTGTGGGTTATTCATGGGTTTAAATAGCACTTTAATTTACACTTCAGAGTTAATTCTCTGTTTCACCATTTATAAAGGCAAAAGCTTTGTACTTCAAGTAGGTAAATGTAAGTTAATGCGGCGTTAATGACTCCGCCTGAGGTTAAACACAAAACCTACTTCTTTGCGCACGATTTCTCTGTGTCACATCTTAGGTTTGGGCAAAAAGCTGGAAACTACGATTTAGTGATTGCTGCTGCCCGTCATTACTGGAATGCTATTAAGCCATTCATTGTGGAGCCCATCGAACGAGAGCTTCTCAAAGAGCCCATGGAAGCTGTTTTGGAGTGTATCGCTGCAGTTGCTGCCAATGAAGTAGGAAAAGAGGATGACGTAAGTCGGCTGTCGAATAACACTGATTGATTTTTTTTCCTTTTAAATACTTTACCTCAGCGTACTGCTGAAAATATTCATTAGAGCACAAAACATTTGTAAGTTCGTACCGTGTCGAACATTTCACTTTACGTGGTGAGCTGATTTATAAACGCAATTTGATTGGTTCTCACTTATGATTTATTGGAGGACAGACGAATAGATGACGTCACTATTAACAGCACTTTTGCTCTTTTATTGTATTAAATAAATATATGTCATTTGCCTTGAGTCTGTTTAACAAGAGATCACAGAAGACATTAAAATGTGGTAAGAACATCAATGACACACTCGGCTGCTCCTCGTATGCGACTCTTTTGTTTTCACCATATTTTGACGTCATCCGCGATCTTTTACGAAACAGACACACGGCAACATGAAATCTATTTGTTAATTAATTACTTGAGATTTTATGGCGTAAATTCAGTCGAACCTCTGATAACAAAGAGCCACGAACGCACACACTCAGTCAAAGTCCATGCTACACACAAATCCTACGGGCCGGCTCTTTATTAGTCTAATCCAATCCGCTTGTTTTTTTTTTTTTTTTTTGGTTCAACATACAGTAGACCTCAGCGCACTAACACCAATCGTATGAAACTGCATAGAGTAGAGCTTCCAGATAATTGTAGGGTTTTCCTGCCTCTAATTTTCTCTAAATAGTTTAAACTAGAAACCGTGTCTATTGTTCATCCCATTAGGATGAAGATGAAGAAACAGAATCATCATCCCCAGAAAAGAAACCCACGAAGAAACCTGTTAGTAGCAAGATCGAGAAAGAGAAGAAAACTAAAGATAAAACTGGGGGAGATAAAAAGAAGGAAAAGGACAAAGACAAAGATAAAGGCAAACCTGGTATTTATAACGATATGTTTGAACACCGCCGTACCCTGTTAACCCTCTAACTCCCAAGATCTCATCAGTAATTCTCCTTACTGTTTGCCATACAATTCTTATGATGTCAATTTGGAGAATTTGGTGTTGGATCAACTAATAATCCCCTAATTGGCATTTTACTTTATTCTCATCACTTCTATGCTTGATATTGTATTGATGTTGTATGGAGAAATTCTATCTTGGTCACTCATGGGAGGTAAAAGGTTAAAATGGATTGAACAAAAGTGAGTGATAAGTCTTAAAAATCTCTCTCTGAGGTGTATGCGCTTTCCGCAGATAGATCAAATGAGAGTGTGTTTGCATGTATCTGGTTTCTTTGTGAGTCCCAGAGACGCTAAACGGAATATGAGAAGTAGATAGAATTTCCCGGTGGCACAGGCTTTTTGTGTATTGTTTTCGATAACAGAATTAGGTACCAAAGATTCTATAAGAAATCCGTGTTTTTACAACTACCCATCCAGAGGGATGAGCAAATTCTTTCAGTTGGTACCTGATGTTATCTTCATGGACTAAATTTGACTGTCGCTAACGATAAGTATACTATTCTTCTTTGAAGGAGACAAAACTGGAAGTAAAGGAGTTAAGACTGAGAAACAAGATTCAAAAGAGAGCAAGTTGGGTGTAGAACAGGAGGAAAAACCTCCAGCGATACCAAGCGCTTATGATGAGGATCTGATGCTACGTGCTGCCATGTACGGGGTGTTGTTTCAGGCTTATGCCGACAAGGTGAAGGGGGACTATACTCTCTTACTTTTTCTTAGTTATTTTTTCGTCGATAAAATCCTTTTTATCTATTCAAATAGAATGCGACAAATGAAGGAATGGCTGTACAACTTAGGTTTAACTCTCAGAAGTGAATTCCATGCAACTTCTTCCCATGGTATTCAGCCATTATTCAGCAAACGGATGAGGAGCATTTTCAAGCTTATCAAGTAGAAATTGTTATCTTGATCTGACACCAAATTCTCTTAACTAATTTAAATAGAAGTGTGTGGCAACAAGAGGAGAGAATTGACCATCAGATTTTAGGATATAAATGGGTATAGCCTTTCTTGGGAGTGTATAGCGATCGTGAATGTTCGTGTCTGCGATGAAGTCATTTAACTCTTCTAACTACCCTCCACGCAATATTAGATCAGGCTGGAATGTTGTTCCAGGGTTGCGGGGGGTAAAGCAAAACATTTTGTGAGGGAGGAGAGGTGCGGAAGGCGTTGACCATCCATACTGAGTAAGGAATGAGGTCCGGAAATGTTTCTCGAGTAAGGCGTTTTGTGCCTGTTGGACATGCAGTACCACTCAGGTATATTGCAGCACCTACACGCGTGCCAAGCGCGTGTAATACGTTGGAATAATGCGTGTGGTTTCCCGCGTGCAACTGTTACATTATACGCATATGCAATGGTTTTAGACGTAAATACGTGTATTTTGGTTCGCCTTGTCATTCACAAACATAGAGTAATGTCTCTCCCTTCATATTTTTGCTACTGTCTTTCTGTGCGTCGACCACTGCACCCTTGACTTTCTCTTTCCGTTGGCGAATGGTGTCACACATTTAGAGTGAGAAGAAATGATTAACTTGCTTTTTAAGTTTCTTATCGTTTTGCGTTCTCAAGGGTGAGTGGGAGCAGGGATTACGAGCCATGGATCAAGCTGTCAAGGACATGCCGAGAACTTCTCACAGACTGTAAGTCTTAAGCAAGGTTGTTGACGTTGGAAGAGCAGGAATAAATCAGTAAGAATTAATATGTGCGTTGGAAAAGAATTGTATCTCTTGCTTGTTTCTTTTAGGTTGATCTTTAAACATCGAGTCATCACAAAAGCAAAGCTTGGACGAAATGTTGTTTTTGATATGGGAAAATTCAAGGTAAAACGCATTTCAAGATTCATTTTAGTTGAAGTTTTTCTCCTCACAAATGTTCTCAGATGTGCTTTGAGTGAGGTGATATAGGTATTGACATTTACCACAGAAAATAACGTGACCTTATTTGACTGATTTAAATATAGAGAAGGAAGTTAGAGCTTGATTCGCAATTAAGACGACTCTGATTTCCAAGGGAAGCAGTTTCTGCCGTCATATATCGTGAAGAATAATGTTCTATATCCTTTTGTTGTGCAGAATGAAAAAGAAGATGCAATTGCAGCCATGTGGCGACATGTGGCACTGAATTCCAAGGCTCCAGAGGATCAACTGTCTGCTTACCAAAATGCTATCGAAGCTCTTGAGGTATGTCAGTATTGCACAAGTGTTAAGGCTGCGTTTTCTTTTAGTGATATTTCTCTAACTCGCCCAGGGGAGAGATAATTTTTCTTTTATATAAAGCGAGGAAAAGTCATGTTTCTAAGAGTTGTAATGGTTATTAAAAAAGTTGCCGTTAAACTTGTATGTTCAAGATTCGTTAGAAGAAATGGGAAAAAAAACCAGAGGGAATAAAGAAATATTTGCCGGTTAGCGCTATTTTGTAACGTAATACGTAATGAGATGGCGCTGTTATCATTTTCTAGCGTAACAATCAATCCTGAAAGAAATGGAGAGCTATTAACGTCACAATCAATACAAAGCAATGTGCGAGAGTCGCTAACGCAACAGTCAAACACGAAACAGTGCGCACGAGGCAGAAACGTAGTAATCAAACACAATACAGAATGCACGAGTCACTAACACTCAAACACGAAACGTAGTGTGAGTCACTCTCTTAACAATCAAACACGAAACAGCGCGCACGAGTCAGAAACGTAATGATCAGACAGAAAACAGAGTGCACGAGTCACCAACTAACAGTCAAACACAAAACAGAGTGCGCGAGTCACTTACGTAACAATCAAACACAAAACAGAGAGCGCAAGTCACTTACGTAACAATCAAACACATAACAGAGAGCGCGAGTCACGAACGTAACAATCAAACACAAAACAGAGTGTGCGAGTCACTCATTTAACTATCAAACACAAAACAGAGAGCGCGAGTCACTTACTTAACTATCAAACACAAAACAGAGTGGGCGAGTCAATAACGTTACAATCAAACACAAAACAGAGAGCGCGAGTCACCAACGTTACAATCAAACACAAAACAGAGAGCGCGAGTCACTTACTTAACTATCAAACACAAAACAGAGTGCCCAAGTCACCAACGTTACAATCAAACACAAAACAGAGAGCGCGAGTCACTTACGTAACAATCAAACACAAAACTAAGTGCGCGAGTCACCAACTAACAATCAAACACAAAACAGAGAGCGCTAGTCACTTATGTAACAATCAAACACCAAACGGAGAGTGCGAGTCACTTACGTAACAATCAAACACAAAACAAAGTGCGCGAGTCACTTACTTAACTATCAAACACAGAACAGAGTGCGCGAGTCACTTACGTAACAATCAAACACAAAACAATGTGCGCGAGTCACTTACTTAACTATCAAACACAGAACAGAGTGCGCGAGTCACTAACGTAACAATCAAACACAAAACAGAAAGCGCGAGTCATTTACGTAACAATCAAACACAAAACACAGTGCGCAAGTCACCAAAGTTACAATCAAACACAAAACAGAGTGCGTGAGTTACTTACATAACAATCAAACACAAAACAGAGTGCGCGAGTTACTTACGTAACAATCAAACACAAAACAGAGTGTGCGAGTCACATACTTAACTATCAAACACAGAACAGAGTGTGCGAGTCACTAACGATACAATCAAACACAAAACAGAGTGTGCGAGTCACATACTTAACTATCAAACACAGAACAGAGTGCGCGAGTCACTAACGTAACAATCAAACACAAAACAGAGAGCGCGAGTCATTTACGTAACAATCAAACACAAAACACAGTGCGCAAGTCACCAAAGTTACAATCAAACACAAAACACAGTGCGCGAGTCACCAACTAACAATCAAACACAAAACAGAGTGCGTGAGTTACTTACATAACAATCAAACACAGAACAGAGTGCGCGAGTCACTAACGTTACAATCAAACACAAAACAGAGTGTGCGAGTTACATACGTAACTATCAAACACCGAACAGAGTGTGCGAGTCACTAACGTTACAATCAAACACAAAACAGAGTTTGCGAGTCACATACTTAACTATCAAACACAGAACAGAGTGCGCGAGTCACTAACGTAACAATCAAACACAAAACAGAGAGCGCGAGTCATTTACGTAACAATCAAACACAAAACACAGTGCGCAAGTCACCAAAGTTACAATCAAACACAAAACACAGAGCGCGAGTCACCAACTAACAATCAAACACAAAACAGAGTGCGTGAGTTACTTACATAACAATCAAACACAGAACAGAGTGCGCGAGTCACTAACGTTACAATCAAACACAAAACAGAGAGCGCGAGTCACTAACGTAACAATCAAACACAAAACAGAGTGTTGCGAGTCACTAACGTAACAATCAAACACAGAACAGAGTGCGCGAGTCACTAACGTAACAGTCAAACACAAAACAGAGTGTGCGAGTCACATACTTAACAATCAAACTAAAACAGAGTGCGCAAGACACTAACGTAACAATCAAACACAAAACAGAGTGCGCAAGACACTAACGTAACAATCAAACAGAACAGAGTGCGCGAGTCACTAACGTAACAGTCAAACACAAAACAGAGTGTGCGAGTCACATACTTAACAATCAAACTAAAACAGAGTGCGCAAGACACTAACGTATCAATCGAACACAAAACAGAGTGCGAGAGACACTAACGTAACAATCAAACACAAAACAGAGTGCAGGTGACACTAACGTAACAATCAAACACAAAGCAGAGTGTGCGAGTCATTAACCCAACAATCAAACACGAAACGGAGTGCACGAGTCACTAACAAAACAGAGAGCGCGAGTCACTAACGTAACAATCAAACACAAAACAGAGTGTTGCGAGTCACTAACGTAACAATCAAACACAGAACAGAGTGCGCGAGTCACTAACGTAACAATCAAACTCAAAACAGAGTGTGCGAGTCACTAACGTAACAATCAAACACAAAACAGAGTGTTGCGAGTCACTAACGTAACAATCAAACACAGAACAGAGTGCGCGAGTCACTAACGTAACAATCAAACACAAAACAGAGTGTGCGAGTCACATACTTAACTATCAAACACAGAACAGAGTGCGCGAGTCACTAACGTTACAATCAAACACAAAACAGAGTGTTGCGAGTCACTTACGTAACAATCAAACACAAAACAGAGTGCGCGAAACACCAACGTTACAATCAAACACAAAACAGAGAGCGCGAGTCACTAACTAACAATCAAACACAATAGAGAGTGTGCGAGTCACTTACGTAGCAATCAAACACAAAAAAGAGTACGCGAGTCACAAACGGTACAATTAAATACAAAACAGAGTGCGCGAAACACCAACGTTACAATCAAACGCAAAACAGAGTGCGCGAGTCACTAATGTAACAATCAAACAAAACAGAGAGCGCGAGTCACTAACTAACAATCAAACACAAAACAGAGTGTGCGAGTCACTAACGTAACAATCAAACACAAAAAAGAGTACGCGAGTCACAAACGGTACAATTAAATACAAACACAAACAGAGTGCGCGAGACACTAGCGTAACAATCAACCACAAAATAGAGCGCGCGAGTCACTAACGGTACCATCAAATAAAAACAGAGCGGACGAGACACTAACGTAACAATCAAACACAAAACAGAGTGTAGGAGACATAACGTAACCATCAACTACAAAATAGAGCGCGCGAGTCACAAACGTTACAATCAAATACAAAACAGATTGCACGAGACACTAACCTAACAATCAAACACAAAACAGAGTGCACTAGACACTAACGTAACAATCAAACACAAAACAGAGTGCGCGAGACACTAACGTGACAATCAAACACAAAACAGAATGCACGAGATACTAACGTAACAATCAAACTAAAACAGAGTGCGCAAGACACTAACGTATCAATCGAACACAAAACAGAGTGCGAGAGACACTAACGTAACAATCAAACACAAAACAGAGTGCAGGTGACACTAACGTAACAATCAAACACAAAGCAGAGTGTGCGAGTCATTAACCCAACAATCAAACACGAAACGGAGTGCACGAGTCACTAACTAACAATCAAATGCCCAACAGAGTGTGCGAGTTACTAACGTAACAATTAAACACAAAACAGAGTGCGCGAATAACTTACATAACAATCAAATACAACGCACACTGTTCGAGTTACCAACGTAACAATGAAATATAAAACAAATTGTGCGAGACGTGCGTGAGTCAATATCACAATAATCGCGAGTCACTGTCCACATGATACCAAAGTTTATAGAGAACCTGACGGACGATAAACGTGGTTCTCTCCCTTACATCACCCAACGTAAGTGCGACATACTTGAATTGGCTCCAATTCACCTCTGAGAGGATAGAGCTTTACCGTAGCCAGTGCATAACCATATAGTATATGTTTTCTCTTTAATACAGAATCCAGAGAGTGACTGGCAAAAGGTAGATTACTTGATGGAATTTGGAGAATGGCTATTTGTCAATGAGTATCCGGTGGAGGACGCTTTGGATCAGGTAGCTCAACTTTTTCTTTTCATTTCCGCGTTCATGTTTGCCATCGTTTCGTTCAATTTTTTTCTTCTTTTTTTCAGTTCCTTTGGGCATCTGATATTCTGCTGAACAAAACCTCAAATATAGAAAACAAGCAAGGTAAAGAGTGATATGAGCTGTATGACTACTAATGCGATGTATTATTAGAGAGCTCTTTGCGCGAGAGTCAGAAAACCAAAACCAAGGTTATCAAAGCTACCAATCTTAAAAAAAGGGTAGATATCACTAGAGCCAACCTAGGCGCGGTGAATGCGAGTGACCAAGCGGTGATCAATTGTACTTTTGCATCTGATTGGTGAGGAAGGAGGTGCGATTATTTCTAGAATAATCACCCGGCTTCATGACATTAAACCACGGCAATCGGATTTTCCTCGATACTTGATTTGAAAATTGCTCTTTGCATACATTGTCGTGTACATTTTTTTTATTTTATCTCCTATCTTTCACCACAATTCGGGACAAAGAATGACAACATTGAATTGGTTTGAGGCTTTTTAAAACATAGACAAATTAATTATGAACTGTAAAACATGGTAAATTGTCAGCAGTGAAAGGAATAGTGCGATAAAAGCTTCTCTTCACAGCGAAAGTACAGAGACCGCGAAGTCATAAGAGCGTTTTACTTTGTTCTGTAACCTAATAAGAGTGATATACGTTTGCACACGCAACAAGGAGGAAAGATGAGAGACCTGGTCGTGATTGGCTTTAGTATTGCGTCTGATTGGGTTAGGGCGAGTTTTCTTGACCAAACACAGACCGCTGTGGAGCAAAACCAAAGCAACCGCGGGTTATTTTTGAAGCTTAGTGGAAAAAGGGCTCTACTCCTGAGAGACAGGATTCTTCGAGTCTTTAAGTATCTTGAGAGGGATAGCACTTGTGTATGACCTGCAGTGCACAGGAATATAGATATCATGGTCTGATCTTTTCTTGAATGTATATATCATTTACCTGGCTGTCTAATATTTCAGATGATCACAATGATGTAAGGAGTGAGAGCGGGAGCGAGATAGATGCGTCTAAATATGTACCAGGGGAGCACCGCTCAGTCATAGGTGTGCGCCCCTCAGAAGTCACCGTGCAGGTACAAGACATCATTGACATCAGACAGCTGGAGACGTTGATGCGTCTTCATGTTATGCTGGCCCAAGTCGCTGGAAACTCGTCTCCACACTCTAGGGACTATGTGCTGTTAGCTTACGCCTTCCTCCACAGGATATGGCAGGTAAAACAAAATTAGCTTTTAACAATAATGTAATGTGTCGGTGGAGAGCAAGAGAACCAAAATCTCGTCATTAGAAAACGCGGGTCACAGTGGCAACTAAGCCACAGACCATCAACTCTAGAAGAAGAGTGTGTGAAATAATAAATTAAAAAATATAATAATATCGTGGGAGATAAGGCGGAGTATAAAGCGTGCTATCCTTCCTGAAACCCCTGGCCTCGCGGTAGGCGTAATTTTTATGGGATTCGAGCGAGCGGAGACAATAAAACCCTTTTGGTTTCCCAAAAGCTTGTGTCCCCTCGTTGGGAAAACGCAGAAAATTTACTCTTTTCAGAAAAGCCATGAAATTCTGTACATGATACAGTGGTAACTTTCATGAGCGGACACGCTCAGAAGAAGAGCCCTGTCCGCTAGCGATGGTGTCCTTAAGAGGGCAGCTACTTTACCATTAAAACTGCTGGATTGGTTTGGTTTTAAGTGAGCTGGCTATGCCTTGTGACTTTGCCTTGTCGTATATGATGGTGAAAATCATATCTTGTGTTTAGGTTTCAATCTCTTCAGCTGAGCGAATACAGAAGGAAGGAGGAAAACCGGGGGAGATAGCTCAATCTAAAAAGGGCAAAGACAAAGGGAAGGAAGCTAAAGAGGTCCGTACATCGCTGAACTCCGTTCAGTATTTACGTATGTCATGTTGTGGTGAATGGTTAGATCCCAGGATTAACAGTGATTGTTAGGTCTGTGACAGCGAAATACTTATCGACAACCTTAGCGGTAATCATCGTGGAGTTCAATTGAGGAGTTGTTGGTTAGTCATGATTTTAAATCTGAACAGTTTATGAAAACTGACTGATAAGTTTCGCCGTCGTGTCATCGGCCGTAACCAGTTTCCCAGAGTTAGCTGTTGAAAGCAGGTGTACAAAAGCCGTGTTTGTTACACTGATTATGCTCTTACATGATGTAAAACATGTAAATGGCCGATGAGAACAAATATTTTTATGTAAGTAGCCTAAGCCATAAATATTTGATAGATAACCGTTGACTTTTTTTGTTTCACTCTTTGTTAGTCTCAAACAAAAGTGGATAAATCGACAGTGAAGACATTATTTCCAAGCACAATAGAAGGATGGGCTACTTTTGAACTTTCGGAAAAGGTAAATGGAACCTTTTTGCTCTCGAATGCATCTGAAGTGCTCACATGTTTTCGCGAAATGATTTTATCCTTAAGCGTCTTGATCACACTGTTTCAATGATAGTCTTAAAACTCTCCGATTTTTGAAAAGTTTTCATCATAATTTGTTGCATTTTCTCTCTGGCTCGTAGCTTCAGGAATATTTCAAGTGTGACATCACAGGGACAATGATTAATAAAGCAACCTTCTTGAAGCCGGTAAGCGTTAGAAACAGAGTTAGAAGTCAGTTTCGTTTTCAGTGTAAAGGCTACAATAAATGCGGCCCCGGAAATACGAAAAAGAAAATTTTAGGCCGCTTTGATGGAAAATAATTTTTGTCTCAGACTCCATCTTCTACCGTTTTCAAGATCGCTCCTCGGCAAATGATGAAATTTGTTTTACAAGGTTTAAGTGACTCTCTCCACTGACTGGTCTCTTTTCACTTCCCGTAATTTCTCTTGAGAAATATCTATGATAAGTTTTCCACTTTGAAGTCAGAGTGAAAATGTGTCTGATGGATCAAAGAATCCACGATTAAGAATAGTAACAGCCATTTCTCTTTGCAATTCTAGTGGGTGTCGCTTTGTAATAACTACTGCTGTTGTTTTTATTATTATTATTATTATTATTTAATAGATATTTCATTGCAGTGTTATTTTCCTTTTCAGATGCTGAGTCTGTACTACATGCAAGCGTTGTTCCGTGATCTACGTGACCTGGGATATCACCAGTTAGCGCTACCTGTTGTTGCCATGCAACAGCTCATAGCGGACTTGGTATTTGACAATAGCCAGTTAAAAAAACTTGTTCATCTCAGGTAAAAATTCTCCTTAAGTCTCTGTGTTTTCATTTCTTCTGTTATTCCTCTCGCTACTCTGAAAATTAATTTGATTTTCACAATCTTCCTCTTCCTCCTTCTCCTTTACTATCTTCTGAGCTTTGAGTCTCTGTTCCTGTTCGGCTGACCACCTCTAGTTGTTTTCGACCCTCCACGCGCGCATAGTGAAATACGTAAGAGGGCCATTCTGATCAATCTGTTCCCTTTGTCTCTCACAGCATTTTGATCCTTTTCCACCTTTCCTATATGTTTTAAATTGTCCCCTAGAAGTGCGATAAATCAATAAATCGCCAAAGATAACGAGAAAGGGCTTTTGTAAAGTTGATAGTGGCGTGGGCGTGGCTAGTTCTGAAGAGTATTGTTGTTTGGATAACTGATTAACTTTTCAGCGACTTGAACGGATTTCCCCATTGGAATTAGGTAAAGAGTTTGTCAGTCGAACGTCAGCAGCTTGTAGAAAGTAACTGTTCAGTTTTCAACCAATCTTCTTCATTTCTTGTGGGACAATCGGCAACAATTGCTCAGTTTGCCGTGATTTTATTGGCTGTTACAGTGAGATAGTGTACTGTGGGGTTTACAGGTCAAATGGCTCAACCGTTGAAGAATATTGAAAACATCAGAGTCGAAGTGTCCAGATTGATATCGCGCTCATTACTCCCGCTTAGAGTTACATATCAGTAAAACAACGCTTTTGCTCCCATGTCTCAAAGGATTAGTTTACCGAAGTTCGCAGTAAACGCAGGCAAAATTTCAAACAACGTTCCTTTTCTTCAAGCCACTTGGTTCACATTTTTTAATTAATGTTGCTGTTTCAGGGTTATGTAGCCGTCCAGTGAACTAATTAATTATTTCTACTCTAGAGCCTTGGAATTATGTCAGGAGCTAAACCTACCCTCTGGCGTGGCCTATCACGAGAAGTGTGCTGGCCGCATGTTATTGACAGAGCAAGAGCAAGCCAAGTGAGTCGATTAATACATAGCTTTTTGGTTACGTTCTTTGACTTTCCTTTCTCCTAGAGAGAGGTCTGGAAAACAACTTAATACTTCGAGGGTTTTGTGTGAGGTCATAATCACAGGGTGATCAATTACGAGGAAAGAGCATTTATTTAATTAACAATCAATCAATCAGTCAATTAATCTTTATTTTTAAATATGCTTTATGAACAGTCCACGTTAAAATGCAATTAAGTTAAAAAATCTTCCACGTTGGGCTGCTTTCTGATCTCTTGTTGCACAAAACCGTGAGACCCTAGAGGTGTATGTGTTCTTACTATGTACGCAAGAGTTTTGCCAGGAAATCGCAGCCGGCAAATATTCGTTAACTCTCAAAAATGGGAACACAAAGACCACCACTTTGAAGGCTTTTTCTTAAAAGGCTGATATTTTATTCCGTTATGGTTTCGAAGTCATTTGCATCCTTTTATTGTTAGTATCGTCACTTGTTTTGGTTTTCTCCAGATCCCGAGAGGAAATCGAGATGTGGAAAGAAAAACAGCGCCAGGTGAAAGCCGAAGAAGAAAAATCCAAAAACAACAAAAGTGTCATGTCTGAAGCTAGGGCATCAAATCTAGTAATCAGACCTCAGGCGCCCAGCGCAGCGGATATTGTTGAAGAGGAGTCGTGGAACAAACATAAATGGGTGATAAGTGACGTGTGTTATCGAGAATTATGGACTGAGCAGGCTGAAATACTTATCCGGCAGGTACAGCTGACCGAATGGTTACTTTTTAAATTGTGTCCAATAAGCATATACATACAGTTCTCCTCACGTTTCAAATTTTTGTGGTTATCTTTTCCATTTAGGGTCAGTTTCTGCCGGCTCGACAGCTATTAAGCGAAGCAAATCTGTCAGCAAGGGTAAGTCCGTTCGGACATCTTCATGAATCTCAGTCACATTTCTTTGTACAGCAAAGGAAATGTCAAATATGAATCCGAAAAAAGTCGTCTTTTGTTCTTTAAATGTACGACTCGAGCATGCGTTTGGAGAACCTTTTGTGATTGAAGGCCAGACTATTACATTATAAAGTTGCAAACAAGACTTTGAGCGTGAAGCTCAACGAGTTTGGTTATGGATTATGAAAGATATGTGATGACTCTGGAAAAGTTTTCCTCCGGTTCAAAATCTTGGTTTTATTCGGATTACCAGTCGTTCTTCCTTTTCAACTACAATTTAATAGAATTTTTGAAATAACAGAATTATTTAATTCAGGGGGGTGGTTTCGTATGATTTTATCAGTAAAAGCAGCGCAGGATTTTTACGGGTGTTGATTTGTTTGATAAACTTGTCTCTTTCTTTCTTTCTTTTTTTGACGTTCAGGCGTTTGACGACAAGCGAACTCTTGCTAACATTCTGGTGCAATTATCGGTTATGGCTTTAGCAGAGTCAAACTGGGGACAAGCTACTTCACTCTTACTTGAAGCGCAGGTTCATGTCGTTTAAATTTGTTTATTACGCCACCGAATTTCACTCGTGAGCGAAATAGATCTCTGCAACTAAGCTGTGTTAATGAGGTTATCATCTCAAGATTCCTAAACATGCCATGAAAAACTTTTTCTTCTGAGTAGGATCTGTAGTGGGATGAACACCGGTAGCTGTGATGGCAGCGTGTGGCTACGCTTCCAACCTTAGGCCTCATAGACTACTCGTTAGGGAAACCAACCAACGTTTGAGTGGGATGAGTCCACTCTTGCAGAAGTCTGCAATCTCTGTTTAGACTGTCTGAAGTGGATAAGCTATGAAGATCAGCTTGTTAATAATCGAAATACGATTTAATCAAACCTTGAGGAGAAACACTTCACCAAATCCGATGGCTCAGATTGTTACAATATTTTCGTGATGTTGTATGTGCCTGTGTTCTTCGTAGAAACTTCATGGAGATCAAAGATTTTGGCTGGCGACTACGTTGCTGCTGTGTGAAGCCTCGTTAGCTAAAGTCGACAAGAATTCCACCATGTTAAACACGCCAGACCCTCCAGCTAAGGACAGGGTAATCATCTTTTCTTTCCTTTTCGTCAGGCTTTTCTGGGAGAATGTTTTTCGAGACACTCTTACACAATGACTGGGCACAAATCATACCAGAGGTTTAAGAGCTCCCTCCTTAAGGTGGTAACTTGTGGGGGGTCGCGACCTCATTCATTGTGTTGTGTTCTTGGGTAAGACACGTAACTTTCACACTGCCTCTCTTCGTAAGGGCTATAACTGAGTATCAGCGAATTAACAGGAAAACCCAGGCTTGTCATTTGAAGCCGGTTGTCAGACCATTGTGCAATTTGTGAATTGTGATCGAAGCCCAATTATTACATTTTTTTTTAAGGGCGGGGGGAGGAGGGAAGAGATAACATGCGATGGACTAATACTCCATCCAGGAGTGAAAGCATTGCTCCCTGTGGCTTCTTGTTAAGAAACCGGGGTAAGCTCTTGTAACTAGGCAGGTTTATCCCGTTTACAAACATAACCCTGCGCTTTGGATACAAATTTAGATACATTCTGAATGTAAGGCATTGATTAGAAACGGTTTAGGTCTCCACTTATGCAAATTACCTCTTTGTGAAGGTTACTTCGTAAATCCCAATCATAGTGCCTCATTTTTTCAGGCACGCAATATTTTGTTACGTGCAAGAAATGTTTTTCGGGACTTGGCTGAAGACAACCCTAATAAAGCCAATATGGCGGAATACATCGAAGCGGTCCTCGCAGCGAGGTATGTACTGCATCGGCTGAGAGCTGTTAGGGAGTACTTGCTGTAGACTGTGGAATAAAGACAAAAGAATCTTCAATTGACAAAGCAATGCTAAATTACTAGACATTTGACAAACATCTCAAGGAAACAGGGACGCCGCTAAATTAACATACATCACTTGCTAGGCGTACGGAAAGAAAGGCCCACGTCCAAGTCAAAATTTTACAACCGAAAGGTTCGGTTGCAGACAACGGTTTTTTGCATTACGATCTAAGAGTCTTGGCTGTCGGTGGTGTTTCTTATTTCCATTCCCGGCACAATTAACCTTTTCTCAGATTGCTGGAGTATTGTCGTCTCTTGGCAATATCTCAGTAAATAACCCTTTCAGAGTTCTGAAAACTCAAAAATTTAGAACTCGGCCAGATGCTAAACCTGTCGTGGGAAATTGAGTTTCATTTGCCTATAAATAGAGATCATTTGCAGTGCAAACCCTCGCACTTCTTATTTTATCCCTATGACTCCAAAGGGTGATAAGCATCTAATTTCTCCTTACAATATCACCCTCGAACTACCAGCTAAAGCCACAAGAATAAAGGAAATGATCACCAACGTAAGAAGCTCTTTATTGACAGACAAATTCTTACAGCCAGTACCTTATAAAATGTATGAGAAACCTGCTCTACATACAGCTATCGCCACTAAGATTCTGGTTTATTCCGTCCTGTTTCCTCTGTACCAAAGATCTGTTTGATTTCTTATGAATGTGTTCATTTCAGGCTGGGTACTTTACTGTCTGATCACGCTGTCAATGATCCTCATTTGAGAAAGCAAGAATATGCCCGCAAGGATTTGATTATCGCCTGCAAGGTGGGTGATCCACATGCTAATTCTCTATTTACGTTGATTTGTAATTTCGTAAACATTTTACTTCTTTTAATATGTAATTTTCTTTAATTGAGTTATATTTGTTTCTATTTCTTTTCTACTGGTATTATTTATCAGTGGTAAATAACAGAATGATTATAGTAATAATTTGTTTGTAAATCAGTCAATTTAAAAAGCCCTCAATAAGTCCATTCTTTTTATCAAAAGATATTTTTTTATCCTTATGTTTTTATAAAGGATATTGGTTTCACTCTCGAATTTAGAAGAAACCTAAGATGAAAAAAATATGACTCTTGTGTTGTCTTTCTCTGATCACAGCATCTGTCCCGTGCGGCGGAAAAACTTAGCACATTGGGTCGCAAACGAGAGGCTGTTAAGGTCATGTTGAAACTTGTAGCCATCAAGAGAGCCTTTGCTGAAGATAGTATCACCCCTGAGGAAAGACAAGACAATCTTCTCGAGGTACCCACACAGGCTTCCTCGCACGGGCTGTTTTACGCAGTCAAACTCGCGCGCACGAAGCTAAGAAGGATACACGCATTTCTCAAGTACACCTAAAAATCTCATGATTTCGCACTGAAATTTTCTTGATTGGGAACTACCTTACAAGTATCAAATTCACATATGAGCAGAAACACACTCATGATGCACATATACGTGGACGCGGTACACATGATAGGTTTGTCTCACTTGTTTATCGTGTCGTTTTTTGTAGGCCTTCGATATCCTGAAAACAGCTGTAAGTTTATCTAATGCTGTGTTACATGATGTCCAGTCCGTTTCCAGTCTGTCAGAGGTGCGTGTCGCTATTCTTATCACTTCATACTTGAGTTATTCCAAGGTACACTTATGTCGAAATGTGCTTTTTCTTTAGCTCCGTAACCTAAGCCTGCCTGTTCAGCGAGAGGCAGTAGACGCAAAGCTTGTCATCTCAAAGCTGATGGTTGACATGTTGAAACTGTTTTCAAGTGAAGATCGAGGAAAACGAGAATTAGAGACACAGAAGGGGAGCATCGAGAAGGTAAGGAGAGTTTTTACTCAGAAAATGAAACTGATATTTATTGTCTGTATCCTAATTGCCACCCCGTTCATATTGCCTTTTCTCTTAGAGTTAGTGTTTTTGTGAGAAAATGACCGGCAAAGCAAGATTGAATTTGTTTGTGTACGACGAATTCGTCTTGATTGTCTAATTGACGCAAAAGTTGTCGACGGAATTTTGTTTTTAACGAAAACGTTTATGTTTGTTTGCTCCCATACGCTAGGCTTAAGTCCAAAGAGAATTGTGGGTGCGATTAACGCGAAGTAGGGAATCATGTATCATTTATTGATCAGTGGGTTTCAAGCGAGCCAATCAGATCAGTTCATGATTACCTATAGTCGGCTGCGAGTGTTTAATGCCGAAAGTTGCTCTTTTTATAATTCAATATATTACATTTTGCAGTAAACATAGTATTGGGAAAGAAAAGGAACTAGTTGATTTTGATTCCTTTTTTTGCAGATGATAGACGACTACGTTGGTGTGGAGCCCCCGCCAACTGAGAAGCAGAGAAAGTGGCGAGAAGTAACGAGGTAATTTTTGAACAGACGTCCGCTTTTTTTTGTTCCATTGATTTCTTCATTATACTCCAAAGTGATTATTTTCTTAATTTCTTTCGAATTGTTGCCATTGTAGGAGTGTCCCATTAAACTGCGATGATCGTTTCATCAGTTTTCGACTGTAATTTACAAAATTTCGTTAAACGCGTTGTTTCTGTTTTACTCAGTACCCCATCCATTCCTCATTCCTTACTCTTGTTACATTTTTCTTTTCGAAGAACTCTCGCCGAGGACACTTTGATGCAGCTATCTATGGCGCATGGCCTTACGGGTAACGTGGCATATCTCCGGGCTAAGGTAAGGAAAATGATACAAGATGAAGACGACTTATTTGAACTTGACACGGCATAGAGCAATTGTCAATTTAGGTTCGAAAGTAATCCAAGATGGACCTTCAGCACGCGGCATTCTTTTTCATTCTCCGGGACACAATTATGTCTGTGCAAACTCGCCTTCAAAGGTAGACTTGAGGATTAGGCACAAAACTTTGTATTCATAAATTCGACACAGCCGCTGCGTGATAACGGTTTATCGCATTGGTTTTGCTTGAATTCGCTCTGTGATTGCTTTAGAAAACTCGCGCCACCTTTGCAACCACTAAGATGTAAAACAAAGATCAATCGTTAAATTACGAATCGGCCGTTCACGTTTCCTCGCGCTCATGGCAAACTGCTGATTTGCGTGGAATTGTCATAAACACCTTGTAGTATTTTCCTCTATTCTGTTCTTTCAAGGAAAGGTGTCCGGCATGTAACCATTCCTCGCATGTTGTTTCCAAAACAATTATTTTTTTTCATATCTTTGAAACATAAAATAAAGTTATTCTGTTTAGCTGATCAACGGTTTATGTACTCTTTACTCTTCTACCTTGGCAGACACTTTACATACTTGGCTGCTGCCTGGGTGTACTAGCGGCGCACACGGCTCCTGATTCAGATACCCAGTGGAAAGAACTAGAGGTAGGGCAAATAACACTTTCGCTCGTCTTGTACACGTAACAATGCATAAGGTTAAGTTTCTCACTAGTCGAGGAACCGTTCATAATCCTAATATAGATATTTTTTCTTACGTTTGCGCCAGGGGCCGTGCTGAATGCAAGCTGAATCGCAAAGTATTTCAGGCTAGTTTTTAATAGAATGGTCAACTTATTTTCAACTGGAAGCATAATTCGTTTGTTTCGCTGACTGAATACAGTAGCAGAGAGCAAACTGACATGTTAATAAATAGGAAGGTTCGTTTGTTACAAGAATTCTGCGGCTGTGAGCAAACTGACGGTGTTCAAAACTAGCTTTAGATTAGCCAACAGTTTTACATAAGTGTTGACCATTTTTACGAAAACCTGTAACAAACTGTGGACGACCAAGTATTTGACTCAAACAACTTCCTTCTAAAGAAATCTCTGATTGATAATTTGACAGAACATAGGATATAATACCTACAGAGGACTTAACGTTTTGTAACATATTAACAGTTATCACACGATGAACCTGAAGAAGACAGAGCAGCCAAGCCTTTAAACCCGACCGTTGAAGAATCTGCAACGGGTGACCAGGGCACTGGCGATACGGAAATAGAGGCTTTTCCGAATCCATCAAGAGAGTTTATTAAACTCACCAATCAAGCACTTCAGTTAAATGTAAGCTCCTTCATGTCATGCCATGTTATCGCCTTTGAGCATGTCCACAATGCTAAATTTTCCCTCCCTTTCAGGCTGAATTTTCAACTTCTAAGAGATATCTTAGCCAAGCAGTGGAATGTCTGTCACAGTGTGTGCAGATGGGACTTAAACACGGCTTCAAAGTTAGTGCGTTTTAAGTAATGTTCTTAGTTAGTTACTCTAGTTGATATGTCGAGGTAGGATTTATTATCCTCTTCGGAGTTAAGTAGATTGCTCGTGTGAGTTCGTTTTCGTGGCAGTACCGCCTTTGTCACGCAGGTGAGGCCTTTTCGCTAAATCCCGCTAACTAGTACTTGGTACAAGGTGGTAAGCCTTGCGAATCTGTTAACCCTTTGCAATCGGAGCTCATTTAGGTTTCTGTAGCTTGAAGTGAGTAGGAACATATTTTGCTACTCTTCCTGGATAGAATGTCAATCTACCAAAGATTACCCAAGAATTTTGTACTAGAACTTAACACAAATGATCCTCTAAGAGGCCACCCCTTGTTTCACGCGCACGTACTAAAATCATGTGCTATATTATTTCATTGTTTTAGTATATACTGAGACAACTATTCACCTTAGTGTCGGAGGCTAGCGGTGGATATTTACCTCGCCGCTTCGCTTTCGGTCAACATCCACCAATAGCCACCTCTATTTCGATGAATAGTCGTTAACTATATGCCCCCATCTGTATGCTAGATGTGGTAAGTTATGTCTTCTTTTTTTCTCGGCCTTGGTCAGGATATTGTTTGTGAGGCAGCTCGTGAACTGGTGGATTCTATTGGCGCTCATGATCCACTCACCTCCTCGCAATATCTGGCACTGTTTCAGGTATCTTTGACGGTTGAGAAACTTTTCATAGTTTTTATTTCAGTCAAACTTTAGCCTGTATTTCTGTAGGATCCTTTTGGTGTAAGTTTTGTTCAATGATGTTGTTGATGTTCGTTTAATGTCCAAGTTTAATTAGGGAGATTACAGTCTTTGATTTTTATCATCTACTTCATTAAAAATTAAGTGTTTGTTGTTGTTGTTGCACTTGTTGTTGTTGTGATAGTGGAGAGCATTTTATCCGGCGATAACAGATCATTTCATCACAGGGTGAAGCGTTAGGTTTTGTGGTAGGGATCATGGACTTGAGCGATTTTCTCTTCTGTATGAAGTGTCCTTCCTTTGCCATTTAAAGCCAAAATTTGTAGCTTCTCTTTTTTAGAGAGAAGTCTAGGGACAAGGCAACCATGGCTGTATCCTTAATCTGGAAAAGCGTTGTAACAAATCAATGCCAATCCCTGATTTAGCCAAAACTGTATTGCGAAGAAAGGGGTCGTTACACAACTAACGTTAAAACAGCCTTTCTCAGTGAAAACATAGGATTTCTAGGCAACCATGTAATAAAACACTCAAATAGTTGAAATAGCCGTGCAAGCAAGTACAAATATCCATACGCAGTTGACTATTCACTCGGCACATTAAAGACGTCTGATATCCAATTACCTTCACTTTTTGTCTTGCTTAGAGTTGCCATGCATCTCAGGTTCTGGAAGGGGTATTAAGACGAGTTCAGCAGGACCCTTCTGTGTCGCGTCAGGCAGCCTTACTACACCAGAGAAAACTACTTACTAACATGGAGTTCTTGAGTGATACATCATCGAGTATTTTGGCCTCAAATTCTAACCATCTTGCCGACTGTGAGGTAAAGAAAAACAAAAGTCTACTCAAGAGTCGTTGACTGACTCCGGATTCAATACGATGAAAGGCTTATGGAGGTTTCGCCCCATTGCAAGTTTGCTCCTTATCGCTTCGCCATCATTACGACGAGTTCACTCCATAAAATATATTAATCCCCCCCCCCCTCACCTTTACCAGTTCGCTCCCAAATCTTCAACTCGTTTCCATGCGACCAGCGTAATCCTATGTTCGAAGATGGGAATAATGACGGTCCTAGTAAAGATCCCAATATATCGGATTCGCCAGAAAAGGAGCGCTTTCTGCCTTAAGGAAACGAGTTGAAAGATTCTAGGGCCATGCGGCAAAAGTGGGGGCGAACTTGTTGTATTTTATGGGGCGAACTAATTCATATTAGGCGAACTTGCAATGGAGCGCAACCTTCAGATACCCGCTGGTACAGTGCAACCTCTCTCTCGGAAAACTTGTATTCAGGAGAAGCCACTATTTAAAAGTGCAAATGCTTCTAAAACCTTACAACTGTTACCTTCACTGAATGAACACCTCTATTCAAGGGAAATTTTTGGCATTCTAGTGGTTTTCCCCCGAATGTACCTTATCGCTGTGTTACCCACTAACGTCGTTGGTTGACTTTAATAGGCTTGGCGGCGGTTAACAATCACAAGAAGTCACTTAGAACTGACTCGTGAGTTTTCAAGCATGAGTACACAGTTTGTCGTGCTCCAGCATTCTCCCGATAGGTGAGTAGTCAAATTGTTCGCGTTAAACTTTTGTTATATTAATATTTTGCTGTGATTGAGTTTATAGCCGTACCTCTTGCTCTTGTTTGGTTTCGTCGGTAAATTAAAGTTAATTATACATCTGGCAGACAGTGGTGTGCCTCATTAAGCACCGATGACAATCGGCTGATCAGTAATGGCTATCAGCAGGATTTTAAAGGCTGTAGTGTCAACTTGGTTTTCTTTCTTAGTGTCCAGTCCTTGCAATTGGATTAAAAGTTAAAACTAACAAAGTTTATTACGCGATGGATGTTGTTTGTACCATATTTTTTGCCAAGTATTGCTGTTGTTTTTACCTTATGTTGATGTTCTCATTTTTCATCCGTGTGTGTCAAAGATGTTACCTTTATGGAGCTGTGCTGGATAAGGGTCGATCTCCGATACCAAGCGGAAAAGCCAACAAGCAGGCATCAACTCTTCCCGGTGAGTACTACACCTTTGTGTTTATCCTAAGTCACCCACCAAGGATATTAAATGGGTTAACAAGCGCAGTTTTGTACCTGTACCTAAAAAGTTTTATTTTTCTAACGATGTGTGTAGAATTCTGTATCCATGGTTGCATACTGGACCTAAGGCAGTACGCCATAATTCGTGCACCAAAAAAAGAAAATTTAATGTGTGCACCATGTACAGAATCTAGTTTGACTGTCCTGCTTCTAAGCCTGCCTTGTTTTTTGTCGGCTAATTGTTACTTTTTTCTGGGTTGTTTTTCTAACTCTCAAAACGATATTTTGTAATCTCCCGAAAGGTACAGTTTGTTGTGCGCGGAACGAAAAAGGCTAACTGAATGAATGTATAAATGAAAGATCACTATATGTCAAATAAACGAACTGGAAAAAAAACCCTTAGAGGGTGAAATTAATTCAGGCACTGGGTCGTGAAACTCGTTTTGTAAATTCTCTATAGTTTTTACAAAAACATTTGATATTTGAAAGTTTATTCTGCCTTTCTCTATTCTTTCTGATGGTGTTGATATTTCTTTTTATGTTCTTTAGTTCCCTCAAAGGCCATGATAACCCGCGCAGCTGTGAGTGCAGTGGAACTGGAGCAACTTATTGAAGAGTTCAGTCAGTTCAAATCTGACACTGCTTCCGAGCTCATGAGACAAACCTATGTTAGAAACCAACAGGAGCAGAGGAGAAAGATGTTGGCGAAACTTGAGGACAACAGTCTACAGGCAGAGAGTCAGGTTAGATCGCTGGTACCACTAGGTTGCTGTAAACATACAACGACGTCTTCTGCAAAATCGTTCCAACGCGCGTCGCTGTTTTATAAAAACCTCTATCACCGTAGAGCTAATAAAATACAGAATCCTAAGAAAAATCATTTTAACGAATGTTTAAATTTAAAGCCGCTGCACCCAAAATTGACGATGTTTGATAAGTTGTGTTACCTGCCTTTGACCGCCTTCAATTCGTGTTCGCTTGCACGACCAAATGAACTGCGCAGTATCAATCAGCAGTTGATGGACTGCAAAAGTGTAGGGATATTTTTCGATATTCTCGTTGATTGGTCGACGAAAAATCTATTTTGAATTCGGCAAAAGGAAAACTTTCCAATCCTCGTCACATATGAGAGCGTAAAAGGAGAAGTTTTTGGAATTTCAAAAAAGCTTCACACAGAAAGATGAAGTTTACTGTATATCTCGCCATCATTTAATGATTTTAAATTAACTTTTACACCAAACTATATAGGAACTGTTGCCGATTGATTCTAGTTTCGCTGAAAAAGAATCTCAGCTTGAGGTAAGTCGTGCCTTTGGTTTCTATCCATATGCAAGCGCCTAATATTCCCGAAAATACAGTGAAATATATCACTGGGTTTAGGAACTCTGCAAAAGTTGTCAGGCACTGTTTGTCTTGGCACTAAACGACTAACCGTGAAAAGAGGGGGGCGTTTTGTCGTCAAATTGCACGCCGCGGAGCGACGTTAATTTTTGCATTCTATGCTCGGATGTAGCTGATGATTAATTGGAGACATATTTCGTTGTCAGACAGTCTTGAGAGATCATGATCGGAAACGTTCGTTGACATCAAGGAAGATTTACCATCAATACAATGTTTTCCTTTGTGTGTGCCACACTTCCTCTGTCTTGAAAAGTATTGTGAAACCTGCTCTTTCCCGTCTTAGGTTTTTTTATCTCTATTTTTCTGTGCAACTCTCTCTGATTCTTTTCCGCTGCTTTTGAAAGGCATGATGCGTGTTTTGTTCACATTATTAGTCAGCGACTTGTTTTTTCATTTAAAACTACCTCGCGTTTAAATCTGTATTTTCCTTTGTAGTCGCATTTTAGGGACGTTGTGGCAGCAGTTGAAGCTTACCTGGACCCTATCTTAACTAAACTACATCCAGCTTTAAAGTAAGACAACTGATGGCATAGACCATTTTCATAAAATTTATATCAGTAACAATGTCATCTTATTAAGCTATTGTCGGTATTAGATCAAATAGGGGTGCTAACTATTTACAGGAACCTTCCGATTGCAATTTTCGCGCTTAAACATTTCGTGGCTGAATTTAATCCAAGAGAAGACAGAAAGGGTTTAGAACATATCAAAATCTACTGATCTACTATACACGTTATTGTAGTAGAGCATATAGTCACACTTAGTTTACAGCATACTCATATATGAACACATTCAAATGCTTTATATACACCACTTCAAGACTGTCCACAGTGCACAAAACAGTGGATTGTGGCGGCGGTGAACGGTAAATTTAGGCCGTTGGTAAGTCTTAGCCTAGTTACTCTCTTTTATGTTTCCTTCAGTCCAGACGCGGTTTCAGAGTCCGTTGTTTTGTTAGCTGATGAATGGCTGCTTCAGTTACCTCTGGAGGCTCTTAAGACTTTTGCTGTACCCCAAATTACCAGCATATCACGTGACTTCTCTCTACAGTTCCATTATCATCGTGTGCACCCGGCTGAACGTCCAGGTATGAAATGTTGCCAAGACATGCCGTTGAGGATAATGAAATACCAAAGAGGAAGTTCGTTTTTTTGAGAAATACATTCAAATTTCACTCTCACTATTGCGCTTCTGGATTAAGTGACAATGAATAAAACCCGACTTAGTCACAAAAAAAAGAGAATAAAATAAAATGTCACCAGTAGGCAGGGAGAACTCAAAGTAAAGACAAAATAAATTACCTGAAGTGTTGGAAAACGCAAGTCACAAAGGTGTAGTTGGTTTAAGTTTAAATCGTTTTGGTAAGGAGAGTGCCACGGGTTTAATGGACCAATCATAGAGCGAAACAAGGTAGAACCAGCGTAGTTCCGGATTGCTCAAGACACTCAACTATAAATCAATCACTTGGCGAACGTTATCGACGGTTGAGATATAGTCATAGTTTTGTTATATTGAATCTGATGATGGTTTCCGCTCGGGCTGTTAAACTGGCGTCAATAACAATCACCGACAACGGGTATTCTTAGGACATATCTCAGTAGTACGATCACACAACACGATCACACAACACGATCACACAACACGAGCGGTTGCTGATGTATTTAGCGTTTTTAATATAACTTTCTTGCGTTCTGCATTTGAAGAAAGTACAACTAAAGTCACTGGAAAAATGGGCAAGAAACCTGACAAAGCGAAATCAGACAAGCCATCAACAGCGAAATCAGGACAAAAGAGCGAGAAAAAGGTAAGAAGTCAGTTCAAGTAGTTATTTCAATTCTTTTCTTTTCTGTTATTCGTGTTCCTTTCCTACTTATGTCCTCGTCGTACGTTTGCCCGTTTGATTGTTCGTACGAATTTAACATGCTTTTTATTTTTCTTTCCAGGGAGGTAAAGAGGTTGGAACTGGTGTTCCCAAAGAAGGTCCTGTGGTTGATTTTAACGGAATAAGATGTATCCTTTTCAGCGAGTTCTTCCTTTATCAATTTTTGTGATATGGATTAGAAGTAAATTGTATGACTACCAATCGAATTCATTAATTCCAAGATTTCCCCACTTTTTTTTTTTTTTTGTAAGAGGACCCTATGGTTACCAGCACACAAAGTGGAATACGCCTAAGTTTGGTTTTGCTTTGAGTGCGAGTTCTTTAAAACAAATGAAGCAATTGGTCGATCAAGCCAATCAGATCATGCAGTTAAATGCAACTTATCAAAATGAAAATAGTTAGAACTAATTATGAATCTGCCTAAAAAACATTTTCCCGTTCCAAGTGCTGCTTGCTTTTTTGATGAGGTCGATGTCATTAGTTGTTCTTTAATCATCACAAAAAGGCTATGGTCAAACCGTCGGTAAATACGGAAACTATAAAACATCTTAACTTTCTTTTAGACATTGTCGACCCTTACAACGAATGCGACGAGGAAGGTAAGCCGAGTTAAGCAAAATTTGCCTTTTTTCATATGATAAAATAAATCCTACTCAATAAATCCTATTTCGATTGATTTTTACTTGTGGTCTATAGGAGGACAAACGCACAGATGACGTCACCACTACAACGTTTTGCTTTTTTATCATATAAAACAAGAACATTCCCGTGATGTTGCCGTAGGTCTGTACAGTGATAGATCACAGAATATGTCAAGGTGATACTCCGCTGCGCCATGTGTCCTTTCCACGTTTTGACGTTATCAGAAATCTATTACTGAACATACGCACGGCAACGTGGAATCTATCTGTTAACCCTTTAACACCCATAAGTGATGAGAAAAAAGGAAAATATCAGTTAGGGGGTTATAAGTTGATCCAATACCAAATTCTCCAAACTAACATCACAAGAACTGTAAGGAGAATTACTAATGAGATCTTGGGAGTTAAAGGGTTAAGTTGATGATTTGTGCCTCTCAGCTGATATGAATCTAGTCGATTTTGAATAAATAATACAGATGTTTCTATTTTTGTTATATGTAGGTGATGATAACCCGTGTAAGGTAATTAATGATGCCGTCGCCAAATACAAAAATTTTACAGCGAAGTGGAATGGTATAACAGGAAGTGACCACCTTCCGAGGTATGTCTTGAGTTTATTCCAAGTTCACAAAGTATTTTATTTTATTTTCAAACGTGTGAATTTGCAGTGGCTTCTCTTAGTCTTAAAGTGCATTTTGATCGTGTGTCAGGAACTCAAAACCAGAGCAATCAAAACAGCTAACCAGTAATACTGCATATCCCAGAGTAAATACAAGCAAACAGCCTGAAGTGCGGGAAAACGCGAGTGGTTTTGATTTTACATCTGATTGGTTAAGAAAGTGGCGCGAGAAGCTGTTTACCCAATCACAAAAACGTTTGGCAAATCTGAAGCGCGGGAAAACGCGAGTGACCAAACTGCGAGTGGTTTTGATTTTACATCTGATTGATTTAGAAAGTGGCGCGAGAAGCCGTATGCCTAATCCCAGAGCAACGTTTGGCAGAACTATTTTATTCCCAGGTTAAGTTCGACACTCACTTTAAAATTGCCTTTAAGAGATGGTTGAACATGGTCTCCATGTACTAAGCATTGAACCCAAAGCTAAATGCTTTCGACGTCTTTCGTATTTATGCCTTTGAGTTGCGTGAAAAATTTTATCGTGAAGATTCTCCCATGTATTTTCTTTTAGTGTGGGTGAATTTCAGCACTTTCTGTCCGAAAGCACTGGCTTTATCTTCTACGGCACCGAAAGATATCTGGGTTGTCTGCCTCCTAATATGCTTGCACCCATAAATGTAACAGGTAAACTTTCTTTTGGTGCGATGATTTTATGAATCTTGACACTGTGAAGTTGTTTTCCTTCTGTGTACGTGTGTGTTGTTGGTTTTTTTTTGGCGTTTGCACATCGGAGGTCCTTTAGGGGTGCCCCCTCCCCTCCAGTCCGTTTGGCTCACTGTGTGGTATTTGTTTTATATCTTCTCGGTCAACGTGCGTTTGCTTTATATCTTAAACGGTCAACGTGCTTTTGCTTCATATCTTATAAAGTCAACGTGCGTTTCCCTTCTATGCGCCTACATTATGGAATACTCTCCTCAATTCTCTTAAAATTGCTGTTTTGTTGTCGTCTTGCGAACCTACCTTAAAAATATTTTTATTTCGGAAGTTTTTTCTTTGAACTATGAGAATTTTTTTATAGATTAGTTATTTTGTATTGAAGGCTTATTTTATAAGTGACATGTAAGCGCATTGAGACTTAAAATCTGCACATAAAAACATTATTATTATTATTGTTGTTGTTGTTGTTGTTGTTGTTGTTGTAATTATTATTATTATTATTATTATTATTATTATTATTATTATTATTATGATGATGATGACTATTATCGCCTTCAGTCATCACATCGAGAATAAGACGACGGTGATTCACTAAACGAAACTCCTGGAAATTTTTTATATGCCACACGATATTGCCAAATGTGATTTGAATGATTTTTTTTTCCAGACTGTCTCTTGGTTCTTCTGCTGGACTTGGTTCAGACAAGCCAGAGTTTCCTCAGACAGGGAAAAGATGATGCCACTAAAGCGTAAGCAATCAAATTGCGGCTTTGAAGTTCTCTCTACAGCCTATTTATTTTCTTAAACTTGCTTCAGAGTGACACACTATTTCACACTCCTCCGCAGCCCGTATTTTTTCTCGTCATGAACCACTTGCTCTGTCTCCATTGTTTGGACTTGTGAGGCATCATACTCTCTCGTTACGCATCACACTCTCTCGTCACGCATTACGCTATCCCCTCAAAGAGAGAGAGAGAGAGAGGGTGGTGCGTGACGACGCACGTAATTTTTTTAAGGGTACTAGCTGGAATCTAACAAATCCCTTCTTTTTATTCTGATGGCAGTGTTGGTGAACTATGGCTGGAGCGTCCACTGGAGACTGCTATGTTGCTTTCTTTAGTAGGTGTGGCTGGAGTTGTGTCAAATCAGTGGCACTGCCAGCTGTCTGACAATAAACAAAAACTTGATACCTACCTCAGTGGTAAGCAATTTTCTCTTTCGTAGTTCGATTTTTGTTTTGTTTTTTTATCAGTGCTATATGTATGAGACCTCTGGTTCTTGAGACATTTTTTATCTTGTAAATAGAAGGGCCCCTTTTTAAGAATTAGGGCTAGGAAGATAATTGCTATAGATACAAAATATCGATCACTGAAGTAATTCCCAACGTGTTCGGATGATCCATTTTGTGGAGCCATATTGAATTGAATCCATCTTCTATTAGATAGTTTCAAACTTTGAATTGAAGACCACTTTGAAGCCTAATCAGTTTCCGGGAAAAGCTGACTTGTCTGAGTTAACTTTCGCTCATAACTGATAACCGTCAAGAAAGCATGAATCTACCAAACCTTTAAGGGTCTTTAAAATCTTACGGATGATTTTCATAACATTATTTTTTACAACTTAAATGTCCACCCAGCCTTTGTAAGGCACCTTGATAACAAAGATGTTTTACGACCAGAAATGAAATATTCATAATGCTGTTTGTGTCTCAATAGCTACTGCGATTTCTTAACTACCTCAAATTGCTTTTACTCTTGACCTTCTTTTTTGCTCAAGTTCTCACCAAATCCATCGGAAATTTGGAAATTATCTTTTTCCTAGTTGTAACCTGAAGCTTATTTAACCACGTTACTCTCAGGCATGTTAGAAGCAAGTAAAACAGTTGGTCAAGCCGTGAGAGGCTTGGCACAGTTTCCCAAACAACCCGATGTTGTACCGGAAACTGACGCTGCATCTGATAGAGGCTCAAAATCTGGGCGTCATGTCGACATAGAAGGGACTGGTGACGAGCAAACAGCTGTGGAAGAGGAAGGGACTGGCGGAAAAGAGGAAAGAAATAAACCTTTATCATTCTCAAGACACTGGTTTAACACAGTGTTGTATGGTGCACCTACACTTCTACTGAATCCGCCCAAAGGGTTGTAGAAGTTGACTCAAACCCGACATGGTTTGCTCCGGCAAATTTTGTTTGTCAATCCAGTGTGACATATACTTTTTCGCCACAAAAGTCGTTTTCAACGACTGATATAAGATTACGTAGACTGTCGTTTGTAAAATAAGAGAGTCTTTATTTAACAACATAATCAGTAATGTGTTTGATCTGTTACAAAAAACAACCACATCCAATCAACCGTGCCGCTCGTAATTTTATTTCCGAGCGAATCTATCCATTTAAGCTTCGATTGACAATTTTTTTCGGATTTGATTCATTTTTTATGGAAATTATTCGAGGTGGCAACTGTTCACGTTTGCTTCATTTTAAAACGAGAGGAAAGAATGAACGACCCCTCAAAAATGAGATTTGTAAAGCACCAGCGTTCATTTGATGTAAATAATTTGCGCCTTTACACAGGAACACCTGTGAACTGAGCAGCTGGATTCGCACTCATAACCTGCGGGACAACAGTGCTTCCCGTCATTACACGGGATGGCCTCTGGGTTGTGCAAGCAACAGCCCTTTCCTGTTACAGAGAACAGTGAATCACAACACGTGCTATTATAAGGACACACTGTCACCACTTTACCAGACTTGTCCTCGCAAGTAACAGGATTTCCTCTCGCTGTTTGCTGAAAAAGAGAAGCAATGATTAATATAGTACCTTTTGCAAAATAATGTCCAATGGAAACGATATCTTGGCTGGTGTGGGGTTTAGATTAAGATGGGTCATGTAGGCTGACGGTTATACGCAATTAGCAATGCTTAATCTTTCATTTGTCCTATGGTCGCGACAAGACGACAAAACGTCCTGTAAAATATCAACAATTGGCACAATTTGACTTAAACGTTACAGAACTTAAATGATTAACAAAGTTGTTCCTTTGAATGTTGATTACAATTTACTCCTGAACGATGTATTATAACGAATGACCATAACCAAGAAGGAATATTATTACATCGCGGGCAGTGCCGGAGGGCAATATGAAGCGAATCCTGTGCTCTAATTGGATACCCGAGCGGGTATGATAGGCGGGATTACCCGCTTTGATCCTGCGCAAAAAAATTACCTGGAGTGGGCACACAAAGTTTGTAATTTTTTGAGTATGTCGACGGTAGAGTCAAAAGCTGACAGAGCACAGTCAAAACAAAGAAAACATAAACGACTCCCGTGGGTTTAATGTGCTACAAACAATTGGCTTTCTCTCCTGTCTCTCGAAATAAGCAAATCATGGTTCGTAATAAAGCGATGATTTTTTTGGAATTTAATCAATCTTATTGACAAAACTTGTCAAATCAAGGTGACTGGATTATTCCCTTTTTCCGTTTTACCGACCGCGACTTCGTCTTGGTCCATAAAAAGTCAAACAAAGAAAAGAACTCGGCCAATATCCAGCCATCTTGACCTCATGCTTGATCAATATACTGTACCTGCGGGCGAAAATGGTGGGCGTTTTGATCAATCCCTCGAACAAGATCCAAAATCAAATCTTTGACCCTTATACTTAAATACTCATATCCTGGTTGTGTGTAGTGCGGGCTCGGCTGTTCTGCAGCAATGATGCAGCTTTCGTAAGGTGGCTCTCCACAGGCGTCTGTGACCCAGGTATACAGGTCAGCGGTCACTACTGTTGGAAATGTTTTCATAACAGCATCCGCTAAGCGGTTGTATTGTTTAACTCGGTTGTTGAGTGTGACACTGAAGGGAACAGGTGTTGTGAGAACGAATCCAACTTTCGCGCCAGTTGATAACAGTATGGAGGCTATAGAACGTAGATTTTCAGTATATTCATCTGGTTCGACGTATTCCTCTGGATATTTACCGCTGAAGTTTATGTCATGCATACCAAAATTGAAGATGATAACGTCATATGTTGTTGGTTCCAACATGGAAGTCTGCAGAAACATGTCTAGACACTGCAAGCCATATTTGGAGTCCAGGGCTCCTCCGTCGGTAACATCCCAAGGAGCGTGCTGAACTTGATAGTTATCACCTAACATTTTAATAACCCATGGCGTGTAACTAAAAGATGGAAAAAAGGAAAGAAGAGCCTCTCAAAATTGATTAAATTTTAGCGACGTATGGTGTGTAACTAATAGATGAAAGAAGGAAACAAAGGGTCACCCGAAGTGGCAAAAAAAGGCAAATGGTTATAAACAAGAAGACAGTAGGTGACATTAGCTAATGGTAGGATATCGGTTCACTAATCCCTCTCAACGAAACGCCTCCTTCTTTTCCTGCCTAAAAAGGGAAAACAGCAGCAAGATTCTTCCTGTCCTTTGCTTACTCACTTCTTTCCTTCCGCGTTTCGTTCGCGTTTGGGACCTCTGTGGTAAAAAGTCCAGGGTGAAAACCGTAACCGGAGAGACGTAATTTTCTGAACCATTCTTAGATTTCGAGTAATTAAATCTTCTATTACAGCGAAGAGCAAGGAATTTCCTAGAGGACGGTCATTTTACACTTCCGGATAGCTTTCTCAATGCTTGAAGAGGCACCAAGGCAGTTTCCTATCTAAACGCTATTTTTGGCGCCGCACCTGGTTTACAGATTCTTTCGGGAGATATTATTGACTAACAGCCAACAGAATTCACCAAAAGGCTGATGATAGCCGTAAGGCACACATACAGGATAAAGTCGGAAGCGTTCTTGAGGTCCTATATACCTTAACATTAATTTGGATCACTCTCAAAGTAGGCGAGACAGGAAGAGTCTCCAATAGATTTCCGGTTGAAGATGAGGTCCTCAATGGGGTTAACCGTCAGCCGTACTACGGCTTTAGCCTTTAAGCGTAAAAATTGATAAATTTTAACCCTTAATCGTAAAAAAGTTAACTGAGAAAACTTTTTCTTTTAATTAAAATGGAAAGAAATTAACTGTTAGCCGTAAAATGGCCAAAATTAGTCTTAACCGTCAGCCGTAAGAGCTATCACCCCATTGTTTCCCAGGTAAAACAGCCCCTGATTCAAAAACTGTGCATTATCTTTTGTTTACCTCCGACATCAATTAGTTTTTTTAAGCAAGAGCCTGTTTACGCCTGTTTATGCCCAGACGTGGTCGAAAAATAGCCCGCGTTTTCATACAATCTTACAATCCCGAGATGTAAAGTTTCTCGAGGTTGTTATCACATTTGTAGTTAAGGAGATTAAGATGCCACCACGGCGACGTGTGGTAAAACGTTGCCGAAAAAACGTAATTTATTTTCTTCTAAGATTTTCGCCTATAGCCCGATGCGTTAACCGTTTCTGACGGTATAACGTCTCAACTTCGGCACAACATATGAGTGTAGTGTTCAGTTCAAAGTACAAACGTGACGTGACTAAAACGCTGTCGAGGTTTCATTATTGAGAGGACGTAAAAATTGGTTTGTTTAACGTTTAAGCTCTGTATGAGACGGCTAGCAAATGTACAAAGTTTTAACACACTCGTATTTTGCTATTTTTGTAATATGAACGCCAGCCCAGCTAGGCGGGTTACCCCACCTTGAGACATTTACATGACAAATGCTCACCCCACTTATCACGTAAACGTGATTGAGATAAAACAAGAGATTTTAAAGATGGGCGGGTTACCCCACCTAGGCGGGTTACGTGGGGTAACCCTCTTCATGTAAACAGGCCTTAAACTTCAGATGACTGAAAGCTTGGGAAGGAGGTTATACCGTAGCAAGAGAGATAGGAGCTTACAAATTAATCTTAAAATGACTATAATTTTCTATTTTCTTATATTTTTTAAATTTATATAAATTCCTCTCATCAAATTACGCAAGAACTTAAAAAAGATTAAAGTTTGCTGATTCTCCTGTCATCAGATTTGACCTTTCGAGTTTAAACAAACGGTTGCAGGCAAACAAAAGGATTGCTCAACATTTGGGCGCAACGAAACAAAAAATGTCAAACAATCAAAATAAAGAATAATTTAAGAAGTTATCGAATTAAGAACAAATGTAGCAAAGGAAATGTTAATAAGTGATAAGTCTGAGTGTTCTCATCATCTTTTTGCTGAATAATGTATTGATATTTTAGTGATGTTAATCACTTCTGGGATTTTAAGGGTTAAGTAGACGTGTGGTTACTGAACTTAAGTGCAGTCACGCACAATTTGTGATCATCGCCGATGTTCAGATGTGTCAGGGCAAGCCAAAAGTTACACTCTTGTGTCAAGCATTCATAGTATTTTTCACCAGAATACCAGAATTCCTCCTGTTTCACAAACTTCCATACATTGTCAATCCTGCTAAGTCATAATGCAAACTGTTACGAGTTCGATGTTGTTAATGAAGCCGGACATTACAAAGGGTTGGCGAAGCCAGCTACTGAAATATATGAGGCAGCGAGCTAGAAATTTACCCAAAGGTGAACACACATTAAAATTAATCACACATAACAGGAAATTAGAATTTTTCTAGACAATATGGTCCAATTTTTGGTAATAAGAACTAGAAGTCGTCAGGACAAAGTTAAGTTACGAATAATTTTTACGATTCCTTCATCACAATTTAAGAACAACATCAGGATCTACTAAAAGATCATGGTGATGTCTTTGGTAGATCAGTTGAACATATCATAAGACAGTCAACAATTAACTTATGGAAGCACAGGCGGCGCAAGCTCCAGCTGCAGGTGAGATGATCATCTTGCAAAATAAGCGTCATGGCGAAATTATAAGAAGAAGCTTCTCCTATGTAGTAAACCTAGAAATGGATAACTCGCTAAAAATGGGTTCTCTTTAACATAGCAAGCGGTCAGATAACAAGCAATGCACTGTGAAAGTAAAGTGAGGTATTTTTATTGAGAATTTGACTGTATTTTTTTATTCCTAAGAGCGGTCGTAAATATTCTCATAAAAACTCTTATCGCCATGACTCTTATTTCGCAAGATAATCATCTCACAGCTGGAGCTTGGGTCGCCTGTGTTGGAAGAGAAACTGAAAAACAGACATCATGTTGCTTAAAATATGTATGCTCTCTGTAATTTGAATCAGTGAAAACTGTCCACAGCGTTTCTCTTTCTGCACATTTTGGCTAGTTCCCTTAACATCATTGTAAAACGGGTTGCACTGAATGCAAAACGGCACTCAAATAATTGAAAAAGAAACATACTCATTGACGCTTACCCGATGCTTATAGAATCACCGATAACAAGGCAGTTCGTCTTGTCGAGTGATGCCTTCAGCTGTGGACCTGGTTTACAGATTCGTTCAGCAGGTATTATCGATTGATAGTCAGTAGAACCCAACATGGGGCTAAACGAAACCATAAAGTATGCATACAAGGTGAAACAGAAGAGGCTCAAAGCCATCATGAGATGTTAAACGTCTGTTACTGCCAAATCGTGACCACAACCAGATTACCTATGTGAACTGAAACTTAGTGAGATCACATATCTGATCACAGGCAGACCACTCCATATAATTGTGGTTAATAATTGTTGACGTGAGACTAACAAAACCCCTGAGGGTTATGAATAAAGCTTCGAAAATTGCCGGCATATGTAAATTAAATATCGGTCTAATTTTTCGCCTCTATGGGCCGTTTGAAGCGTCTTCTTACAAAATTACTTTTGGCTAAAAGTAATTTCTTGAAAAGACGCTTCAAACGGCCCACGAAGGCCAAAATACTCCTCATAAGTCGATTTTTTTTATCTTACAAAATAAAACAGCGTTGTTTATAGCGACTTGTCAGTAATATTTGGCATTTGACCTTTCCTTCTAATTTTTCCTTTTCACGATGAATGTACTTGTGACAGAGGGCCTCAATGGGGTTAACCGTTAGCCGTAAAACGGCCAAAAAATTTAGCCGTTTGGCGTAAAAAAAGTTAGCCGTAAAAAATATGTCTGATGGAAACAATGGAAAGGCATTAACCGTTAGCCGTAAATTGGCCAAAATTTTAAACGTGAGCCGTAAAAGCCATCACCCCTTGAGACCCTCGTAACAGTTCGTGGGGAGCCCTCTGTACCAAAAAATGAGGGAAAATGCAAAATGCAAAGGATAAAACTTAGTTTTTAACACCGGCATGCCAGATCTTACAATCTTAGGCCGAGGGTTGAAAGAAATACATGTCCATGGTGCGAAAAAAACTCCAATCTTCCTGCTGGCAAAAAGTTGTTATTTCAATATTCAGTTGTTAGCACGAGCACAATTCTATGGAATTTTGAGTAGATAAGATTTTTTTTCATAATTAGTTCTAAATGATGTAGTTTAACACCAGGTCTGTGGAAGAAACCAAAATAAAAAGGAATATAAAGATAAAAAGGACCATAGATATGAGCATAAACTGGGAGTTTGGAAAAAAAGAAACAATTTAAGTATGGTTTATAATTTTTTTTTTTTGAGTTTCAGCTTTTTAGATGGCAGTTTATGGGTATTGAAGATGGCAGTTTATAGGTATTAAAGATTAAGGGGTGCTTGTCAACATGTGCAGATACCCATGAAAAGTGGCCATAGATGAGTAAAAAAAAACATCTACGGACTTTTCAGTCGCCTGGGACGAGCTATAAAGTGTCTTTTAAGTGTTTTCATTCATCTCAGACTTAGTTTCTGTCCTATTAATGACTCCGCGCGATTCAGCTCGTCATTAAGCAGTTTTTTCCACTGAAAAATCGGTTCAAGATCCTGTACCTATAGGGTCTTTATCACTTACATGGAGACAGTCTCTATCTTCCTTGAGTTTGGTTTTATTTTCAATCTGGTAATTCGACTTGAAAAATAAGCCAGAGTTTATTTTTGGCGCTTTTCGTTGGCGTAAACGTCAGTATTTAGAGAACTCTCTTGTGTGGGAACTTATGCCAACGTGTTTCTGTCCGTAACCATACAAAGAAAAAGGGTCCAGAATTCGTCTCTTCACGATCACCTTTAGTCTCGTTTTATTTTATCTTACTCCACTCGGCCCTAAAACCATTAGTAATGGTTTTAGGGCCGAGTGGAGTCCAATTAACGAAATCACGTTCGAAAATTTTGCAATAGTTTTGACTGAAATACTGATCTCTTCCTATGATATCCGGAGCTCGTGGTGATAACCCTTCAAAGATAACAGGACTACAGTGTAATGAGCTCAGTGCAATGCTCTGAATTAGCCTTTAGTTTGCTCAAAGTTGCCGGCCGTTTTTTAATCGCGTTAAAACGATTAAGTCGTTCTATTATGATTCTTTACGTCCCAGTATACTGAGACCCTCTGTTCCTTTATTCTCATATGAATGAGGTTTTCTTTGTAAATCAGCGTCATATTTAGTCAACAGAATGATGGCCATGGATAATAAGTTTGGCGATGGGAACACTTACCAATAATACACAAAATGATTCAGTATTGTTTGTCAAACTGATTTGTTAGATCAATTATTTATACTGCATTAAATATTATTTCTTTTGATTACAGCACGTGTCTTGCTTCCTTTCTTTCATGGAGTTCGCCACACTTAGCAGACATGCCTTAATATTTCCAGATGAAACAGCTTCGAGATTCTATCGATTCCCCATCCTCTGACCACTACTACAAGTTTTTTAGAAGAGCCTTTGTTAAAAAAAAAAAAAAAAACGGGAATTTTATTTAAAGTTTTCGCAGAAAGAAATCTAATAGGTGTAACAGGACTTCTTTGTTTTTGTAACAGTAGAACGCATGGCTGAACCTGAACAGACAAAAAAAAGCATGGGACAATTGTTTCATTCACAATTTTCTGTTTGTTTGTTGTTTCTCAAGAGTATCAGTCTAATCTGTTGATAAGCGCGAATTTATTTGATTATTCCGCCGATATTAATCAGGAAATCGAAGCGTTTTTGAAGAGGTGCCTGTTTTCCTGTTGAGATAGTTTTGTCAAATTCATGAAATAAAAACCATCTGCGATAATTTTCGTCTAACAAAATGAAAAGACTTTTCAACGCTGAACAAGTAAAAATAGACTAAACATTTTTGATACCCACTTGATCATTTCACACGAATGTCTACAGAACTAAGAAAAATCTGATTCTTCCTTAAGGATTGCACAAGCCCAAGAGATTATAAACAGTTTCTAACCTCCTAACGAACCGCGGCCAATTTCCCATTCCCTTTTCCCCACCACAAGTTCTGTGCTTTTTTTAACATCACCTACCGATGAGTGCGATTATTGTTAATTCTTCAAGACTAGACAACAATAAGAATTCAAAACAGCCCTTTCGATCCAATTACAGCTCTTTAAAACGAGCTTATTCTATTCAGGTGCTAAAGCAGGGCAAACAACAGTAAGGCCAGTGATCGATTCTTTTAACAATGTCCAGAGCATATACTGAAGAAGCCTAGTACGTGCCCTCTTTTTTTATAATCATATTTTTATATGATAATATTATCATATTGTCATATTTGCAAAAAGGATTTTCCTCCCGTAAGGAGAACCACATCGGTAGGATAGTTTCTTTTTGAAGTAATCATTTCTTCAGTTGATTCCTGGTCTCTAGAACCTGTGTTACCTTGAATTTCTCATAACTCGAAGTGGTTTTGTTTCCTCAAGTATATTAAACTTCGTTTCCTTTGTCATTTTATTCACGATATCGTCAACTTTACCATTACCAGTATGGACCAGGTTTTAACGAGACCAGAACAGTATTCGATCCTTTGTAGATCATTTTATTACTGTCTTTTTAGCAGTCTGTTGACAACCGTTTTGTTTATTCGGTCACGCTCAGAATGACGACGATCTCATATCATCTTGAAGAAGATATCGCAAGGATCTGAGAACGAATTAGCCACTTACGTTCCAAATATTACTGCGGCCGTTTTCACTCTCTCTCTCTCTCTCTCTCTCTCTGTCTCTCTCTCTCCCTGCTTGAAAGTTAACGTAACCATGTTAAAAGCACACTCCTTTTCAGTTTTTTTCAGCAATTTCCTGATGTTAATTTTTCCTATCTCTTTAAATTTTAATATGTATGCTGCATAGCATGACAATTATACGAGAGTTGTATTTTATGGATTGGCGATTTTTAATGTTTCTCAGGAACATATTTTTAAGTTCAAGATGAATGAAATTATTTCTCCTGGAAACTAATTTTTGCGATTTTCTGTTTCTTAGTAATAAGAACAACAACATTTTCAAAATTTTCAGGTTGTCGAGTGATGCACAAGGGAGGTACACAACATTTTATTGGTAAATGGATGTTTCATGTGAGTTCGCATTCGAAGAGTCCTTTCATTTCACAAAATAGTAAGATTTTTATGCAACTCTGTTTTGATACATCTTGTTTCATTTCCCTTGAAGGTTGTAGATACGGGGAGTTCGATTCATGATCCGATCAGAAACTCGAAAATACGCGCAGAAAATCAGCGGAAAATTTCATTCATAATTGTTCTTGGAGTTGATGTTGGACACGAGTTAAGTCAAAATCGCCCCTTGCTTGAGGTACCGGACGTGGCATGATAACTGACGGACCTTTCAAGTAGGGTTTCTTCTTTCAAACCCTTTCTTCATCCGCGCACTTAGACAACACATGGCCGCGAGACAGGCTTTCAACATTGTTTCAATAAAACTGACTGAACAATTACCCCCAAGCCTTGTGTGCTGAGATCAAGTCGCCCCTGGAGAACTTCAGAAAAAGATTCTTTTAAGGATTAAGATAAAGATGCTATCATTTAAAAAATTTGTGCTTCAAACAGCTGTAAAGTTTGAGCAGTGTGGTTCCAAGCTGCCTTCGAAGTGCGCAAACGGCAATCTCGCTTCAAAAATTTTATTTTACGTTATTATGCAGTTTATAATTATGGGTGATTCTTATAACGTTAACACTCTCAGGCTCCTCTTGCTCCTCTCCCAACCTCCCTTTTACATGCATACATTGATAGCAACATGTGATGTTTTTCAATACATAACTCAGATAACAGTGAGTATAGAGACAGTTGAAGAGGTTTGAAAATAGGGATCTTTGTACAAGGAAAGGAGTCACAAATTATTCCAACTACAATTCTGCAAACTGGCAAAAAGTATTTTTTTTCTTTAATGATCATTTTGTTAACTGCCAAAAATACAAGTAACAAGAGATGAAAAAATTCTTAACTGTTTTACTTACACTGTTTGCGTAGATACGATCAGATACGAAGCATCTAGAAAGATCAATTTTATCAGTTATGTACCTCAATGTTGCCATTTCCACAACTGGTTGACCCTTTTTCAAAGAGCAAAGGAAGCATAAGTTGGACCCATGCTCTTTATCTATTTCTATGAGGTTTTTTTAATTCCATACGCTTTGTTGAGATATTAAATTCAAAGTGACTCAGTCAGTTATGTCTCAGGTCGCGTGCTCGAACGACCTTTACAATGACGACATTTGCAGCAAAAGCATTGCCAGTTAAGCACGAAAAGATTTCATTCACACATCTTTCCATAAGCTCCTTGATTAGTGTCATTTTA